AAAAAATAATGAAAATTAAGTTAGTCGACATCTAAAAATTTTTAGAATTTTTTTTTTCATTGAAAAAATTATAAAAAAATTTTCATTTAAAAAAAACTTGAAAATTTGTAATTGCAGTTTTTGAAAAATATTTTTTTTGTATTAATTTAATTATTGAAAAAAAAATTAATTGTCGGCTAACTTAATTTTCATAAAAAAATACGGATCTATATGTAATCTTATACACAAATATATGTGAATGTAAACAAACGATCAAATAGATCAAAGAAATACATTGTTTGACATATTTATAGAAATTAAAATTAAATTTTAGTAATTAAAAAAAAAAATTTTTTTTTTTTGAAAAATTATAAAAAAAATAATGAAAATTAAGTTAGTCGACATCTAAAAATTTTTAGAATTTTTTTTATTGAAAAAATGATTACAAAAAAATAAAAAAAAATTTAATCACTTGTAAAAAAACTTTAACAACTGTAAGTGCAATTTTTTAAAAATATTTTTTTGTTTTAATTTAATTATTAAAAAATTATAAATGTCGGCTAACTTTAGTCCTAATATAAATAAAATCCTAATATATTATAAAATATAATTTAGATGAAAAATATGAAAATATATACATTGATTGATGAAGACATTTTATTCGTAATGTGATTGGTCAAATATATCATAAGCATGAAAATATAGATAATTCCATACCAACATTCACACGCGCGCTTGCGCGCGCAACGTATACTAGTCCCATATCTTAATATAAAATTGAGATGAAATGTATGTGGCATCAAACTATTCGTAACGTGATTGGTCGAATATATCATAAGCATGAAAATATATGCAAACTCTATAGTCAAGGCGCGCGCTTGCGCGCGTAAATTCAATTCTAGTCCCATAATAAAATTGAGATGAAATGTATGTGAAACCAATTTATTCGTGATGTGATTGGTTGAAAATAAATATTCTCATTCTGATTGGTTGAAAGTGAATATAATATACATAAACGACACATAAATATATCATGACAATAAATATGAGGCGCGCGCTTGCGCGCGTGAATTAAATTCTAGTCCTAATATAAAATTGAGATGAAATGTATGTGGCATCAAACTATTCGTAACGTGATTGGTCGAATATTATATCATAAGCATGAAAATATATGCAAACTCTATAGTTAGGCGCGCGTTTACGCGCGCAAAATTCAATTCTAGTATCATTAAATAACGACTCTTTCATCTTAAAAAATTACAGTTTCAAACAGTAAAAATTGCCATTTTAATATATAGTCCATATTATAAGGAGAAGGGGAACTCAGATGAAAGAGAAGGGGGTCTCACTCTGAGAGAATTTAACATTTGAAACAGTAAAAATTATACTTTTAAAATATAGATTTTACCAGTCCAAGCAAGTCAATAATTACAGTTTGATTTTTAGCGTTGCGTTTAAAATTTACCATTTTACTTTGTAAATTTTGATGTTGCTTGTAAGGTAAAGTACCCAGTACTTGAACACTTCTAAAAATGGGACCAGTAGTTGAACAGACTTTTAGAATTGTTGTAATACAAAATCTGTATATATATTATGAGTCATATGCGCATGTTATAATTATTCAATGATACAGTAATTGATTTTGGTAAGTTTTTTCAATTATAAATCAAAACAATTACATTTTTGTTAACTTTAAAGTTGACATGTCGAGAATAACCGATAGATGCTATTTTTTTCTTGAAAAAGGTACTAAACCGTAAACTGAACAATCAGTAAAAAAAACGGTATATCATCATTTTAAGTGAAAAAAATTGTACCCCCCAATGAAATAGTCTTTTCTAAATAATACATATTTTTTGCAAAGACATAAACTATAATTTTTATAATAAATTTTAGCGTTCAACTATACCTCCCAATTTTTAAAGCAGTACCCAGAACTTGAACAAGCTGGGACCGTATAATTTTAACAGCACTTTAACCTTTAATAGGTTTATAGACTAGTTATCAGTATTGTGATTTGTATTAATTACTGCAAATTAAATAAGTTTTATAACTAAAAGTTAGTATAGTTAAAAATTATTGAACGTATTGAATTGAGTTTTTTTGATTTATAATTGAAAATTTACTTTGTCATTCATAAAAAATGTAATTAATAAATCAAATACAAGTATTTCTCATTTTTAAATGAACATATTAAATATTCGCAGTATTATTTTTGATATTATTCAATAATATGTTATAAATCTTTGAATATTTTAATAAAACGTTAAAAAATTTTGGTGTACCTATTGCCATATATATTTTATTAGTTAAACTACTGCTCCCGGAGTGTTCAACTACTGCGGCTTGTCAGAATTGATTGTTCAACTACTACTCCTTTCATAGTCTATCTTAAAAACGTTGTCAAATGATAAATATTGAATTATTTTTGTTATTTTGCTTTTCAATCAATTCAAAATTGTTTATATTTTCATAAAAGTAACTAATTTGAACTAATAATTACATCTTTATATATTAAAATTAGGGTCAAATACGTTTTACCTTGAAACCTGTTCAACTACTGGGTACTTTACCTTATCAGAAATTTACTAGCTTTTTAATTATTATACTTTAACATTTTAGACATTTAAATAGTGAATATTACTGTTTGAAATAGTATTTTCTTTCATGTAAAGAGTAAATTGTAACGTTTAAATTGTAAATATTATAAAGTGAATAGTAAAATCACGATTTTACTGTTTGAAATGTTAATTTTTAGCAGTTGATTATTACTTATTATAAATCGACTGTTATTTATTACAGTTTACTTTTTTCCGTGCAAAAGTGCAAAAGTAAGTTCTGCAAAAAACCTAAAAAATTATGACCTAAATAAATTAATTGCCTTTACGTGGGAGCGTCTGGCTTTGTTCTTCTTCGCAAGAGGCTTGTGCGATTTCTTCTTTAAATTTTTGTGCTGTTGAGAATGCGCCGGAACGCTTTTCTTAACTTTGCGGTGTCCTTCAGCAGACCTGACCTCGGTCAGCCGCTTCAAGGTCTCCTGCATCTTCGGGGACCTCAGAGACTCCTCGGCCATCTTCTTCGCCAACACTTGGGAAGAAAACGTCCTGCGATTCGGGTCCATTCTGAGAAAAGTTCCTCTAGCGTGTCGATTTTTCGCGACTGATCGCTTAAATTTGTGTCGGTCATTATGAAAGCTGTTCAATTTGTCTCGTATCTTCGAAAGGAGGAGCTTGTTGTTCTCCAACTGAGCTTCTAAGGACTCTTCTTCGGAAATGTCCTTCTCTTGACATTTTACAGCAATTATAAGCAGCAGAAATATTATTAGCTTTACTGGAAGCTACGTTCAGAGATCAAAGGTTAGTTTGATAAAATAAAATAAAATTTATTTCACGCACTTACCTCTGTAGAAATAAATAAATTTTTAGCCATGGAAATTTATTAAAACAATGCCTGGTACAAAAATATGCCTCGGATTTTTTGGCAGAATTATTGGTTGTTACAAAAAAAAAAGTAACCTATTAGAAAAGACGTACACTAGACATTGAGAGCTGAAAACGTCAAAAGTCAACAGTCTTCTGTTATTATTCAATTAATTTTTAATTAAAAATAATCGGGGGTGTTTCTCGCGTGTTTTTATATAAATTTCTTCCGACTAAATATATTTAAGAATATATATATATTCTTCCTTAATTATAATGACTGTAGTGTCTACACTCGAGGGTCTATGAATATACTCTTATTTATTTCTGACAAATATGCCGATTTTACTTGAACAATAAATGCAGTATGTCCAGCAGTCGCGTTCACAGAGATTGTAAATGGTATCCACATGTCGCGATTGTTCGTCTGTCACATCGAATCTTCGACTTGGCAAAGAACCTGGTTAAGTTCGTTGCCCTTAGGCATCTGTCGTCATCCATAAATTGTTTCGATATAATTTACGCGCTCGCTAATTTTTTTAAAGACAATCTCTTCCGTAAACTAAATTCATTAATTAAATGTCTCGAGCTATAGTATTCTTCTTACTATTCATTGTTACATTATAATTATAATTCTTCGCGTGATATTAAAGTTAAATGTTACTTGACCATTTTGTAATTTTTGTAACAAACAAATTTTTTTATGAAAAATTATTTTTAAAAAATTTCATTTTTAATTCAATTTTTTTGCAATAATTTATTTATCACAAAATTATAAAATATTTTATAAATATCTAGTGAATTAATAAAATTTAATAAAAAATTTTATATACATCTATAGTGAATTAATTTTTATAAAAATGACATTAAGATTAGCAGTCACATGGCCATTTAAAAATTTTTTTTAACAAACACATTTTGTTATGAAAAATTATTTTTGACAAAATTTTATTTTTAATTTTTTTAAATTTCTACATGTCAATTTTTTTGCAATAATTTATTTGTCACAAAATTTTTTTAATAAAATATCTGCTAAATTAATTTTCATAAAAATTACATATTAAAATTAGCAGTCACTTGGCCAATTTTTAATTTTTTTTTAACAAACAAATTTTGTTCTTAAAAATGATTTTTATGAAAATTAAGTTAGCTGACATCTAAAAATTTTTAGAATTTTTTTTTAATTGAAAAAATCATTACAGAAAACTAAAAAAAAATTTTCATTTGTTAAAAACTTAAAAAACTATAAATGCAATTTTTTAAAAATATCTTTTTAGTTCTAAATTAATAAATGAAAAATAATCAAAAAATTAAAAACGTCGGCTAACTTTAATGACATTGATTTTTAAAAAAATTTCATTTTTAATTTTAAAAAATTTCTTCATTTCAATTTTTTTTTTTTAATAATTTATTTGTCACAAAATTTTTTTAAATTATAAAATATCTAGTAAATTAATTTTTATAAAAATATCATATTAAAATTAGCAGTCACTTGGCCAATTTTTAATTTTTTTTAACAAACAAATTTTGTTCTGAAAAATTATTTTAAAAAAAATTTCATTTTTAATTTTTAAAAATTTCTTCATTTTAATTTTAAAAAAAATTTTTTTGCAATAATTTATTTGTTTAAAAAATATAAAAAATTCTTAAATATCCGCTAAATTAATTTTGATGTTTTTCGCAGCTCACCAATTAAAAATTAATTTTAATTATAATAAAAAGCTTGTCCAATATTTCTTCTCATATAAAAAAAAATTAACATTAACTTTTAAAAGAAGCAAAGATTGATTGACGAGATTAAAAAAATTGGTGATTGCAATTAAAGAAGAACTAATAAAGATGTTAATAATAATAGGAATATCGAATAGACAAAGAAGATTTAAATAAAAGAAGAACAAGTAAAGAGAGAGTAAAGCAGAGAGTTGGTGTACGGAGGGCGTCGCGACGCTTACAATCTGGTATTAGCAGCAGTCTCTAGATAGCCGTCGGCTGGCTTCTAACCACCTCGATTTATTCGTCTAGTTCTTCCTCAAATTAACCACTCAATCTTTATAAAACTCTTATTGAAGATAGTGCCGTCGCGGTCCCACTGTTTTCCCGTGATCTCGCCTAATTTGTGCTTTAAATAACTCTCGATTGATTGATTTATTTATTGATTAATTAATAGACCAGTAGACCGGAGTTTTTGATTAATCGATAAGTGGATTGGAGAAAAAGATCCAGTGTGGTGATTTTTTGTTACCGTGACCAAAAGCTCGTAAAGAACCAGCTCGTAAACGTGTCTATTTTTATTCACGTGCAAGTGTTGTGCAAGTGTCGAACGGATTTGAAGAGGCATTCGAAAAGCGTGTGGATCTCTACCACGTAGTCTCTCCTCATCTCATCCGAGACACGAGGTCTCTATTTATTTAAATATTTATCAATTCAATCGCTATTTTATTTATTTTTCTTCAGAGAAATATATTTCTTCACAGAAGAAATATATACCTGGTATAATTTTCTGCCTTTATATTTATTCAGGATTTACTTTTCGGTTTGTCCGATTGATATTTTGGAATATTTAATATTTATATATCATCTTCCCTTTACTTTCCTGAAACCGAAAAATAAATAGTATTATTTTGAATTCTGTTGCTAAAATTTTATGTTTACTGTGATGTCACTGCTGACATGTTGATGAAACTGGTCAGGAATTCAGAGCAACCTACTTCCTGATTTATCATTAACAGATATATTTTTAATTTAATCAACATATATTTTTTTTTTCTATTTAATTTTAATGAAAATTTTACTGCTAATTTTAAATAAATTTAAATTTATAAAATTATTTAAAGATAAATTTTTAAATTTATTTTTTATTACATAAATTTTCTAAAATTGTAAATTAAAATAAGAGTAAACTTAAAAATATTAGCCGACCCTGAAAACAATCTAATATTAAATGTCAGAAAATAAATCAAGTAATTTTAATCTTGGCACAATTCTTGTACTACAAGATGTTAATTAATTAAAAAACCAGTAATCAACATAATCATCCGCTTTGATATAATAACATCTTATATATCTTCCTTTCTAAATGTAAACTAATAAATAGTATTTTTAACTCATCAAGAGCTGATGCTGGTATAAGCTATATACTACCAAAATAAACGCAAATAAAAAGAAAAAATATTATTAAAAATTAAACACACGTGTTATTTTAATTTTTAAAAATTTACATTTTGCATTAAGGCTATTTGACAATTATTTTTCACACTAGACCTTGAAATTTTATTTTTTTATAAATTTAGTAATATAAATTACTAAATTTATAAAAAAAAAAATCAATGATTTAATAAAAATTTATTACAATAAAATAATTCATTTTACAAAAAACTTAAATTAATAGTTTGAAAATTTTAGGATTAAACAGTCGACAAATTATCAAGCCTCGTTAAAGTAAAGCCTGAAAAATGAACCGAGCTTTTCTGAAGCTTTTAATAAAAGCAAAAATTAATGCGTTTAAATAAAGATGGCAGCACTGATGCGAAACAAGAATCAAATCTTTTGCGCTTTGGCTTTTAATTCTGAGCTTATATTTTTATTTAGAAAATTAACCGATTGTTATAACTTAGTTTTTTGCAGAATAATGACGTAGTAGACATAACAATGGCACTAAAAGATTCAAATTCTAGTAAGCGTAAGCAAGGTAATTATTTAGTCACATAATTGCTTTATTTTTAATTAAAAAATATTTTGTTTATTAATTTTAAATAAATTGGTTTATTTATGACAGAACTTTCATCGGAAATTAGTCGGGTTTTAACTAGCGGAGGTACTACAGTACAGCGAAGGATTACCACGCATATTACCGAATCTGTTGGGGTAAGATTTTAATTTTTTATTTAATAATTGTATTTTTACAAAATCTCAATGGAAATTTGAGATTTATTAGCAGTCACTCGACAATTTTTTAATTTTATTTAACAAAAAAATTTGTTGTAAAAAATTGGTTTTTAAAAATTGCATTTCTTATTTTTTAAAATTTCTCTACATGTCAATTTTTTTTTGCCATAATTTATTTGTTAAAAAAATTATTAAATATCTGCTAAATTAATTTATGACATCTGAATTAGCAATGACTTGAAAATTTTTTAATTTTATTTAACAAAAAATAATTTTTTAAAAATTGTATTTCTTATTTTTTAAAATTTCTACATGTCAATTTTTTTTTGCCATAATTTATTTGTTAAAAAAATTATTAAATATCTGCTAAATTAATTCATGACATTTAAGTTGGCAGTTACAATTTTTTAATTTTATTTAACAAAAAAATTTGTTATAAAAAATAATTTTTTAAAAATTGCATTTCTTATTTTCTAAAATTTCTACATGTCAATTTTTTTGCCATAATTTATTTGTTATAAAATTATTAAATATATGCTAAATTAATTTTCATTGAAAATTAAAATGTCGTAAGAAAATTCTTAAAAAAAATGAATGAATCATTTTTTGGAAGAATTTTCAGGTTTGTCTAAATCTAAACTTTAATTTTTGCTATTTTTACTCAGCAAAACTCTGACAGATTTATTATTATTTACAAATGGTTGATATATATGAGCGTAAAATTGAATTAAAGTACGCATACATGTATACCCTGGTGTGACTAATATTTAATATGACACAAAGCGCAATTCAAATGCATTAATAACCGAGAATAGTGAATAAATTACGTCAGAGACCGTATAAATAAAACCAAATAGAAAAGTGAGTGAGTCGAAAGTCTCTGTATCTTATTTGGTAAAATGCCAGACACTTAGCGACTCAATACAAGAAGTTATTTACCACCCATCGCTCTTATCCGCGGATGTGTTGTATTGGGCCGAAAGAAATCTATTAATTGCTTTTATTTTTCACTGATATGCTGTATTCATTGTACCCATTAACATTAACATTAAAATTTGATGAAAATTAAGTTAGCCGACGTATAAAAATTTTTAGAATTTTTTTTCATTGGAAAAATTATTACAATAAAATAAAAAGAAGAAATTTAATTTGTAAAAAACTTGAAAAACTAAAAGTGCAATTTTTAAAAAATTTTTTAATTCTAATTTAATTAATAAAAAAATTAAAAACGTCGGCTGACTTTAGTATTATAACATTTGCAGTGACTAACGAGGCCTAGAACTCGATGATTAGTTTTCAGTCATCAATCACTGCCTGCTTAAGATCCATTTTTTGCTCTAGACGAAGAATAATACACTGACAATTAGCTGACAGCTGAATTATTTGTGAAGAAATTTTAAATTTTACCTTAAAATCCAATTTTTAAATTCATCGAGAAATTATTAGAGTTCGTAAATAATAACGAATATATTTTATTGTTTGCAACAAAGTTGGAGAGTGAGTCAGAATAAGAAATTACGAGGCCACTTAGGAGCTTATGTTTGTTTAAATTATAATAAATCCAGAGTCGGGTTGGCGTTTTGTCAAAATAAAAGGAAAAAATTTATTACTAAAAATTGATAAATCATAAATTTTATATAAATTTTTAAAAACTTTAAATTTATTGGAATTTATTTTTGGTAAATAATAAATTGCTGGGTTTTTTTTTTTTATAATTATCTAAAGTGCTCTTTTGTGGACTCAATAGTCGATTTTTAAAGAAAAAAATATATCTTTTAAAATCGCGGTCAGTTTCTTTTTTTTTTTTTAGTCATTTTTTGTCAGAAAATTGGAGCGCTTACAAAAAAAATAGGTCATTGAAATTGTCAAAAAAAAAAATAATTATTTTAAATAAACTAAAAAGGATCAAATAAAATTTTACTTTAAATTAGCAAATTGATACTTAATAAATAAAGCTCGTAGAATAATATTTTGGCTATAAATAATATTTATTCGCAACAAGTTGCCGATTAGTACGATAGATAAAAACAGAAAACAGCAAAATAATTGTTTGGTTTAAAATATTTGACAACACGGTGACACTTAAATCATAAAATTAATTACATTAAATCTATCAATATCTCTTAATTCACATCCAACATACCTCGTTAAAATTTTGAAATTTTGCCAGAATAAAAAATTACCTCCTATCTATAATAATAAAAAAGTAAATCCATATAAAAAATAAATTTTATCCATTTTTACTTGTTCTCTAATTCTGATTCAACACGTGTAAAAATTTTCCACTGGTTCTATTATTAACCGTCTAATTTCGTAAAAATACTCAGATGTTCCTCAAAATCTCATATATCTATACATAAAATATAAAATAATTTTCCTTTTTAAATTAATTACTTAAAATTAAACGTCAGGATTGTAATGAATTATCGATGTGACTCTCGGAAAATCGTTTAGGCAATTATTAATCACCGGGGAAGAAAATCCGCGTAATATAATGTTAATGTTGACTGTAAAGATGTATTGGGGAAGTATAGAGTATAAGAAGGGTGGCTATTTCTGGTCGAGGGGAGTGTGAGCGACTCGCACTACGCAAACTGCTCTTAGCCACTTCTTATTTCTAGTAGTCTGGCTACGTACGACCGTACGTTCGCCGTCTTTAATCCTCATAAATGTTTCGAATTAAATCTGCTTCCATCAATTATCATCACTAAATATTTTTAATTAATTCAAAAAATGTCTCAAGTACTGTAAAAAAATAAAAAAAAAATAAAAAAGACAGTTTGTCGACGTAAAAGTGATTTTTGAAAAATACTAAGCGTGATTTTTTCGGTGTTTGTTAAACAAAGTGATTGAAAAATGATTAATTTTAATTGAAGATTCTCCGAAGCAAGATCAGACAAAACTACTCGTGTAGTTTTAAATAATTTCGAGTGTAAAATAGAATGTACGTCCAGAAACGCGTGGAGAAAGCCGTAAACCCAAAAATAAACTTTAAGCGTTATTTCCTTGCGGGAGGTAATGCATAAAGTTGAGTGAACTGTCCAATAGGAATAGGAGCGATAAGATTATTTTCTAGCATCATTTCCGGGTAGTGTTTTGTCTGAGAAATTATTATTGAAAAAAAGATCAAAGCGCAGCGCCGGGAAAATAATTAAATTGAGAAGATTTTTTGAGAAAACAATTATAGATTTTTGAATGTCTTCGCCAGGCATGATTAACTCCGACGAAACGGACTGATATGAAGCGTAATCGCGAACACATGTGAGAATTAGAGCCGAGAATTGGTGCCGAGGTTTTTAGCGGGTAAATTGTGCATAAATTTGTTGGGTCGAGGCTCACTCGATTAATGTCACACGGGCATTGTTCCAAATTCATAATGAATGAATTCTTAAATCACGGAAAATAATTCACGATATTGTAAATAATAATAATTGATGAAGAGTTTTTGTCAAAATGTCGCACAACCGGAGCTTCAACATTGTCTTTTACGATTGTTTGCTTCTCGCGTTCAAGAAGACAAACAGTAAGAAGTAATTGTCAAATTTCGTTGGCTGTCGGTCAAAAAATGCTAATGGTTTTTCTTTTGAAAAAAGAGCTTAAGAGTAATGTGTGCAAAAATAACAAAAGCTGAGTCCGAATTCAGGAATTTCCGAGATCTGGGAGGTAATTGACAAGGAAGGACAAGGCCACTTAAAAAAATATGACACGTGGAAATATTTTGAATAATGGTAAAAAAATTATTGTACATTAAAAGGAAAATTTTTTATAATAAAAATGAAGTTTGATTTCTGAAAATACAATTAAAATTTTTTAAAAGATATTGAGTAATTATTGAAGCTCATTTTTTTTTGAGGTTGATTGTGAATAAAGAAAACGATGATCTATTTGTTGATAAATGAACCAAACAATAACCAAAGAAGAAAACCACAATGAAGTGATGGATCAAAACTAGGACAAACCACAAAGAAATAACCAAAAATGTCATTCTGTAGGATTACGGGGAGGAGCCGTGGCCTCCCCAAACCGAATTATTTTCCGTTGTTGCCTCCAATAAGTCCAGCTGACGCGAAAAGGTTTTGCCGAATAACAGGTAAGTCATACGGACTGCCGACACATCATTACATTCCGGTTTTGTTGGGTGTGCACAAAACAGACAAGTCCAAATGCCGGGTCACGAACAATAACTCTGGAGTTCATCACCAATTCACAGCCGGGTTGATCCTGGGAGGAGACAAGAGAAAACATGTGGTCGTGAAGGACTTTAGATACGTTTTTCCAGTTCTGGAGGGCGACGGAGAGCAGCAGAAAGCTTTGAGAGAACTTTTGAGCACGAAAGAGCCTCTGGATGACAGCGAGGAGAATTTGAAGTTCGTTTATACCGTCAATGAGCGGCGTACTAGCTTGGTGTTTCCGGCACAATTGGAAGCAGCGGTGAGGGATGGAGATGTCAAGGACGTGATGCTGTCCCGGGACTGTGATACTGTTTTGCTGAGGCTGAAGCAGGGGAAGAATTTGGCTGTTGATTTCAGAGACTTTGACAGTAGTTTGGAGAGTCTTTACGACGGGTTGGGCCCGAGGGAGGACATTTTGAAGGAGAGAGAGAGACTGGAAGCTGCCGCGAGGAAGCGCAAGAAGAAAAAAGCCAGCGGGCTGAACTACGCCAAGAAAATATTCGAAGACAAAGAGAAGGCTGATGAAGCCGAGGAGGTCAAGAGCAAGAAGATCAAGTTGAAGATCATCAAGGAGGAGCTCAAGGAGGAAGTCACTTGGAAGCACGTTGATTTGGATCTCACGAGAGAAGGGAGGAGTCAGGTGACTTCTATTTTGAATCAGGAAAGCTTGAACTACTCGGTCACGACTTCCTGCAACCTTGAATCTCTTGTCAGCAGTTCTGAAGCTAAAGGACTGCCTGTTGTTGATAAATTGCCAAAAGCGGTTAAAATTCACGCTGAAAGGGTTGACATTGAAGCTTCGGCTTTTGGAGTCGTCACTTCTCCAATTTCTGAAGAAACTGGAGGACTGGAGGCTGTTGCAATCATCAAGCCTCTGACGCCTTTGAACGTGGAACCAGATCCTCAGATCCGAGAAGCGTTGCTCGGATTAACTGCAGAAGAATTGGAGGAGGCGGCTGATGTTAAAGATAAATTTTTGAACCCCGGGAAAGAAGCGCTGGAAGTCTTGCCGAGTGTTGAAGAAATTTCCAAGCTTGTAGAGAATCTCGCGAAAGGTCAGAAGCATGAATTACACAAGGTTAAGGGCTTGAAGATTGATATCGAGTCTGCGCAGAGATTTGTTACGGGAAAAACTGTTGAAACGCCCAGCGGCCCGGTTTTCGTACCGGGACAGACTCTGCAGACTCCGAAAGGACGAGCTTTTGTTCCAGGCTTCACGGTTAGCACTCCAAATGGTCCAGTTTTGATTCCCGGGGAAATAGTTTCGGTGAAAAAAGATACTAAGGAGACTCCTGTGTTTGTTGTAGGACAAACGCTGGAGACAAAGAACGGGATTAAGTTTGTTCAAGGACAAACTATGCACACTAGTGAAGGAGCTAAATTCGTGGAAGGCCAAACTGTGTTCACGGAAGAGGGTCCCAAGTTTGTTGCGGGCCATTCTGTGTCGCAAGATCACTTTGTCGCGGGACAAACGATTGTCACTGAATCGGGAGCTCAGTTTATGCCTGGACAAACAATAACTAATGAACTTGGCGAGCATATTTTTGTTCCCGGGCAGAGTGTCAAGTTTGAGGAAGTTTGGAAGTTTGTTCCTGGACAATGCATGATTTTAGAAACTGGACAACCGGCGTTTGTTCCCGGAAAAACGATGCAGACTTCTGAAGGAATGAAATTCGTACCCGGGCAGAATGTGACTGGTAAATCTGGGGAAGAACAATTTGTGCCTGGAGTGACTTTGGAATCAAAGGAAGGCCCTAAATTTGTTCCCGGAACGACTTTGGACACTCCTCAAGGTCCTAAGTTTGTCCAAGGAATGGTTATGAAGACTCCTGAAGGCGAGAAGTTTGTCCCAGGGTCAACAGTAATCGGTGAAGGGGACAGCTTTGAGTTCGCGGCTGCAAACAGTCTCAAAGAAGTGACATTCTTGGAAGCTGGACCCGTGGGAATTCCAGTGGATCCCAAAACTGCTACTGCGGTGTCTTCGCAGCAGCAAGAGATTTTTGGACACATGGTCCAGACCGAGCATGGAGTCGAGTTCATCCCTCAGTCGCAGGAAATTCCAGAGGGGAAACGAATCGTTCCTGGTCAGCTGGTTCGTGGGGGGAAGGAAGGACCAAGGTTTGTTCCTGGAATGATGTCGGAAGAAGGATTTTTGCCGGGGCAAATAGTGATCACGGAGAAGGGAGATCAGTTTGTACCAGGACAAGTCGTAGAGACGAGCACGGGGCCTAAGTTTGTACCCGGAAGAATGGTAGAAACCAGAACTGGCCCGAAGTTTGTTCCTGGACAAACAATGGAAACAGAAGAAGGTCCTCGGTTTGTTCCGGGGCAGATAGTCCAGACAAAAGTCGGCCCTACGTTTATTCCCGGACAAGTTATATCCACTGAGAACAAAGGCTCTCGCTTCGTGCCTGGCCAGGTTGTGGACACTCCAGACGGGCCAAGATTCGTCCCAGGAAGAGTCGTGGAGTCCGGAGAGCTGGGAGTGACCTTTGTTCCCGGACAAATCGTCCAAACTGAAGAAGGACCTAGATTTGTAGCTCCAGACCTGATGGACACCCCAGAGGGAGAACTGGAGTTCTCTGTTCAAGGTTTCGAAGTGACTCCCGAAGAGTTGGCGCTTCTTCGCCCCAATCACTTACAGTACAACGCGACCTCTAAGAACCACCACGAACCCATGAGCATCGACGCGCGAATGCTGAGACAGCTGTCCGAGGCTGGAATGTCTCTAGGGAGGAAAATATCTGCTATTGTACCGAATGTCAACGTCGACGTTGATCCCACAGCAGTTGCTCTTGAAAACGCTCTTGTGATTGCAGAAAAACTTGGCCTCAGAGGCGATGCTGCGGTTAAGATGGCCCAAATAGTTTCGACGGTTTCCCATCTGGCGACAAACATCGTCAACGAGTACCAGAACAGCGACAAGCCTAATTTTGAAAGTTTCAACATTGGACACGATTCAAAACTCCTAACCAACGGAGTTCACCACCATCAAAACGGCCACTCAGAAGACGAGGAATGGCTTCACGAGGCAGTAAAAGGCGCAATTGCAACTGCGATTCTCGCAATTACCGACCTTGAAGATCCTGCAAGTGATGAAAAGTCCTACGTGTTGTCTTCAATCAGCGAAGCCTTCAACGTGTTTCTTCGGCAAGGTTCTTCGTCGATAGAACACTCGGTCGAGCAGGTTCTGAAAATCCTGACAGTTCCCCAAAGCAGAACCGCCTTGTGCCAGACAGCAGTTATTGATCTCCTGGAGTCGACCAGTAACAAAGTAGACCTTCTGAAGTCCACAATTGTCCGGCAGTCTTTGAAAAGCGACACTGTTCTGGAGCGTCTTTCAGCTGTGCTGGAAGAAGAACACGGAAGTGACCTGGTAGGTTCAGCTTTTCGCGCCGTTTCGAAAGACGATCCAGAATTGGTGTCCCGGGTTTTGGAAAAAGTGTCCAGAGAAGTCGCGGGGGTCGCTACTGAACGCGAAGCCGCAGAAACGGTCCACAAAGCGATCGTCCACGCAGTTCGCGAGTCCAGCGAGCTCCAAGTTAAGGAACTGCTGAACGACGGCTACGACGGCAACAACAATAACAGTGACAATTTGAGAGAACTGATCCTCCAAGCAGTTGGATTGGCGCGTGCTTTGGGGATGTCATCAACAGCGAGCAGCCTGCTGACTGTGATAAGCGATGAGAAGTCCTCCAAGCTCTTGGCCAATGACAGAGTCACTCTGGACATCTTAAAACGCTTGACGGTGATGCGAAAGCTGGCTGAGGAGAGGCCACAGTTTATCGCGGCTCTAAGGGACCTGACCAGCGACCCGGACATGGCGAGATCTGACCCTCATTTGAGGACCCTGGTCCGAGAAAGCGCGGCCTTGATGATCGTTCCAGAAGACGCTCCTCTTCAGTCGTCCGTTGACGTGCCCACGGCTCTGCTGAACGCGGAGAACAGCCTGGCGATTGAAGACTTCTTGATAAGGAAGAGCCATCGCCCTTCGACGATTTTTATGATCTTGAAGCACGGACTCCAGGCTGTCGTCCCAAGAGAGGCTTCTCGCGCTGTTCTGACCGGGCAAGTCGCCTACACGGTGTTGGACGAAAACGGAATCACTCATTTCGAGCCCCTGCATGTCTTCAACGCTCTGAGACTCAACAAACCCACGGCTCACAGGTTCTCGATGTACGCCTGTCCCGTCGCGGGGGAGGACGACTTCGAGCTTGAGTCGGTCGCTTCTTTTGGGAACTTTAATGGGAATCCCTACACTGACTCGGTTAGTAGCCTTTCGTCAGCTAACGGGCGGTACTATTCTTCCCAGGATTGCTCCAGTGGGGTCACGCTGACGAGATCCGACAGGACGCTGGAAAACTCTGTCAGTCGGGAAAACACCCCCTGCTTTAGACGGCTTAGTTGTCGCTACCTAGATGACAGGGTAATTGCTTGTTGCTTATTTAGTTTTTTAATTATTAATTCTAGGCAAAGATTTAATCATCGTTACTTGATAGCAGGAAGTCAACCACTTGTTAATGGTGACTATAAATAGGGCGGCTTAAATAGACCAAGCCGGGATTGGAAATGTCATCTTGATGCGTTGATACCCTAGCTATAAAACAGATACAAATGCTGGTTCATCTACTTAAGATTTATTTTTGATAGATTTTTATTTTCGGTTTTTTATGCTACAGGGCACGCTGGACAACTTTATTGTTGTCAAGGACCATGTCTCCGAGGAGGACGCCGGGTTTGCTGTGAAGATCGGGGAGATTGTCGAGGCGATTGAGTTCTCTGAAGATCTCAATAAGTAAGTAGATTTTGTGGAAAAATTTTTACCATGCATGGGAACGTTGAATTTATTTTTAATAAAAAATAAGTAATTTTTCATAAATAATTAGTTTGATTGATTTATTTTGACCTAGCTTTTATAACCGTAACTATTTTTAAGGTGTTTATTTTTGAATATGCTTTAAATAGCTATTATACCATGGAGATTTAAATTTGTCTTATAACTTACAACTAACAAAGCAACCTTGATTTGACCGATGAGTGGCATACATATAAGTTTGAATTAAATTAAATAAATATTTAGACAATTATTGCATAATTTTATTATTTAAGTCTTAAAAAACAGCCGAGCTTTATTGCTTTTGGCAGAGACGAAGTTAAGAAAAAAAATTTTCATTTTTCAATGACAATTTTTTAGAACAAGTGGAATTAAAATTAGCAGTTCGAGGAACTGGAGGTATTTCTGGAGCGATTTTTATTAAATTTTTCCGTGATATTTTTTTAACAAGTGATGAAAAAAAAGTACGAGGTGTTGAAGGCTTGTTTGGATAAAAAATGATGACAGAAAATAAAAAGTAATTGAGGAAGAAAGAATGGGTTGAGATTGTGTGTTAAATATAATGTTTATTTTCGCGAGTATTTTTACGGAGGTTTATATTTTCTTTATTTGATTCTGTTATTTTTTGAAGCTTGAGTTAATAGCGGGAGTCGATATTCGGGTTAAAAAAAGCCCCGCTTAGAAACTTAATAATAAGCTGGGTTGAATGAAAATATTTTTAATATTTTACATATTCAATGAGTATTTAAAGCTAATTGAGTTAAAGTTCTTTGAACTTTTTATATTTTTTAACGTGTAAATTATTTTTGCTTAAAGCTTTCGATTGAAAACATAATTCGCTTTAAAAATTGCAACTGTTTATATTAAGTTAAGGACTATTCTGGTCCAGAAGCTTGAATTTAAGGAAATTTTTCAAGTGCCGTAAAAAAGGCAATCAATATTTTTACTATTCATTTTTTTTATAAGATATTTTTCAAGAATACAGAAAAAAAGTGAAAAAATTCAAAATTCAAAATGTTTGCAGCTAATAAAGTGGAAGGTTTCAAAAAATTGGCACACGACCATACCCATGATTCCAACCCTCCTAGCAATCTGGGGGAAAAAAAAAGATTGTTTATTTAGAATAATGCCGCTGTCGTGCTAACTAAAGAAAAGTTAAAAAAAAAAATTTTTTTACAAAATGGCAACTGCCTGAAAAAAAAAATTAATTTTGGTACTACTTTTTTTGAGTTTTCCGAATTTTTTAAAAATAGTAAATATTGAAATTTGGGAATGAGGATAGTTCATGCGATAGAGTAGCGTATAAAGAAGACTTACACCAAATTTCAAGTAATTCGGTTCGGTAGAACATGAAATCGTGAGCATCGTTTTAAAAAAGACACACGGAAAAAAGAAAACTCAAAAAATTACAGTATATAATGCAACGTGGCTGGAAAAATTACAGTTTCAGATTGTAATTATTAAAGATTTTATAAGAATTACATTGTAGAATGTAATATTTACATTGAAAGCTCTGAATATTAAATTAAAAAATTGAATTCAGAAAAATGTTATTTCTAACTGTAATTTTTCTAGTTTTTATTACGATGGGACCAATTTTACATTTTATACTCTAATTTTTCGAGTTTTCTTTTTTCCGTGCAGTTTTAGGAAAAACGCGTTTAAAGTTTCGCGTAAAGTTTCTCGCAGCCTAGTTCCAGCCATTCCAGCAGTTTGGATGCCACGTCAGCAAAACAGCCATTTCTCCGAAAATAATTTGAATTTTCTAAAATTCTCCTAGAGACATATTCTTAATATGAAGGATTAAGCTTTGAAAATATGAAAAAAAAAAAATCATTTTTTTCAAATTTCTAGACCAGAATACCTTCTTAACATTATATTTTTAAACATGTAAATTATCATTGCTTAAAGCTTTAAATTGAAAAAATAATTCGCTCTAAAAATTGCAACTGTTTATATTAACGCTTGTTCGCGAAATAAATTTTATCAAGCAAGTTAATTTTTAGACGGAAAAAAATGGACCCGGATTTGGAGATAGGCGAAGTAGGCGCCTGCTTAGATAGCTCTGCAGCCAGACACAAACTGTCAGTCAGACCTAAAAGAAGACACGTCGACCCGCGATCTCGTGTCATCACCAGGTCTAATTCCGATTCAAATATTAGGTATAGTATGTGTTATATAAATATATAAATGTTGGATTATTGGAAATTGATAAGCGAGTCGTTGGCCTCGTAAATTTTACTCGGATTATTCGGATTTAAAATAGCCCGCGAGGAGAAATTTAAAAATACTTTCCGATGGTTAAAATAAATTTAGTTATTGTAAAAAATGATAAACAACAACAAAGATCAGTGAACTTGTTGATTCACACGCTGAAATAATTGTAACAAAACAGCCCTGTGAAATAACTGTCGGCAAAATGCCCAAGAATTTTATATTATCAATCCTGTAAACGTAATTTTTTTTAATTTAATTTTTTCTGGTTATTTTTTATTCTTAAATATTTTTTTAAGTTTTAAATCAAATTATTTTTAATTAAAAAATAAATTTTTCAGGGGAAATTTAGTGACGAAAAATAGTCTAGACAAGAAAATGTCATCAGTTTGTCATCGTCTATTAAAATTAAAGTGAATAGAGACGTCTAAAATTATAATGATAAGTTAAAATTATTAGCCGTCAATTATAAAACCTTGAGACGTCTCGTACAATAATTAGCGAAATAATTTAAACGGTGTATGAAGATGGGGGACGAAATAAATTTTTATTAAAAATAAAATCGAGGTGCGAGTGTGAGGTTCAAGAGCAAGTGGCATTTAAAGAATGTAGAAATAGAGAGTATGCATTCCTGAGCTTTGATTTTGGCATCGTCAACAACCGACAATTGGAGTAGCTCACACCGATCTAAACTAAACTCAAGTTAAATAATATAAAGCGGGCGTAAATCATTTAACGAGGACGATTTGATGGAAATCGCTTTTATAGGCTGTAAGCTATGGATGTTATACTTTACTGTCGAGGACTATTATTAAATTATTATTGGCTTTCCGTCAATTTAATTACATTGTAATTTATAATTGTAAGAGTCAATTTAAGTGATTAATTATTTGTTTCCGGTAATTTGTTAGTTTTTATTAATAGACAAGTTATTTTAGCGAAGCGCTAAAATTTCGAAGAAACTATTATTTTGATATAATACTAAACTAAAGTTAGCCGACTTTTCTCATTTTTATTATTTTAATTATCAAATTAAAATTTTAAAATATTTTTTTTTTAATTTCACTTGAAATTTTTCAAGTTTTTTATAAGCGAAATTTTTTTTCTTAATTTTTTCAATAAAAAAAATTTAAACTAAAAAATATTTTTTAAAAATTTCACTTAAAGTTTTTCAAGTTTTTTACAAGCGTAATTTTTTTTCTTATTTTTTTGTAATAATTTTTTTTAATAAAAAAAATTTTCAAAATTTTTAGATGTCGGCTAACTTAATTTTCTTTATTTTGATCACCAAAATTGTAAGATCTAAAATTTTTGATCAGTCTAGTCAACTGTATCGATGATTAAGAACTAGCTATGAAGAAGCTATGTCAAAAAATAGCGGGTGAAATATTCAATTTTTATTTTTATCCTAGGCATTTTTGACTCCCTAGATTTAAAAATCCTAAAATTTTTGTTGAATGTTTAAAAGTTTAATTTAATAAAATCTAAAATTAGTATGAAGCTAAAAGTGTTTGTTTATTTTTTGCAGAGCACTTGTAAAAAAAGTTGATGGAAAACAAGGATGGCTGCCGATGTCAATTTTAATGCAGACAGCTTTGAGTGAAGACAGTTCAACGATTACTAGTCATCGACCAGAAGATTCACAGTATCGTCGAGAGTAAGATTTAATATACTTCATATGTTTACTTTTTCACTGAATATAAATTATCAATTATTATTAACAAACATTTATTAATAGTTTTAAAAATAACAGAATTAAAATTTTTTTTTTGGGATAAAAATAATTGTTTTCTTCTTTGCAATAGAGCTGTCGTAAAAGAACTGGTGGAAACAGAAGAAGAATTCGGCAGAGATCTCCAGCAAGTGGTTGAGCGGTACTTGAAGCCGCTTGACAATGCCGACGTACCAAGAAACGTCCGTGATAACAAAGAAATAATCTTCACTAATTTCAAACAAATCGCTGATTTCCATAACACGTAGGTACACATTATATACATAATTTCATAAGCACACCCACTCTTACATCCAATCACTATGATACTAAAATAAAATTAGCCGACGTTTAACAATTTTATTTTTATTTCAACTGATAAAATTTTTCACTTTTATTTTTTTTTTCTTAAAAATTCATTTAAAAAAAATAAACCTTAATAATTATTATAAATAATTAAAAATTATTAATAATAATTTATATTTTTTTTAACTATTAAATTACTAATAAAAAAATTACACAGATAATTTTTCAAATTTTCTAAAAGTGAAAATTTTTCTTTTTTATTTTTTTCAGTGAAAAAAAAATATTAAAAATTTTAGATGTTGGCTAATTAAATTTTCATCCTATCACTTTACAAATACAAAACAGTACCCATTATTTACTGTAACTTGATCATTGAAATACAAACGCAAAAACACATTACATTTTTAGTATATATTAGCGAAGAAATTCAACTCGTAAGTCTAAATGTGTGTGTTTGTTTTGTATAATTTCTAATTTTTTATTGCAATTTGGTTTGTATGACACCCAAAATTAAAAAAATAATAATTTCATTCTTCAGCCTTGACAAGTATTTGTACATAAAATAGCTTTAAAATTTGCTGATAGAAATTTAAAAAGATTTTTGTATATAAAGTTTTGTTTTCTTCCCAAACTAAAATTATTTTCTGACAAACTATCGATTAACGAGACCTGGTATCGATAAGGGTTTGTAAAGTGAATAAAAAGGCCCGAATGGTTAGGAGTGATTTGAATTTCGCATGATATTAATTCCGGCCTTACTTAGATCGTTTGGCAGGGTATTAATCGAGGGTGTCAAGTACTACGCGGACCAGCCACGGATGTTGGGCAAAACATTTCTCAGACTGGTAAGTTTTTTAAAATCTAATAAAATTTTCTTAGATTTCATTTTTTTCAATATTGTAATTTATTTTTGTTTAAGGAAAGAGATTTTGACAAACATGTCGCTTACTGCCGAGATGAACCAGTAGCACAAGAATTTCTTCAGACAAATCCTGAAATTCGTGATTATTTTGAGGTAAATTTTTTGTAAATTACAAATAGCAATTTTTATTATATTTTAATAATTAAATAGTAATTATTATTATTAAAATTTAATATAAAATATTTAAATATTTTCTGTGCTTTATCTCCGTCGGTATTAATATCTTCAGAGAGCTTTTAAAGCTCAAGAAGAAATCTTCTTCTACATCGGCCGCTAAAAAAAGCTCTGTTATAATTTAAATTTTTTCTTCTAATATTAAATATATAATTTTTCTTTCAACAGTGCATTACAATTAATTATTTAACAATTAAAAAATTTTTTAATTTATTTTTTTTCGAATTTTTTAAAGAAGAAATTTTTTAAAAATAATTTGACTGTAAATAAAGCGGATTTATTTATTTATTATTGTTATTTAGATGTTGATGAAAAAAGCAAGAATAATATGAATAAAAAAATTTATAAAATTATATAATAAGGAACGAGTAAACTGGCGTAGATCCAGCGACCGAAAATAGTGTCGTTTATTTTTAACCGAACCATCATTCTGTCTATCTCTCCACGCAATGTCTCTGGCATTTTGCGTATTCAATCGTAAGAAAAACTCGCTAAAAAATAACCAAACAAATAAATAAAATAAAATAACAGCATTTTATCAATCAACAATCTAAGTAGGTTACGTCTAAATTTACTTTGACGTCAAAGTTGTGAAGAAATAAAATAAAAATTAAAAAAAAAATAGCCGGACCAGTGGCTGCAAAAATTAAAAAAAATTCTAGCGCTTAATTTTGACAAGTAAAAAACAAGATATGGAAGAAATATAAAGGCAAAAACGGCGCCTAGATAATTTATATTTTTCTTCTCTGTTTGTGCGTGGTCAAGTCTTGGCGTGGAAGCTAAGTTTAGCAGTAGCCGCATTGGCCTAACAGAAGAAATAAAATAATCTGTTGACTAGCACGGTGGTGATTTTGTGAACCACGGATCTTCTGTGAATCCCAACAGTCTGCGAGCAGCAACGTAACATCCAACCATTTTTTCTTCTTCTTAAGATTCGTTGTTTTTTTTTTTTTTGTTTTTAAGTATCAGTAAAGGGTGATCGCCTTTTTATTTTAGATAAAACAGGTGCTTTTTTATTATTTTACTTTGTCTTGCTCTATTTAGCTTCTTTTATTTATCTTCTGGGTATTAATTTATTTAAAAAAGTGAAAACATTAGTGACGTGACCGGCAATCACATGGATCAGAAGCATCTTGTGAATTTAGTGCATCTTAATCTTATTTTATAACTTTTGCTTCTTTTATTTGTTCATTTTCATCTTCTGTGTCAACTGGACACGACAAGCGCCAAAAATAATGCGAATGCGTCGCCAACATACAATTCTCACGTCTCGAATTACAATTTAATCTTAATATTAAATTTTAACTATTAAAAAAAATTATTTTATTTATTTAATGTGTTGATTATCTGTGAAATAATTATTAAACAAGTGAAGAAAGTGCAAAAAATTATTCTATTAATTTTTGCACTAAAAAAAATAAAAATTAGTGAGTGATAAATTTAATAAATATATGTATTGTTATTTTTTTTTATTCAGGAATTGAGCCAGACTCTTGGAGACGATAAAAGCGTGTCGGAACATCTTAAGCTTCCGATACAACGTATTAACGACTACCAGCTCCTATTGAAGGTAACAAAAAAAAAATAATTAATTTTTTAAAATTAATTATTTATTTATTTAAAATTAAATTGAATAAATAAATAATTAATTTAAAAAATTAATTAATTAAAAATTAATTATTTATTTATTTTGTTAAAGTTTATTTATCAATGAAGAGCTTAAAAATTATTGTCTTCTTTAACGAGTTAATAGGCAAATGTTTAACAAGACACTTGTGATAGAGTAATAAATTAGATTTGGATAAAGACCAAAAAATAGTAAATTTGTAAGGGGCTTATTACCGTCAGTTTGTTTTTAAAAATCATTTATTTATTATTTATTGCCCGTTATAAACTGTACTTGTTATTTAATATCTTGAGAAAGAAGAGTTTGATGGAAAAACTCTGACTCTGACCCATATTTAAATTTAAAACCGGTGAGAAGACAAAAATACCGTGCCCTTGATCAGAAATTTTTTGAGTATTTTTAAATTATTCTGGAATTGAGTAAGTTATTTATTTATACTTCTGATGTTTTCACAAATATTTGTAAGCTAAAGTAATTTTTCCGAGTAAATAATTATGAATTAATTCACTCGGTCGCCAGAATCCAGCCTCGGGCTTAATTTAAATTCACAGTCGTAAATATAAATTATTGTTTTATTTAAGTACTAGGATCCAGAAAATAAATAATATTTTTAGTGTTTACTATAAAGGATTTATGAAATAATATTGTACCAAGATTAATTATTTTAATCAATAGTAGAGTAAAAAATAACAAAATTATGTTTAAACATTTGTCTGAGTTTAAATTGAGTAGGCGTGTACGGATTTAGCGGACGGAGAAGCGGGTCATCTTCATGGCGAATTATTTTCATTGAAATTAGACATTTTAATTCTGTTGAATTATTTACTTTTAAAACTATTGGTATTATATTTTAAAAACATCAATTTTAAATTCATAAATAAAATTAATATAAGTTTGATTAAAAAAAAAATTTTTTTCAATCAAAATTAAAAACAAGTGTTTAATAATTTTTACTGAATGTCGTTTTTAATTAATTATAACAGGAGCTGGTTAAATATTCGACTCGCCTTGGCGAAAACTGCGACGACCTCCAGAAAGCACTGGAGTTGATGCTCGGTATCCCTCATCGAGCAACAGATAATAAATTTATCAGTAATATCGAGGGATATAAAGGAAATATTCATAAACTTGGTCGATTATTAACACATGTAAGTTAAATTAATTTTATTTTTAATTTATAATAATAAGAATAATAATTTGGGAGAAATATTAAAAATATGAAGAAATTATAAGAATTATTGTAGGAAATTTAATTTTCTTTAAAAAAAATCCTTATCAATTTTTTTATATTTTTGATATTTTAGACAGAATATTAATATAAATTATGACACTAAAGTTAGCAGACGTCTAAAAATTTTTGATTTTTTTTATTAATTAAATTGCAACTAAAAAGATATTTATAAAAAATTGCACTTATAGCTTTTCAAGTTTTTTACATGTGAAATTTTTTTTTTTTAATGTTTAATTGAAATTTTTTCAATAAAAAATTCCTAAAAATTTTGAAATGTCGGCTAATTTGATTTTCATTATAAATTTCAAAAGCGCAATATTTTGATTCTTCTTCTTCTTCTTCTTCTTCTTATCATTATTATTATTTTGTAAACATAACATAATAAAATTGACGAATAATAATAATAATAATAAATTTTTTTTTTTTAGGAATGGTTTACAGTAATTGACAAAGACGGCAAAACCAAAGAAAGATATTTATTTCTCTTCAAAGCCCGCATACTTGTGTGTAAAGTAAGGCGTATTTCCGAAGATAGATCAGTTTTCGTATTAAAAGACATAATAAAAGTAATTCCAATAATTAATAAAAATATTTTGGGTAAACTTTGACAGTTTTATTATACTTGTTTTGTATTTTATTGTATTTCAGCTACCAGAAGTTGAAGTAAAAGATTATCCAGACGATCAGCGCACATTTGAATTACATAACCCGGGAGCTGGGTGTTACCCATTAACTTTAATAGCTCACAAAGACCTCGTAAAAGCTTACTGGTTGAAGGAAATCCGTCAGTACTCGAGTGATTTGTTGGCACTGGCTGAGCACGCGGCTGACGATCTTCAATTGAGTGAAGAGAAAGACACTGAGGACAAAGCCCGAAAGCTCGAGGGAACTAAAATCGATTTACCACCACAGACTAAGAAGTCCCAGGAAAAGCCGACCAAGATCCCGGTTAAAGTCGAAGCAAAACCTCCGGAAAAAGAAAAAGTCGCTGAAAAGCGGGAGAGCGTGACCAAAGTTGAGGAGCTAGAGGCTAAGAAAGTTAAAACTGAAGACACTCAAGCCCAAGAAATGTCTAAATATTCTTCAACTCAGTTCAGCGCTTCCTCCAAAGTCGAAGGTGATTTTTTTATTAATTTTAATCGCTATATTTTTATTTCTACTGATGTAAATAAATAAAAACAATTTAGAGTATTCGTCAGTGTCGAGCAGCCGAAATGGATCGACTTCCTATGTCGAAACTTCCTCGTCATCGATGGCTCGCGCAGAAAGACGGGCTTCGTCGTCGGTTTACAGCTCCGAAAAAATAACAGAGTCTTCTGGAGCCTACGAAACAGCCACTGGTGGATCCAATGAGACAAAAATCTCCAAGCTTGCGCTCTCTGCTACAGAAACCGGCAAGCCGAAGTTCGTTAAAACGATCGAGGGTATCAGCGCCGAACGTGAGCATATATTTCTTCATTTTATTACTTCTCATTCTCCCTTTGTTTAAAAATAAATTTATCAACATGAATATACAGTGTTGAGGGGAATTATTTTTATTATTAATTATTTAATGTTTAAAAGTTTTATTTTTCAGTGTTAACAGATTTGTAAATAATTATTTTACCACCCCCCCCCCTGATTAATAAATCGAGTTTACCCATAAAAGTGCATCAGTAGCACAATATAAATAAACTTTTCCTGTTCTAGCCATCCATGCAAAACAGGCAATCATTCACGTAATAGGTAATGTGATGAATGATGTAGCTTGCAATAAATCATTTCTTACTCTGCAACTCAGTAATGAAAATTCATTCAGCAGATATTTAATAATTTTTAAAATTTTTTTAACAAATAGAAGATTGTAAAAAAAATTATTAAAAAAATTGACATGAAGAAATTTTAAAATGCAATTTTTTTTTTAATAATTTTTTGGATTAAATATGTTTGTTAAAAAAATTAAAAAATTGTCAAGTGACTGGTAACTTTAATGTCATAAATTAATTTAGCAAATATTTGATAATTTTTTTTAACAAATAAATTGTTTCAAAAAAAAATTATAAAAAAATTGATATGAAGAAATTTTTAAAAATTAAAAATGCAATTTTTTTTAAATACTTTTTTTAAACAAATTTGTTTGTTAAAAAAAAAATTAAAAATTCAAGTAACTGCTAACTTTAATGTCATACTAAGTATTTACAGGTCTTTCATACTTGTAGAAAGCTTATTCATTTTTATTCGTATAAATAAGTATATGTATATATAATATTTCCTGCTTTTTTAAAATATCTAAATACTTCTATAATTGGCACACTAAAATTCTCATAAATCATCGACCATTTTTGTAAATTACCCATCAAATAATTGTCATATATTTTTAGTTAAAAATCTACAGCTGAATCATCAACAGCTTGTAATATTTTAAGTAGAGATTCTGCAAAAGTATTCTAAAATCTCGCAATATTTTTTTTTAAACAAAAATTAATAATTTATTTATTATTTAGCGGGTGAAAGCGCAGCATTCGAGTGTACGTTGGAGTCGAGCAGTGAGTCATGTCGCATGCATTGGCTAAAAGACAACAAGCCGTTGGATGACAAGCTTGCAGACCGTATAAAAATTACATCTACTGAGACATCATTCAAACTTGAAATTACAAATGTTATTGTAAGTGATTCTGGTATTTATACGGCACGAGCTGCCAATGGAGAGGGTAATGCAACGTGTACCGCTCAACTTGTTGTAGAAAATCGTACGTACTATTCAATAATAAATAATAATTATTATGATAAATTTAATTTATTTTTTTTTATTGATTCACTTGTAGTTACAACAGAAGAGCGCAAAGCTAAAGCTGAAGCAAAAGCTCCTGTCTTTTTAGTTCGCTTAAAAGATACTGAGCTTTTAGAAAATACTTATTTGCGTTTTATGGTCAAGGTCAAAGGTGATCCTACTCCAGATGTCAAATTGTAAGTTTTAAATAATAAATAGGGCCAAAATTTTTCCGCAATTTTAAAATAAATGGTTCAAATTTTTGATATAGCGGCGAAAATATTGATTCTATAAAAAAATTTAAGAGACAAAAGTTGTTCAAAATTTAATTTTATAAAAAAAATGTTTCTTATGATTTTTCAAAAAAATCTTGGAATACTGGTTCAGGAAAAAGTAAAGTTGAACTGTCATGTAAAATTGAAGTTCAAGTAAAGTTGAAGTTAAGCTAAAGTGAAGCACGGTAAAGTGCATAAAGTTAAAGTCAAGTAAAATAAAGTTAAGGTATTATAATTGAGAGTTCGATATTTCCTGTACGGCTGCCCAATTTTAAAACATAGTAGCTGCAAAATTTTTATTTTTGATTTTTTTTAGTATTGCTGCATTTCTTATAACTTTTAGACCTTAATTTCAAGTATTTTTTCTTAAAAATATTTAAATTCAAGTATTCTCTATTCATAAATCAAATTTTTGATCAATTTGGCCGACAAATTTTTTTTTAATTAAAGAAATTTTTAAAAATCTTAAAATTGTCAGTTACTGTGTAATTGAAATTGGGCAGCCGTGTAGCTAAGGTGTTATAATTGAGCAACTCTTAATTAAATAAAGTTAAAGTAAAGCTAAAGTAAATCAGAGTGGCGCAGTGGAAGCGTCCTGGGCCCATAACCTGTTGGAATCTCTAATGGAATATTGGTTTAGGTGAATAAGTCTGTTATAATAAACCATCAGGTATAGATGCATACATAATGGCTCCTTGTAACTACTCATACAGGCTATGAGAAAGAAGTACAATCACTCTAAGAACATGAGAACAAGTTTACGTCCTGAGCTCAAGTCTCTCAGCATGCTCAATTTGATCAATTCACAAAATTAGATATCATTTATATATTGGTTAATTTTAAATCACCATTTTTATTGCTATTATTATGATTAATAATTGTCTAGTACTTTTTGATCAAGCGTCTGAGAATTTTTTAGCAATTTATTTATTTATTATACTTAATTATAAATGTGATTTTATGAGCTTATATAAACTCAAGTATCAAATTTTCGGTGTAATTCCAAAATTAAGATTCATAATGAAAGTTAGTAAAATTTTTTGATAGTTATGTATCTTACTTGTGAAATTATTAATCCTATAGGAAAAACATAAGAGATAATTTTTTTATAAAATTAAATTTTGAAGAACTTTTATTTAAAAAAAATTTTTTATAGGACCAATATTTTAGCCTCAATATAAAAAATTTGAATGATTAATTACAAATTTTTATTTCGAATAATAATAAATTAATTATAATCAATAAAAAATAAAATTATAAAATAATTTTAGCTTCAAAGACGGTAAACTGATAGAAGCAAATAATGCCCGTATAAAAATCCAAACCGACCAGGATAAATTTAAATCAGACGGCGGATTCTACGAACTGGTGATTCCTGATGTTCAAAAGCAGGACGGGGGAAAGTACACATGTACTGCAACAAACCAATTCGGAGAGGCGTCATGCGAGGCAACAGTCTCGGTCACCGACGAGAAGACTCTGTTCGCGGGTTTGCCAGAGGGAGCATTCGAAGCCGGAACAGAGACGCAATTCCGATGGCTGCGAGACGGCAAGCCGTTCAACCCAGAAGACCGCTTCAAAGTTCTCTTCGAGGACAATGAAGACACCTTGGCTTTGGTGTTCCAGCACGTCAAGCCTGAAGACGCAGGACTGTACACGTGCGTAGCTCAGACCTCGACTGGAAACATCAGCTGCAGCGCGGAGCTGACCGTCCAGGGCAACGTCAAGCAGCTGATGAAGGACCCTTGCAAGCCGAAGCTGGGCAGCGAGGCCAGGCAGTCAGAAGTGAGCGCTGGTGGCTCGGCAATGCTTGATCTTCAAGTCAAAGGCTTCCCCAAGCCAGACATCAAGTGGAGCAAAGATGGCAAGGAAATAATCGCTGGTGGGCGGATAAAGTATCTGTGGGAAGACGAAGAGTCTCTGTCACTGGTCATCAAGAATGTCACCGTAGAAGACGCGGGTACTTACACGGTTATCGCTAAAAATAATTTAGGAGAAGACACTACTTACATCGAGCTAATTGTCAAGTCCGCGCCGAAGTTTATAAAAAAACAAACGGACACTTTCGCGTACATAGAGACTGATGGAAAAATGACCGTACAAATTCAAGCTTCGCCGGCTCCAGATGTCAAGTGGTACAAGGATGGCCAGCTGCTAGAGTCATCTAGCCGCATCTCGATGACCCGCGAAGGAGAATTTTACAGTCTGATCATCAAGAATTGTCGCCTGGATGACATCGGGTCCTACTCAGTGGTCGCTAAGAATGAAATCAACCAAACTTCTGAGTTCTGGAACTTTGACGTACGCTGCCCACCGAAGATCAAGAAGAAGTTAGGCGAACCGAGGGTTATCAATGAAGGAGATACTCTGGCTTTGCTGATTGAAGTTGAAACTCCTCCTCAACCTACTGTAGTTTGGCTGAAAGACGACGTTGTTATCAAAGCTGACCATCGGACTGAAATTATCAATGATGGAGCGACTCAAGGACTGAAAATCACTGGCTCTGTCGCTATTGATGCTGCGACTTACAAAGCTGAGATTTCTAATAAAGATGGAACTACTGTAGATCAAATTGGCGTTGAGGTAATTATTTCTTCTTTGTCAATTATTTTTTTTTTATTGAAATAACGTGAGAAGAAATTTTTTTATAATTTTATTGCAATTAAATTATTCTAAAAAAAATTTAATTAAAAAATTCGACCTATGAAAATTAATAAAAACTAGCAACCTTGCAGTCACTATGTGACTGCTGTTACTTATGAACTATAAATAAATAAAATTTTGCTTTATTTAATAATGACTTTTGTTAAATTGCACTGTACTTTCTTAACTATTGACATTTTTAAAGATATAAGCTCATCCCGATGTTACACTTACCAAGAGCTATCATTTGAGTACCCACATGCATTTTGATATATTTTTCATTTATACATATATATAATATATATAAATATATGAAAAATTGATGTGGGTACTCAAATGAAAGGTCTCGATGAGTGTAATATCGGGGTGAGCTTATATCTTTAAAAATATCATTAGTTGACAAGATACAATGTCATTTCTTAATTATTGACATTTTTTAAGATATAAACTCATTTCGATGTTACACTCATCGAGACCTTTCATTTGAGTACCCACATGGCATTTTTCATATATTTTATATATATGGTATTTGTGAAATATGTATACATATAAAATATATGAAAAATGCCATGTGAGTACTCTAATGAAAGGTCTCGAGGGGTGTAATTTCGGGATGAGCTTATATCTTTAAAAATGTCAATAGTTCACAAGATACAAGGTCATTTTTTAATTATGTTTCTAAAGATAGCGCATTTTCGAATGCAAACCTTGAAAAAGCACAAATTTAAATGAAGACCTTTGCAATAACACTAAATTTCACTAAAAAAAAAAAAAAACGATTTTGCCAATGACTACCCTGGACAAAAAATTTTTCTTATTCTCTTAATAATATTGATTATAAGTGAAAATTTTTAAAAACATTTTTTTATCGTAATTTATTTTTTATAAAAATTTTTAAAATTGACAGCTGACAGCTAACTTTAGTATCATATTTTTTAGGTTCGATCTCCGCCAAGATTCAAGCAAGAAATGGTGGACGTGGTCGCCCGAGAAGGCGACTCAGAAGTCAACATTTCTGTAGAAGTCGCTGGATTCCCGCGACCGACACTCCAGTGGTTCATTAATGATATCGAGATAACAGAAGACAAAACTGAGTTTTCAAAATCTCAGGAAGGTGATATACATAGCCTGAAGATAACCGATGTTAAAACCGAACACTCGGGTCGCTATACTTGTAAACTCAAGAACCAGTATGGTAAAAATGAAAGCAGCGCAGCTCTGACTGTCTACTGCAGACCCAAGTTGTTGAAAAAATTAGCCGACCAAAAACTTAATGAGGGAACAACTCTGAAATTGCAAGTTCAGGTCGCAGGTACTCCAGCTCCTGATGTCAAGTGGTACAAAGATGGAAAAGAAGTCTCAGCTGATGCGAGGATTATCATCACCCGCGATAGCAAGCGACAAGAGAACTATGATCTGACTGTCAACTTGCTCCAAGGATCCGATGCGGGTACCTACGAAGTTAGAGCGACCAATGAGATGGGATTCGTTTCATCTAAAAGCAGAATCATTGTTCTAAGTAAGATTTTTTTTTTTTAATTAATAATTAATTATTAGTCTTATTTTTTAATTAGTACTATGCTTACGCTCACGCTAACCAATTGCTTCAGCTACTAAGTAAGTAAGTAAAAATTTTTGACTAAAATTTTTTTAATATTAAAAACTCCCCTTCTATTTTTTTATCACTAACAGTTTGTTCACCCGAGTAATTAATTTTTAATTGTAAATTAATTAATTGAAATTTTATGTTACCTTACAGCTAAAGAAGAAATAGAAGAACTTGAAGGTCCCGAAGGTATTTATTTTAATAAAATTATTTTATTAAAAATAATTGTTATTTAAATTTTGAGAAGAAATCGTTTAACTAATTTTTTTCACTGTAAATTTATAAATTTTTTCGCGATAAATAATTAAAATTTGCCTGTAATTAGCCGCTTAATTTAGTCTTGTTGAAAAAAAATTCAGGTAAAATGGAGAAAATAACTAAAACAAAATTAGTTAACGGAAAAGACGGTGATACGATAACTATTTCCGTAGAATCAACAACCGAGCATGAAGCTATGATGACAGGTAACGTTGACATTACACAATACCAATTAACACAATTAATTATTAATATTTAATTACTCAATAATATATATTAAATAAGTGATAATTATAAAATTACAAAACAAATTTACACTTAAAGATAAAATACATGCAATAGCTTTTAATAGCCGATTAATATCTTCATCTATGCTTCAATTTCATCTCGAGTAAAATGAAGTAATTAAAAAGTTTAATTCTTTTAATAAGGAGGTTCTTTCGCCATTAATGTTAAATAAAAAATATTAGATAAAATATATTAAAGTCCTTATTTATCTACTAGTAAAGTTTAATTTAGTCTTTACCGTAAAAATTAAAAAAAAAAAAATTTTTTTTAAATGTTAGTATTTTTTCCGAGTCTTACGAGAAAGTCAGACCTTAACAACTTTCTCGAATTATGGTGTTAACTACCGATTAGATGGGATAAAAAAAAACTCAAAATAAGATTTTTGAAATATTTAGGTTTCATTTTTTGCAATAAAATATATAGGTTGCCGTGGAATATATAGAGAAATTAAAATTATAAAATCACAAAAAATTCTCAAGCAACCTACATTAAAATGAAGTCAAAACATTTGCTGTGTCAAAACACAGCAAATGAAAATGTAAACAACCAAAGTACAGCGTTGCCAAATCACGGACAGGTTACTAGCAGTTGATTTGAAAAAGTCAAATTAATTTTTGTATTTAACTATTTTTTTTTTATTTTCAAAATTTCAACGATTAATGCCTCATATCCTATTTATTTTTTAATTTTAGGAACTTTTATGGGTTTTTTATTTTAATTTATCGTATATTGACGACTACATTTGTTTTGACTCAATTGGAGCGAAAGGACTTCCTTAAGTAATTAAAATATTTCGTGTGAGCTTAATGTTAAGAATAATTATGAGTCTTGGGGGACTCCCAGTAGAACGGGTAGTGATTTTTCAGTCCCCGTAGGTCCAGACGAGTGTCACACCATCAGCAAGATGAAGACTACCAAAGTCGAGTGTCAGGAGCTAAATACCGAGATGCCTCAAATAGAAGAAATACCTTCGTATTGTTTTACGCTGAAGGACAATTCTAATGGAATTGTTGAAGAATTTTCTGAGAAAGAAGAAAAGAATGATAAGAAAAAAATCAAACGCGGAGTGTCCATTGTTTCGGTGTCTGATGATGATTCTTTTAAAGCGCTCTCAAGAGATGTCAGCACTGATGACGTAAATTGTCAGTATGAAGTTAAAACAAATGGCGTGCATGAAAATTCAAAGCATGTGGAAGAAAAAATAATTGAAGAATATGGAGCGAATCACGCTATAAGGTACAAAGAAACAATTATTGAGGAGTGTTACGTTGAAAATGGACACAATGGAGAAATCCAAGATGTTAAAGAAGAAAAATCTCACAAAGCTGGTAAATTATCAAGACAGTCTTCTAAAATGGAGAGATTTGATTCTGTAGAGGTTGAAGAAAAGCAAGAAGTTGTTTTACAAAATGGCCGACCGCAAAACGCTGAGCTGGGAGAAAGTAAACTGACCAGACAGAATTCAAAGCTCGAAAGAGTCGAATCTGTTGAGAAGAAAATTGTAATTAAAGATTTAGAAACTTCTCAGACTCCGGAAGTAAAACAAAGCAAATTATCGAAGCAAAATTCTAAAATCCAGCGGCTGGAGTCTTTGGAAGAGAAGAAAGCTGTTGTAAATAATGGAGAGACTCCTCAGACTCCAGAAGTTACGGAAAATAAAATTGTAAGACGAAGCTCTACTCTCGAAAGACTTGAATCTATTGAAGAGAAGAAAGTCTACGCTAAAGAAACGGAGACTCCAGAGCCTCCAGTAGACAAACTTTCTCGGCAGAATTCTAGAATAAGTCGCGTTAATTCTTTAGAATCAAAATCGGAGAGCGTTTGTCTGTCTAGACAAAGCTCGCAGCGGTCCAATTCAATCGTCAATGGCAATCACGACGATGATGATGATGATGACCTAGATGACAAAACTCGAGAGCTTTTTGATCGCATCAAGCGACAAAGAAGCGTTCTCGAAGAAATTTTAGACAAAGAAGCTGATAAAAAAGATAAAATTGAAGCTAACGGTTATGAAGGTGAGAAGTTTTTTTGATACTGATTTGTTTTTTAATAAAAATTTTATTTATAGTAGCTTTTTTTTATTTTTTTTAAATACTTCTGCTTGGTAAAGTAAACTATTTATTTTATATATAATCATCCATTATTGCGTATTATCATTTATTTTATTTATATAATTATTTGTTATCCTTTCGTGCTTAATAAAATGCTCGGCTTGCATGTGTACACACCACTTCTACACCTACTCTTCTATCAGGCATTTCTTCTTTCTTCCCAAGGTAAGACTAAGTATGAAAATAATTATTTTATTATTAAAAAATTGAAGCTTTTCAATAAATTATAAGTATTTTTTTTATGTTCTTTTATTCTGACAATTAATACAATTAAAATTGATTAAAAACAGCGGCGCCGTCGATAGTAAGCTCAGACTTTGAAGATTGCACAGTATATGCGACACAGACGGTAACATTTACGGTTCATGGAAAAGGACTGCCTCGTCCTGACGCAAAGTGGTTCAAAGACGGCGAACCCTTGAAGTCTTCGGACAAAGCCAAACCAGGACAAGTCGGGGAGAAGTTTTCTCTCAACTTCACTAAAATCACTGAAAAAGAAACCGCATTGTATCAACTGGTGCTTACCAACAAACTAGGTACCGCCAGCGTTGACGCGTGCATTGAAGTAGCTCCGGAAAGTGAGCTCCGCAAGCCCAGGTTCATTGAACCCTTGAAAGACGTCGACGCTGAGAAAAATGGAGCTGGTACTTTCGAGTGTAAACTTACTGCTGATCCTATTCCTGATATCGTCTGGTAATTTTTTTTATTTTTTTTCTTTATAAATAAATATAAATATTGTTAATAATTTATGATTTTTAGGTCTCACGAAGGAGAAGAGATTTCTCCGAAAGACAAAAAATATAAAATGGAACGTACGAATAAAAAAGTTGAAGATTCTCTCACAGAGTGTATCTACACTCTCACTGTCAATGATTGTCTTCTTGAAGATGTTGGAAAGTACACGCTGCGTGCTGAAAATAAGTGGGGAGATGACAGTTCAAGTGTAAGAATTTTTTTTATCCAAGAGTTAGGGGTAGTCAGAATTTTCAAGAAATCGATTTATTTTGCATTTTCTTTAAGTATAGTATGTTAAAAATATTCTCTGAAAATTTAAAGTGAACCCGACAAATACTTTTCGAGTTATTCAACAAATAACAATGGGTGTAAAATTTTAAATGCGTTTTTCTCAAAACTATGTTTTTTGAACTGGTGATCACTGTAACTCGAAAACCGCTCCGTAAATTTTAATGAAATTTATACAATTTTTAGAATACATAAAAAACTTGTGCCTGATCGAAGGATTTTTTTTTTTAATTTCAATTTTTTATAAACAATGATCTATTGGCTTTTTTTCCAAAAATCTAGAGAAAAATTTTTTGAGGCCACCATTTTGTTAATTTTCAAAAAAAAAAAGCTTCGATCAACAAAACTAATTTTTTTTGTCCGATTGATTTTCGATGAATTTCCAAGGATTTATGATGATCACCGCAAGGACCTTTTGTTAAAACTGGGTCAACGCAAACAGCTATAACTTTTAAAGTTATCAATTTTTTTTTTTTTTTTTTTTTTTTTTTTTTTAAAATTTTCGTGAAGTCAAGTCAAAACATTGTGTAATAAAATGCCATATTATTACTTTTATAAAGTAAAATGATATTGAAAATTCTCATTTTTTCATGTCTCTGACTACCCCTAACCCCTTAATTACAGAAGAATTTTACAATTGAAATTAATTTTTTAGTCGCGTCTGGAGCTTTTGGTACCACCAACAATTCTTGAATTTAAAGAATTGGTCGCAGCGGTAGAAGAATTATGCAAATGGGAAGTACTAATAAAGTCAAACCCCAAAGCTGAGCTAACCTGGGAAAAAGATGGAGTTATTTTAGATGATGAAGTTCGCTTTGCGCAGGAAGATAATTTCCGAGACATGAAGTACTACTTGATATTAAAATGCGTTGAATATGACGACGCGGGTCCTTACAAACTTACAGCAAAAAATTATTTAGGAGAAGATACTGCAGAGTCAACATTAGTTCCTTACAGTAATAAATTTCTTCAATTGCTTTAGCACATTAATTATTTAATTAGTTAATTAATTTGAGCTTATTATTTATTTAACAGCTGAGCCACCAGAATTCATATTAGAAATAACAAACGGCTCAGTACGTCACGACGCGCCAATAGAGTTCAAAATTGAAGCTAAAGGAATCGCAAGACCAAAGATCCAATGGCAACTGAACGGCGACGAGATAATTGCCGACGAGCGTCATATCATAACGACTAAAATTGACGGGCATGTGTACAGTACACTCAGGATCGAGAAATTCCAGGAGGTGGACGAGGGTGAGCTAACATGTGTAGCAGAGAATCGCGCCGGAAAAGCCAAGTCTCACGCTACTGTGTCGATGATCCGTATACCACCCACGTTTGCTGAACTGCTTCCACGATCATTGCAAGTCGAGGAAGGAGCTCCATTGGTTCTTAATGTCGACGTTGACGGCAGTCCCTTCCCGAAGGTCACCTGGTTCAAGGATGGCGAAGTTATTGAATCCGACGATCATGTTAAAATTGAAACCCAGCCTAATGGGTCCACTAGACTTACTATTGAAAAATGCAAGCCAACTGATAGTGGTGCTTATAAAATTTTTGCTAAAAATAAAATTGGGGAAAGTACTTCTCAGTGTGCAGCTGCTGTTAAACGTAAGTATATTTATTATAATATAATTAATTATTAATAATAATGTAATTTATTAACTGACTATAGGACAACGTCCCCTAACAGCCAAAAGATACATAAAGTGTTACAGAATGTGTGAGAAAATCAAATATTAATTAAAACAAAACATTTATATGAAAAATAGTTAGAAATGAGAATAATGTTAATTATATAGTCTCTTATCATCAGAATGAATAAAGTTAAAACTTAAAAAAGAGGGAAATAATTAAAAAAGTAACTCAAAATGAGAACATAACATCAGGCATGATAATAATTATAATATAACATTTTATTTTATTATTTAGATCATAAAATTCTATTTAAAATAAGTACTCACACGCCTAGATTCATTTAAAATTATCAATCTGTGGAAAACCGCAAAAATCCACGAATTAGAAAAAAAATTGAAATTAATAATTTTTTTTAATTTTCATACACATTAAATCTAATAGAATTATTTAGAAATAATCTTACATAAATTTTTATTGAAATAATAATAATAATAATAATAATTTTTTTAGATTTTCAGGTAATTGGCTCTTCAGCCTAATACAAACAATTTTTATTTTTTCGTAACATTTTAGCCTGTGTTTCCTTCCAAGCATATACAATTTTGCCAAAATTCATATCTAAATCTGTCATTAAAGATAAATTTGACTGAAAAATTGTATATGCCTGGAGGGAAACATAGGCTAAAATATTATTAAAAAATAAAAACTGAAAAATTGTTTGTATTAGACTGGAGAGCCAATTACCTGAAAATCTAAAAAAGTATTAAAAACCAGTCTTTAGGGAGAAAAAAATATCAATACTAATAATTTAATTTAAATTAATTACAGCAACACCACGTAAGCCTTCATTCTCAAAATCACTTGAAGATACAGCAGTAACAGTAGGACAACCATTAAAACTTGAAGCCCAAGTAGTAGCATTCCCCAGCCCTGAAGTTCAATGGTTCAAAGACGGCCTTCCCGTACGTCAAAGCCCAGACATTGAATTTATCAACGAGCCAAACGGTCTGATGGGCATCTCAATCGAGAAAGTAAAACCTGAACACGCGGGTACTTACTCTCTGGTCGTGAAAAACAAATTAGGCGAGGTAACAGGCAAAGCAGTGGTGACAGTCGAAGCCAAAGAGAAGAAACCCGAGTTCTTGTCGACCTTGCAACCAATGACAGTAGTCGAAGGCTTCCCAGCGAAGATGGAGGTAAAGATTCTCGGCAAACCTCCACCATTGGTCGCTTGGACTTACAATGGCGTTGAAATAGTTCCCGATGGCACGCATATAAAAATAGTTTCGCAGCCCGACGGTACTCAGGCTCTTTTGATCGACAAGGTAACCGTCGACGACGCCGGAGAGTACGGAGTCGCAGCGCTGAACACTGTAGGCGAAGAAGAGTGTAAGGGAATCCTGAACGTCAGCAACAAGTCGAAGACCGACGCTCCTGAGGAGAGACCCAGCTTCGTGGGACCGCTCAGAGACTCTAGTATTGAGGAAGGCGAACCTTTGGCATTCAGCGCCTCCTTCGCCGGTAACCCGATGCCCGACGTCTTCTGGACCAAAGACGGCGAGCCTGTCAAGCCCTCGGAGCGTATCATGATGACTTGTGACGGTAAAAAGGTCGGAGTGACAATTAACCCGACTACTGCCAAAGATGCTGGGGTTTATCGTTGCCGTTTGGTGAATCCTTCTGGCGAAGACACATCCAGCGCCATCGCTACCATTCGCAAGATATTCCAGCGGCCTAACTTCACCCAAAAGTTCACCGACTTGCAGCAAGTGCCCGGCAATGACGCAAAATTCGCGGCCAGGATCACTGGAATACCCAGACCTGATATATCCTGGTATTTCAATGACAAGCCTCTTCCGAAAGACTCTGATAAATATGTTATAAAACGCGACGGTGATGCTTGCTCGTTGTTCATCAAGGATTGCAGTCCTTCAGACGCTGGAAAATATAAATGTCGCGCTGTTAATAAAGATGGTGATGCTGCTTGTGAAGCTACGCTGACTGTTGCTGATAGAATGTAAGTTATTTAAATTATTAAAATTATTTATTTATTTAATTAATTAATTAATTATTTATTGATTTATTTATTTATTTAGAGACAAGCAACAAAAAGTAGAACCTCCATCATTCTTGAAGAGAATTGGCGACTGTGAAGTCTACAAAGGAATGACTGCCAAGTTTACAGCATGCGCTACAGGAATACCTGACCCTAGTTTCGAGTGGTACCGCAATGACGAAAGATTGTGGCCCACTGATCGTATAAGGATGGATGAAGAAGGTAGCGGGCTGCTGCGGTTAACTATTTACAATGTCGATGAACATGATGTAGGAAAATACAGTCTTAGAATTATTAATCCTCATGGTGAAGATACTTGTCATGCTGAAATGCGTTATGACAGTAAGTTATTTTATAAAATATAATTAGCAATAAATTACGATACTGAAATTGATAGACATTTGATAATTTTTAGAATTTTTCAAAAAATAAATTATGATAAAAATTGATTTTAAAAATTTCATAATTGGAAACTCTAAAAAATTAAAAAAAAAAACTAGTAATCTTGCAGTCACTATGTGACTGCCGTGACTTTTGAACTGTAAATAAAAGTTTGCTTTATTAAATAATTACTTTTGTTAAATTGCACTGTGCTTTCTTAACTATTGACGTTTTTAAAGATATAAGCTCATCCCGATGTTACACTCATCAAGAGCTTTCATTTGAGTACCCACATGAATTTTGATATATTTTTCATATATACATATATATAATATATATATAAATATATGAAAAATTGATGTGGGTACTCAAATGAAAGGTGTCGATGAATGTAATGTCGGAGTGAGCTTATATCTTGAAAAATGTCAATAGTTCACGAGATACAAGGTAATTTCTTAATTATGTACACTAGAGATAGAACATTTTTGAATGCAGCCTAAATAAATTGACTATCAAGGGACTATCGATCAGCCAAATACCCTTGCAATGACACCAAATTTCACTAAAAAACCGATTTTATCATATGAATATTCTAGAGACAAAATTTTTCTTATTCTCTTAATATAGATAATTTTCTAGACGTAGTTTATTTTCCAAGAAAAATAAAAAGAATTGTCAAATTGTCAAATGTCTGCTAATTTCACTAATAAAAAATGATAATTAAAATATTTTTTCCAGCTTTGGAACCCCGTACAAAGAAGCCTTTAGCCGATCAATATTCAGAATTCGACAAGTACCGCAAGTCAGGTATCCCCTTGCCTCTAGCAGACCGTCCAATAATCAGCCGAATGATGGACCGACACCTGACGCTCTCTTGGAAGCCGTCGATCCCGATCGGTCCTCGAGTCCCGGTGACATACCTAGTAGAAATGTGTGAGCTTCCAGACGGCGATTGGTTCACAGCGCGTTCAGGAATCCGAAGCTGTGTCTGCGACATCAGAAATCTAGAACCGTTCCGGGACTATAAATTCCGCATCCGGGTGGAGAATAAATACGGAATCAGCGACCCATCGCCATTCGCTCAAACATACAGGTCTAAACTACTTCCAGACCCGCCAAAGTTCCACCCATACCTACCTCCAGGGATCGACTTCCGTCCCGAGACATCTCCATATTTCCCCAAGGACTTCGACATCGAGCGTCCGCCTCACGACGGGTACGCGCAGATTCCAAAGTTCCTGCGACAAGAGCACGACACCCAGTACGGCGTAAAGAACCACAACTGCAACCTCTTCTGGTTTGTCTACGGCTACCCGAAGCCCAAGATGACCTACTACTTCAACAACGAGTTGATCGAGTCCGGGGGTCGCTACGACCAGAGCTACACCCGCAATGGCCAAGCGACACTGTTTATCAACAAGATGCTGGAGCGCGACGTCGGGATGTACGAAGCCGTGGCGACCAACGAGCACGGAGAAGCGCGCCAACGCGTCAGGCTGGAGATAGCCGAGTACCCGACGTTCATCCAGCGCCCTGAAGAGTCCTACATAATGCTGAGACGCAACGGACACATCCAAGCCCGGGTAACCGGCGTTCCGTTCCCAGAACTCAAGTGGTACAAGGACTGGAAGCCCCTGGCGCCGACAGCTCGCATCAAGATCGACTACTTCGAGCCCGACACTTCCGTCCTCACGATAAACGACGCGATAATAAAGGACGAGGGTCTCTACTCCATCAGCGCCAGGAACGTCGCTGGCTCCGTCTCCTGCTCGGTGATGATCCACATTGAGGAGAACGAACACGAGTACGGCTACCGCACCTACACTCGCAGCTCCGATGTTAGAGCCAAGAGCAAACCCTTCGACGAGTTCTATGACCTGGGTGATGAACTGGGCCGTGGAACTCAAGGAGTCACCTATCACGCGGTAGAGAGATCCACTGGACGCAATTACGCGGCTAAGTTGATGCACGGCAGAGGCGAGTTGAAGCCCATCATGCTCGGCGAGATGTACGCGATGAACCACCTGAACCACCGGAGACTCATCCGGCTCCACGACGCCTACGAAACCGACGGGTCCTTCAATCTCGTGATGGAACTCGGCGCCGGAGGAGAATTAGTCGACACTTTGACTCGCAATCCCTTCTACAGCGAGTACGAAATCTCTCACTACATCAGACAAATTCTAGAAGGGCTGGAGTACATGCACAACGAGAGCTGGGCTCACTTGAGTCTCACCCTCGGCGATTTGCTGATTTCTCATCCGGGAGGTGACAGTTTAAAAATATCAGACTTTGGTCTCGCAAGAAGAATTTCTTACAACCGGTTGATGACACTCGTTTACGGAATGCCGGAGTATGTCGCTCCGGAGGTCGTTAACAATGAAGGAGTTACTTATGCAGCGGATATGTGGTCTCTGGGTATCATCACTCACATCCTCTTGTCCGGCATTTCTCCGTTCCGCGGCGCTAATGACAGAGAAACGCTGACTAAAATTAAAAACGGAGTTTGGGACTTTGACGAGCGATGGTGGCAACATATTTCTATAGAAGCTCGGGACTTTATTCGCAAGCTCCTGGTTTACCAAATTGACGAGCGTATGGACGTAACTGCGGCTCTGCGCCACCCTTGGTTGAATATGACCGACAGGATTCCCGCTGAGCCCTACAAAATTCCCTCGGAGAATCTCAAGAATTACTACACCTTGTACAGAGACTGGTACAGCAACGCTTCCTGTCGCACGTGGTACCGCAGACGGAAACTGAGCAGTGCCTTCGAGCATCCCTCAAGGATGATTTACCCACCAGGTCACCGGTACACTCCTGAGCCCGAGGAGAGACCTGCTACTCCCAAGCGCGAAAAACGCGAGCCACAAACCTGGGAAAACAAAATTCCTTCTCGCGTGCCAATTGACACTGAGATAGGTTTGATTAAAAATGAGAGCCACTATCAAAATGGTCCTGATACATATCTCCTGCAGTTACGTGACACAGATTTTCCTGTACGGCTCAGGGAGTACATGAAGGTCGCTCATAACCGCGGCTCAGCCTTTGCAAGAGTATTTGATGATGATGGCTACGATTGGAGAACTCCGATAATTCGCGAGCGCAGAAAATTCACCGATGTGATGGACGAGGAAATTGATGATGAGCGCAAAGCGAGGATTAATAACTACGGCGCTGCTGATTGCTATACCATGAGACGTCTGAAGCACGAACTAGGAACCAGGCTGGACTCTTACGCCGAAGCCGAGGCGATGATGGAGACCAAAAAAGGCGGACACTTGCCGTTTTTCCGCGAAAAGCCGCAAATTTTGAAGATTCAATGTGGAAAATGCGCTCAGCTGACCTGTCTGGCGGTCGGAAATCCCAAACCTGCGGTCCAGTGGTTCAAAAATGACCTGGTGATCCAGGAAGGCAAGCGCATTGCTATAATTGAGGACACTGACGGCAGATCAATCTTGAGTTTCAGCCCCGCGAGGGAGCAAGACATCGGAATTTACAAAGTTGTCGCGAGGAATAATGTCGGGCAGACTGTTGCAAGAACTCGCATTGTTCTTGCAACTGAACCAAGCATACCTCAAGCTCCTGAAGTTTGCAATGTGTCGGACACGGAGGTTCTGCTGCGCTGGCAGCCGCCGAAGTACGACGGAAACTCGGAAGTTCTTTGCTACAATTTGCAATACAAAGCTGGAGATTCTGTCGACTGGATTGATGTTGCTAGTAATATTGATCACGAGTTTTACTTGGTGAAGGACTTGCAGCCGAATACTAGCTACCACTTCCGTCTGGCCGCGAGAAATCGCATCGGGTGGAGCGAGCACGGCTTCGAGACAAATCTGGTCCAAACCAAGACTGAGGGAGCGCAGAAAGTTCCAATAAGCCGCGCGATGAAGCACCTACAGTACTTGACCGAGTCAGGTCATGAAATAATCACTGATGAAGACAAACCCAAGATAAACTACGACGTGGAAGATGAACCTATTGAGTGGACAATTGACGCCCAATTTACTGGCCGCTACACCTTTATTTCAGAAGTTTTCCGTGGCCAGTTTTCAATAGTCGTTAAAGGAGCTGAGAAAGAAACTGACAAGATGGTGGTTGCTAAAATTCTAGATGCTAGTCCGGAGAGGAAAGAACTAGTTGGTGAGGAGTTCCAGGTCCTGAGATCGCTTAGACACGAGAGAATAGCTCTGCTGGACGCGGCTTACTGGGCAGCTGGCTCTCCGGTCGCCGTTTTTATCATGGAAAAATTACAGGGCTCAGATGTGCTGACTTATTTGGCCAGCAGGCCTGAATATTCGGAAAATTGTGTAGCTACGATTATCACTGAAGTTCTTGACGCTTTGCAATACTTACACTGGCGCGGATTCGCGCATCTGGATATACAGCCTGACAATGTTGTCATGGCCTCTCTCAGGTCCGCGCATATTAAATTAGTCGACTTTGGCTCTGCGCACAAAGTTTCTAAACTTGGCACTGAGGTACCTCAAAATTTGGGACACCTGGAGTACAGGGCTCCTGAAGTACTCAATGAAGAGCTGACTTATCCCCAGGCAGACATCTGGGGTGTCGCTGTTCTTACCTACGTACTTCTTTCTGGAAGATCTCCATTCAAAGGCAATGATGATCATGAAACCATACAGAATATTTCATTTGTTAGGTACAGGTTTGAGTATTTGTTCAAAGAAATTAGTCAAGAAGCCACGAGGTTCCTTATGTTGCTGTTCAAGAGAACACCTAGGTAATGATTTTTTTTTTATGTTTTTTATTTTTGTTTTTTTAGATTGTAAGGTTGAAATTTTTAATTTATATGATGACTTTGGATCTTGTGAACCATTGAAATTTTTAAAGATATAAGCTTACCCCGACATTACACTCATCGAGACCTTTCATTTGAATACCCACATCAATTTTTCATATATTTATATATATTATATATATATGTATATATGAAAAATATATGAAAATGCATGTGGGTACTCAAATGAAAGCTCTTGATGAGTGTAACATCGGGATGAGCTTATATCTTTAAAAACGTCAATAGTTAAGAAAATACAGTGCAATTTAACAAAAGTAATTATTTACCCGGTTATAATTAATAAAAATATTTTTATTTATTTAGCAAAAGACCTACAGCCGAAGAATGTCATGAACACAGATGGTTACTACCCACTGAATTTATGATCAGAAAACGGGAACGTGCAATATTCCCAGGTAGCAGATTGAAAACTTACAACGAAGAGTACCATGAAGAAAAAGCTAAGGTTGCTACGAAAAATGAAAACCTGATGATGGCTTTTGGCAACATTCGCCAATTGAACAGATCATACAGCACAGAAGACGAGTTAATCACATCTATTGATAATATTCAATAATTTATGTGATTTTTATAACATTAACGTTATTTATTTTATTATTACTATTATTGATTAATTATATATATTTATATAATACATTATTTTACTTAAATATCATGAAATTTAAAAAAGTCATTTGATGGACACGAGTCTGTTAAATTTGTTATTTTTAGTTGAATTTATTTTTTTTTGTTAATACTTTAATTTATCAAGTATTATAAATTTGAAAAATTATTATCATAATTATAAATACTATTATTATTATTATTATTGGCTGTTTCGTAGTTAGATATTAATAAATAAGAAAAAAAATTGTTAATTTGCAATTAAATAAATTAAAAAAAAAATTTACTCGTTTTATTCATCAAAATTTTTATTAAATATTCTTGAAATATATTCACAAAAACGTTTTTCTTTTTTTCTAAAATTAAATATTTAGAAAAAAAAATAAAAAAAAATAAAGTTATGTAAAAAAAAATTATTTTCGAAGACTAGCAAAAAAAAATTGTTTCAAAAGTCTAGTTTCATTTTAAAATTGGAAAAATAAAATTAATTTAGTTTAAATATTACGAAGACAATATTCTATTCGCGATTAAAAAATGTACAAGAATGAAAGATTATTTAATATTACATACAGTATTACTTATCACTTATCATACTTAGATAGAAAAGTTATTCGAATCATCTCTTGGCATACTGAATGACGTACTCATGAGCTTTGTTGCGAAACGATTCTTTATCATTTAAAAATAAATCTGCAGCATCTTTATTTAGTGGATCATCAAAGTTCAGGAGGTCCTAAATTAAATTATCCAATAAAAACTCAATTAAAAAAATTAATAATTTAAGTACTTACAGTAAATAACGAATTCAAGCCCCACACAACATCTTTGAGTTTTCTGGTTGGCGCCCAGCCCATACCATCAATGCTACTTTGTCTTAAAATTGACAAGCAAACTTCCCCGTCAAGATTTATATTTGGATGCCAGAGTTTTGTTAAACATTTGACTAATGGCGGCTGTAATTAAATTAAAGATTTTATTATTTAAATAGTAAATTTATAATTTGATCATTTACATTAATTATAAATTAAAAAAAAATACCGTCATGTTATATTCTTCGGGTATATGAACTTGGAAATAAAATTTACCACCCATCCAGTATCCTTCATCAGGTACGATCGTTATAATAAATTCATGGAGGCGATTAGGATCATTAAATGTCACTTGACAGGTATTCGGTAAAGTTTGCTCCATTTCTTGGACCTTAAAAAAAATTAAAATTAAATTAGCAGATATTTGATGATTTAAATCATTTTTGTAACAATTAAACTATAGTAAAAAAAAAAATTGACATGTAGAAATTAAAAAAAAAAAAATAATGTAATTTCTAAAAAATAATTTTTTAAAACAAATTTATGATATTAAAATTAGCAGTCACTTGACAATTTTTAATGTTTTTTAAAAAACAAATTTGTTCCAAAAAATTATTTTTAAAAAATTGCATTTTTAATTTTTCAATATTTCTGCATATCAATTTTTTCTTCTAATTTTTTTTGCTTTAATTTATTTGCTAAAAAAAATTTTTTAAATTAATAAATGTCTGCTAAACTAATTTCCATAACAAACTTGCTTGTTGGATAAAATTAAAAAATTCTTTAGTGAATGCTAACTTTAACATTATAAAAAAAAATTATTTATGATTGTCATCTATGACTTAAAAGTTAGCCAACACTTGACCATTTTTAATTTTTTTTTAACAAACAAATTTTTACAGAAAAAAAATTTTTTTAAAATTGCATTGTTGATTTTTTTAAATTTCTACAAGTCAATTTTTTTGCCATAATTTTTTTTGTTAAAAAAATTATTAAATATCTGCGAAATTAATTTTTATTTTTTAGCTTAACAATCACACAAACAATCGCAATTAATATAAACACAAACTTACCTCTTTTACTAACAATTTATCCCGGACAGAAATACGTTTATTAAAATCTTTCGACTTTGACACTTCTCCGTCTTTTTTTAATTTTCCTTTCAATGTTATCATTTTTTTTTATATATATTATTTTATTCCTATCAAATTTAATTGTTATTTTTTCAATATCAGCTCACTAACCTCTCTTGGAAATTACTGAAACAAGTTTAAGTTAGTTCTAGATAAACATTTGGAGTACATACACTAAATATATATTTAAATCTAAAGACATACCTTTAAAAAATTATTTTAATTACTCTACAAATGTAATTATTTTTATTTATACAGTACTTTTCCGGAAAAAAGTTATTTTTTCCGTTAAAAATAATAATACAAATGAAAATCCCCCACCCTACAAGTTTCAGGTTTTCTTAACACAACAATAGAGAGCGCATGCGTCGTACTTCTTATTATTTTATTTATTTTATTAGTGTTGATGATAAACAAACAAGTTAAAAATTTTTATAATTAAATAAAAATAATGTCTGAAATTGAGTGGCCATGGCAATATAGTTTTCCACCTTTTTTTACGTAAGTTACCTTTTTAATTTAATAATAAAATATATATTTATTAACTTATTTATTTAATTATTGACAGATTACAACCGCATGCTGAAACAAAAGAGAAACAATTGTCAGCATGGACAAGTCTTGTTTTAAATTATTACCAATCAACAAAACAATCTATTTTGGACGTCAGGGAAATTAACTCTACTCCACTATTTAACAATACAACTATTCAGAGTATTTATTATTTATTTATAAATGTTTAATTTTATTAATGATACTGAAGTTAGCTGACAACTCAATTTTTTCGATTTTTATAACATTAATTACAATAAAAAAATAATACTTAAAAAAATTTCCACTAATAACTTTTTTTAATTTTTACATGTAGAATTTTTTTATTATACATTTTTTTCATAATCATTTAATTTCTGTAAAATAATAAAAAAATTTCTAATGTCTGTCAACTTCAGTGATGAAAATTAATTTAGCAGATATTTAATAAATTTAAGAATGGTCAAGACTGCTAACTTAAATGTCATACTTCAGTGTAATAAATATTATTCCATTATTAAAGAAAATTAATTTAACAGGAATTTAATAGTTTTTTTAACAAATAAGTTATGGAAAAAAAATTGACATATAAAAATTAAAAAAAAAAAAAATAAAAATGCAATTTTGTTAAAATAATTTTTCAGAAAAAAATTATTTGTTATAAAAAAAAATCAAAAAATGGTCGAGACTGCTAACTTTAATGTCATCCATTATTATTTAATTTTTAAAAAGTTTTTATCACCAATAAAAATTTTTCTATTCACAGGAAAGTTGTCAGCAGAAGTCGTACAGCTAATTCTAGAAAGTTTACAAAAATCCGGTAATGCTACACCTTTAGATAAGACAAAGCAAAGATGGTTAATCCACTGGCATACCTTGGAGGAATGGGGTAATATTGTTTACAACTGGGCCCAGGAAAACGGATTTATTAATAGTGTTTGCACATTATTTGAATTGACTCAAGGAGAGAATACCGTTGACCAAGGTAAAAATAATCAGAATAATAATTTTAAATAAATTTAAATTAATTATAAATTATGACTAATTTGTTTTTCATAAATTACAGAATTCTATGGAATTGATACAGAAGTTCTAATAAGGTCGCTCAAAACACTAGAAGCCCAAGGTAAAGCTGAGTTAATAATGTTTGATGATAATCAGGGTGTTAAATTTTTCTAAAAATTTTTAAAGTCAATAAATCGTTTTTATTTTACAATATTCATATTCATATATTATTAACACATAAAAAAACAATATTTATTATAGTATGTATATCATACAATTAAAACAGTACGAAATAAAAATATAAGCACCTTCAATCAGCTTTATGATATATTAATTTAAAAGTAAGTAATTAGTAAATTATAAAAAAAAGTAAGCACCGATTAAAAATTAAATATACAATATATTATCTTGAAATCAAAAATCGCCAATGGAATACTTTTTATCAGCTGAATTAAGTATTAATTAAGTTTACAAATCTTGCTGATAGTCAATCACCTGACATCAGTTACCTAATCGCTAGGTACGCAATATTGTATCGTATGTACAATTATTTAAAAAATTTATTTTATCCCATGACGTTCTTTGGTGGTTATTAATTAATTCAACAGACTTTGGGCTCTTATATATTTTTTATATTAAATATTAATTAATATAATAGCCCGATTTTATAAATTTGATTGTTAAAACGACTAAATGATTAAAAATTAATTTCTACGAGCTTGATAATATGAATTGAGAATATTAATGGCAGTTGAAGATTTAAAGACATACATTAATTTTAAGTACTTTAAGTACTCATTTTATATGTCTGATTAATTAAACAAATAAAATTCCATATCGAGATCTTTAAATTCCAGAAGATTTATGATAAACTCGAGAATTAATTGTATAAAAATTATGGCAAGATAAATGAGTATTTAGTATTTAAACTCATTAATTTTATGTTATAATAAAATTAACAAGAAGACACTGCGGTAAGTATCTTGCAGGAATATCCTTACGGACAAGAATATTAAAATATATTCTTTAATAAAAAATTTCAAGCCTCGGTTTTGCTAAGCTGTGTAAGCTCGACCGCTTCTTCTTGCTGTCTAGCATTGATGGCGTCCAGTTCACCTCGGCTCATCTTTTCAATAATACACGCACCTAGTGCATCACAGACCACGTTTATCGTTGTCCTGAATCGGTCCCTAATAAATGGAATAAAATATTTAATATGGTTAAATATAATTAAATATTTAATAAGACTTACAAAAGCCAATCGACGGCAATAATCAGCGAGACGTCTTCTGGAGGTAGACCGACGGTGTCAAGCACCATTACCATTGTCACCAATCCAGCTTGAGGAATTCCAGCAGCCCCTATACTTGCGGCAGTTGCAGTGACACTAAAAATAATTTATTTAATTAATCTTTATTACAGTAAGTATTTTTACCGGAAATTAAAAATAAAAATTTGTGATTAATGATTCAAATTTTTGATATTGTGGCTAAAATATTGGTCCTATAAAAATTTTTTTAAATAAAAGTTGTTCAAAATTTAATTTTATAAAAAAAAAAAATTTTTTTTATGTTTTTTCTTTAGGATCAATAATTTTACTACTAATTTTTCATTATAAATCTTAATTTTAGAATTACAGCGAAAATATTTGTTTTTTTTTTTTTTTTTAAATCATAAGAAACATTTTTTTTTATAATTAACTTTTGTTAAATGAATTTTTTTATAGGATCAATATTTTTGCCGTAATCCCTAAAATTTTAACCATTGATTTCAAAATTGCGGCTAAAATTTTAGCCCTAATCATCATTAATAACTTACCTAACACCGATGACTTTACTCAATGACATTTCAATCCCCCGGAGTTGTGCGATGAAAATAGCTGCGACGGCTTCATACAACGCAGTACCATCCATGTTAATAGTGGCTCCGATGGGGACGACGAACCTGGTAATTCTCGGATCCAGACCCATCTTATCCAGACATTGAAGCGTAATAGGAAGAGTTGCGGAACTGTTCAAGTTTATTGACCAATAAATTTTATTATAAAAAAAAAGTAATTGGAAGAATTAAAAGTAAGATATTATAAAAAAAAAATAATTGAAAGAATTAAAAGTAAGATTTATTTTTATTTTTTAATAAAAAGGTCGTTGTACCTCGATGCTGTTCCGAAAGCCGTAACAGCTACTTGACCCATTTGACTTATGGATTTGAATGGCAACTCGCGGGTGCATACGAAGTAGATCACTGACAGAGTGCCGAAGCCGTGGATGAACAGCCCCAGCAGGACTGTCATGAAGTACCATCCCAGGGTACCCACCACTACGCCGAAGTCGTTGATTTCAAGAAGCTTGGAGGCCACCAAAAATGTCACACCAAGAGGAGAAAGCCTAAGAAGAATATTTTGGTTGATTAGCTAATTTATTAATTTAATCTGGCAATTAATGACAACTCAATTTTTATGAAACTCAAGTTAACCGACGTTTTTTAAATTTTTTTTTTCATTTCATAAATTAGAACTATAAAATATTTTTAAAAATTGCACTTATAGTTTTTTAAGTTTTTAACAAGTGAAAATTTTTTTTTAATAAAAAAAATTCTAAAAATTTTATGGAAATTGACTTGGCATATATATAGTAATTTTTGTAACAAATAAATTGTGGCATAAAAAATTAACATTTAGAAATTTAGAAAAATTAAAAATACAATTTTTTAGTTAAATAAAATTAAAAAGTATTTAAGTGATTGCTAACTTTGACGTCATAAAAATTTTTAATTGTCGGTTAACTTAATTTTCATTAATTTTTTATGTGCAGTAAATCTGATGACGTACCATATTACCCAATTGGTTATTATCATCATTGCGTCAGAGAGCGAGGTGAAGAAGTCCAAAAGCGGCTTACCAGCGTCCCCCATTTTTCCGATGGTGATACCCAAAATAATGCCAAATATGACAAGACCAAGTGTGTTGGTACCGTCGTGGTACTCATGGTCAATATTCCAGTCGTACATACTATTAACTGGGAAAGAATAATAATAATAATAATAATAATAATAATAATAATAATTATCAATTACAGGAAACTTGATGATCTTTTCATTTAATATTTATTTATATCTTATCGTAACTATTTACTTGACCTTGATCAATTAAAGAAGACTACTGTGTTAGCAGTAAATTAATTTAAGCGTTATGTAAATAATTATACTCTTTATTATTACCTCCAGTCATATTTTTGGGCATTATCAGCTTGGTCTGGTACTGAAACAGTAATTGATAATCGCTGTTAGTTTTTTAATAGAAATAAATCATTCCGTAAGCTCGTGCGATAAGCATATATCAAAGAATAAATATAAATATTGTTTGCTGATAGGTTTTTTTTGTTTTTGTATAAAATCAAAAGTTATCAATGATCTAAATTCAAATTTATCTTTAAATTATTTTACTTTTTTTACTTACGTGTTTCAGACATGCTTGGACTAAATTCGAGGGGAAAATATTTCTGTAAAATAAATTTATTAAGTTATTATTCAAAATTGAGAGTGAAGAAATGAATTTTTTTTTTTTTTTTCAAGAAATGTTGCTTATTTAATAAAAAAAATTTAAAGCAATAAATTTATTTATTATTATCCAAAATTGAGAGTGAAGACATAAAAATTTTTTATTTTCTTCAAGAAGAAATATTACTTATCTAGTAAAAAAAAAATTAAAACAATAAATTTATTTATCTCATTCTAAGGTATCAAATTTTATTTCTTTTTTTCTTCAAAGACTATTTTAAATAAATACTTTACCTAACTAAATCTAGAAGAGTATCAGTCGTTGTAATATTTCTCGGTGGTTTGTAATCACCAGGATCGACGACAAATACTCCACCTTCTGTACTGACAACTCCAGGACGAATTGACAGTACAAGGATAATTCCCAATATTACAGCAGTGACAGTGGTCGTTGCATAATAGTAGATCGATCTCATACCAATCCTTCCTGTAAGTAATCAAATAATTAAAAACACTTGAATAATCTTTATCTGTTCGATAAGATTTTAAATAAAATTTTTTGTCTATTAGAGTAGAAAAAAATGTTACATAATTGATAAAATTTGTTGGGATTGCTTGTATTAATAGCTAGAAAAATCCAAGGTGGTACCAGATAAACTAAGGTCCAGACTTCCAATAGCGGTGATGATACTTCCGACGATAAGAGGCAATATAAGTGCCTTGAGCATCCTCAAGAAAAGATCACCAACGAAGTTAACGTACATGATATCACGCTTCGACCATGCTGTCGATTTCGAAGCTCGTAATATAAATCCAAGTGCGACTCCAGATAATACACCCAAAACTGTCAGCATTGTCAGCAAATTTTCCGACATGCAACTTTTCCATCTTTTCGGCCTCGCCATTTTCAGTCAATCTGAAATTATTTTTATTATATAAAAATTTTTTTAGCAGATATTTGATTATTTTAAAAATTTTTTTAATAAATAAATTATGATAAAAAAAAATTGACATTTAGAAATTTAAAAAAATTAAAAATACAATTTTTTTTTTAATAATTTTTTGGAAAAAATTAAAAAATGGTCAAGTGACTGCTAATTTTAATGTGATATTTTTATGAAAATTAATTAAGCAGATATTTAATAATTTTTTTTAACAAATAAAATATGGAAAAACAAAAATTGGCATTTAGAAATTTTAAAAAATTAAAAATGCAATTTTTTAAAAATAATTTTTTGGAAAAAATTTGCTTATTAAAAAAAGGTCAAGACTGTTAATTTTAATGTCATATTTTTATGAAAGTTAATTTAGCAAATATTTGATAATTTTAAGAATTTTGGTAAAAAGTAAATTATGGCAAAAAAATTGACATTCAGAAATTAAAAAAAATTAAAAATACATTTTTTTTTAAAACAGATTTTTAGAAAAAATTTGTTTATTAAAAAAAAATTTAAAAATGGTCAAATGACTGCTAATTTTAATGTCATATTTTGATGAAAATTAATTTAGCAGATATTTGATAATTTTAAGAATTATTTTAACAAATAAATTATGAAAAAAAAAATTGATATTTAAAAATTTTTAAAAGTTAAAAATGCAATTTTTTTTTAAATTTCTTTTTTAAAAAAAATTAAAAAATGGTCAAGTGACTGCTATCTTTACTGTCATTTTTATTATTTATTACTGCTGTAAAAATAATTTTATTTAATCAGCACCTGCGTAATTGACAATGCAAATTGCGTATATTAAATTTTGGATGCAATTCGATTCGCATTGTCTGCCAAATATTTTATTTCATAATTTATAAACACCGATTATTGTTATTATTAGTATTTATAAATATACATAAATTATAACACACTAATAAATATATCTAAAATAATTTTTTTAAATAAACAATATAAATTTTTACAAATTAATTAAAAAATACTTTAATTATTGCAGATATAAAAACTTTCAGTGTTATAATTATTTAAAAAAATGTATTTAAGAAACTAGGCCAATTTTGATAATTCTTTTTCGATAAAAAAATAATCTTAATTACTGAAAAATAAAATTATTTAAAAACTAAAGATCAATAATAATAAAAAGATATTTAACAATGATCAAAGGTTAAAATAAAGTAATGAAAAAATCTAAAATAAAATAATTATTTCCTTTGAGAAGATAACATTAATTAGCAATAAATAAAAATTTTTATCTTGACAATTTTATAAATATTATTAATAATAACTAACTGTTGTTAATATAATAAACACTGTTAATATTTATACAGACCACTATAATTATAAATAAACAAATCAGTTAATGAATATGATAATTGATGATATTATTGAGGATGGTAAGCATCCGATTTGAAATAAATTCCTAACGGTACTGGTGCGAGTACGCTCAGACAAACAGCTCGTTTTAAACATTGTTGTTATTACAACTAGTACTCTTTAATAGTGTATTTAAATAGTTTAACAAATTTAGTTGACGGTCGCAATGTGAGAAATAAACCTATAACAATTATAAATATATACCTACTAAAGAAGAAATTACATTAAAGTTGACCATTTTTTAATTTTTTTTTTAAATTTTTTTCTAAAAAAATTAAAAAAAAAAATTTTTATTGTTTAAAATTTCTACATGCCGATTGATTTTTTTTTAATTTTTTTGTCATAAATTATTTATTCAAAAAATTATGAAATATATGCTAAATTAATTTTCATACCGAAGAAATCAGTCTTGACCATTTTTTAATTTTTTTTTTTACAAACAAATTTGCTTTAAAAAATTATTTTAAAAAAAATTACATCTTTTATTTTTGAAAATTTTTACATGTTAATTTTTTTGCCATAATTTATTTGTTTTACTATTTAAAATTTTTTTTTTAACAAATAAATTATGGCAAAAAATTATTTAAAAAAAAATTGCATTTAAAATTTTTTTTTTAATTTCTACATGCAAATTTTTTTTACCATATTTTATTTTTTAAAAGAAATTCTTAAAATTATTAAACATCTGCAAAATAAAATTTCATACTGAAGAAATATACTACAAAGTAAAGAGAAAACAAAACTCCAGTTGCTAGTTGCAATTTTTGTTATTCAAACTGCAGAGTGAATAAAAAAAAAAAAAAAAAAACACTTTGATGTTTTATAAACAATAAAATTTAATTGTAAACACAGCACAAAAATATTTTTTATCACTTACCAGTCACGAATAAAATAAAAATCACTTTAGAATCGCTCGGCGCTCAATTTAAACCAATGAGCGTTCTGTACGTTTTTATTAAAAAATTTATCTAAAAATTGTAAAATATTTAAAATTAACTCCTTAAGTGAATGTGCACACGCGATCACTGTTGCTGCTAGACTGGTTGAGAGTCAGCGAGTTGACTCGCGGAATTCTTGATCCGTGGTCGCGTGGAAGCAACATGTGTGTGTTCGACGGGGAAACTGGCACATTGAAAAATTTACGAAGAAGGGAGTCAAACACATTTAACACACAAGTACTTACACATGGACTTAAATATATTTGAAAGTGAGAGTAAACATAAACTTACACAATCCCATTAAAAGATACACCGATATGTTAATTATCAATGGTATCTCCTTTCTTCAGCGTGCATATCACTCTTTCGGGATTTCCAAAAAATCAAAACAAAAAAATCTTCGCTCTTATTTAAATATTTAATAACATCAGTGATTATTTTTCTGAGTTAAATTCGACTTGCATTTAAGATAGATTAAAAAAAAATGTATTTCTTACGCAAGATTTGATCGAGCCTATGCTTATCTATTTATCTGTAAATTAACATATTAATACGAAAGAAAGAAAATTTATCAAGACTTACGTAACTAAAATAATTGGGTCCCATTTAAATGAGGGTCCAAAAACTAAAATCGAGGTCACTGGTAATTTTTTATCTGGTTTTTTGCCTCCACTTCCTGCTCTTCTTATTTCTTCCCGTCTTTATATTCTCACAATCTAATAAAAAAAAAAAAGAAAAAACAACAACACACATTCGTGGGACGAATATGGGAGTTTTAATTTTGTCCTCGACAATGAAAATAAAATAAAATAGTAATTACAATTACTATTATTTAAATAAACGGTTTAATTACTCAAAGCGTTTGCTGACAAAAAAAAAAAAACGCGTTATCTTGTTACGCAATCAATTGTAGCTTGCATAAATATTCCACACTCGTGTATGTTAATATTTCCTCAATGAATTATTTAATGATTAGTTATTACACAAAACTAATAATGATAATGCCTAAGTGGGATTTGTTAATTGTCAGTTTTGCAGCAAATGCTCGCAAGAGTATTTCAGGTATAAGCTGAAGAAGAAAATCCGCTTTGTTACTCTGTACACCTACTCGGGGATTAAACTTGTTTTTAACTACAGAATGTATTACGAAATTTATTTCAGATAATTTAAATAAATAAATAAATAAATATGGTAATAAGGTGATATGTAATGTATATTTTATGTTTACATAGGCGTGATGAACATGAATAAGTTGATTGGGAATAGAAGTCAAGTTCTTGTCCTTGGTTAGAAGAGTTTCATTTGGATTAATCGTAGATCCGTCTTCGATGGTTATGAATGTGCTTTGTGTTGGCCCTAGAATTTTATACCGATAAACGGGCATGTTTTTTATCCGGGAGAAGATTAATAATACAATAATAAACCTAAGGCTTGGTGGGAAGAATATATGCGGTCATCTATGGAGTAATTCATGGGGGGAAAAAATTTCATAACAACTCACTATTTTTATTCTTTATAAAAAAAATTATTTTTAAGGATTGAAAATATTTATAATTATTAAAAGAATTTTAATTTTATTATTTTTAATAATAAAATATTAATATTTATTCTTTTTTTATTTCTTCTCTGTAATTTTTAACTTTTAACTGTGAATTATTTATTTATAATATATTTTTATGAATAAATAAATTAAGTATGAAGAAAAAAATTAGTCTGAGAAGAAATATTAATTATATCCAGATAAAGATTTTTTGACTCGGAATTTGTTAACATATATTAATTTTTTAAAAGAAGAATATCAATACTTATTTTTGTTATAATAAACAAACAGCTTCATTGAATTTAATTAAAAAATTAAATAATTCTTTAAACAAAAAATTAAACTTGAAAAATTAAAAAAATATATTCTTCTTGTATGAAGATAAATTTTTAATAAACATATTTTTTTTTCTCAGTATATTACGACCTTCTAATTTATTTATTCATCATTCGAGGAAATGAATGTGGGAATTTGTCTATCAGCTTAAATTTAATTCTTTTTTTGTTATTATTAGAGTGCAGACGATGGAATTGTTGAACTAATTAGATTGAGGTCAACATGACAGATGTAATTGGATCGGGTTTACTATTTTCTCGCATAATATTTTTTCACACCAGTTTCGCGTGATAATTTAAATGTATTAACGCTCCGCGTTACTCATATCACTTCATTACAATTATTATTAATTACTATTACGTAGAAATTTTTGCTACAATTATTTTATAGTTACAATTACAATTGTCGCTTTTTTCAGTATTTATCTAACTGACCGTGAACTATTGTATAAATATTAAAGCCGATAATTCGAGATTATTTTGCTGTTAATATTTCTATGTGCGCTTATCTTTATAATTTTTTTTTTTTTTAATAAGTTTGTCATGTTTTTTCTAACTACCACTGGCTAATCGCTTTAGTATTACATAGACTTGCTATTGATAATTTTTTTACTCGTAAATTATTGCGAGTTTTGATATTTAAAATTATGCAAGCGATTTTTATAAAATTTAATTAACAAACTCATTTATTTTTAATAATGAGTTTTTTCAATTACCGATTTTATGAGATGCGTTTAAAATTTTATGAGTTTACTATACTTGAAGTAATAAAATGAAAATTTATATTATTTTTTTGAAGAAATAAAATTTTTTATGACGATAATAATTTTTTCTTCAAGTTTTATTTATATTTTTTTTTTTTTAATTTAAAGCGAATTATCTAAAAGTAATTTTAGAAAAAAATAATTTTTTTAATTATAAAAATAAAATTTTCCGGATGTTTCTCAGAAAAATATTACAATAAAATAAAATTAAAATGATTTTTTATCTAATATTAGTATGTCAGATGGTGATTTATAAAGTTGTCTATATAAGCAAGTTATCTATACAAATACACATTACGTATTAGAGAATACTACTGTAAACATCAATGAATGATTTTAATAAGTTTGCTCAGACAAAAAAAGAACGTTGAATTAATTAAGCAAATTAAACACCATCAGTGACCTTGGAATAAAATTATCTTGAGAGTATTATTATAATCCAGCAAGTATTGAAAAATTATTTTTTATTGTAAATCATTTTTAATAAAATGGCAACTTAATAATTGTACAATTAGTAACTGAAAATGTTTAACAAAATTAAAAAATACAAATTCATTATAATTTTAATCTTATAATCGAACGCTCGACGTAATTACTGGTAATATTGTTACAAAAATACAAGTTTCGGCTTAAATTATTTTTATTATTAATATTAATATTATTATTATCATTAATTATAATTATTAATGTTTAAGGCACACAAATATTTTTTTTTTCTTAATTAGTAATTTAGTTATTAAAAATCTTATTAAATATTCAAATTAATAGATGAACAATTTTAATTATTATAAATAACTTTAAAATAAAAATAATAGTGCCATCATTTTAAAAGTTTGATAAAGAATTTATAAAAGTGACCAACTAATTAAAAGAAAATTTTTAATAAATTTTTTCTAGAGAGCATTGTTATAATATTATTAAGTTTATAAGACTCATGTGATTTTAATAACATGAAAAATACTAATAATAATAATCGGAATTATTTTTTAAACTTTAATTGTTTTTTTTTTCCGCTTAAATCTCATACTCATCTACATTACAAGCTATGAAAAAGTTAATAATAAATATTTACAGAATACTTCATTGACATTTTTTAAAATAACAGATCTTTTGAAAAAGAAGAGCCCCGAGATATCTGTTTTTGTTTTACCTGAGTTACCTGAGCTGGCTTAAAATATTTTTCAAAAAATAAAATACAAAGACTAATAATAATATTAAGTAATTAATTAGTAACTGTAGATATAAATGGAATGGAATGAACTCTTCTGGATTAATGTTGATGATGATCATTGAACTGATGATAAGAAAATGTTTGAAGTGGTTTTTTTTTTAAACTTTTTCAGCGGCCTTAAAAAACAATTATTTCTCTGGTGGAGGTGATGTTATTTTTCTTTTAAATAGTAAAATATGAGGCTCTGAAATAATTAAGAAAAAACAATATTAATTATTATTTAAAATAAAGTTAGAATTAAGTTAAAAGACCCAGTTATTGACACTGGCCTAGTTATTGACACTTGCAATTTTATTCTAATTAAAAAAGAAGGCCATTCGGCAGCCGAAATGGAAGTAGATTTCATAATAAATAGAAAAAAAACTACCAGGATTGTATACAAAAAAAAAAAAAAAAAACAATGACATCAAAACGAATGCAAAAGTAAAATTTCATTAAATCTGTCTGAGAAAGTAGGTAATTTTTAGCCTAGACTGATAATGAGGAATGCAAATTAAAGTTTATTTAATAAGCTTTCAGATGAAATTTACAGAAATTCAATAGAAAATCGCGTTCAATTATTATTACACGGAAATATAGTAAAAGTGAAAATTTTTGCGATTTAAAAAAATTTTCGAATTGCTGTCATTCCTAAACTATTTAATTTAGAAATATAAATAAGTATACAAATTAAAGCTTATTAAATAAGCTTTCAGATGCAATTTACAGAAATTCGATAAGATATCACGTTCAATTGTTATTGTACAGAAATACGATAAAAGTAAAAATTTTTGCGATTTTTGAAAATTTTTGAATTGCTCTCATTTCTATACTAATCGACAGATTTGGCTCGTCTTAGAACTTAACCTCGGAAATCGTCCTAAGAATGAGTATGTTACGTTTTATTGAGATCCGTATAGAATTGCGAGAGTTAGAGAAGAGACAAGGCCGGTATATATATATATATATATATATATATATATATATATATATATATATATATACTTTTGAACCATATGAATTTTCTGAATCCGCTTGGCGAGCTGAGTCGAAATATAGCAAAAAGTTCCGTCATGAGGAACAATGCAATAGTTAAATTTCTATGAAATCTCCTAATAAAATCAACTCTAATAAATTAATAAATATAATTTTTTAATTATAAATTTTAACAAAATTGGATTTTTGAGAGCATTTAATTTTTTTAATTAGAATAAAATTGCAAGTGTCTAACAATTAGGCCAGTGTCAATAACTGGGTCTTTTACCTTATTTACTGTTCAGAATTTGGTATTGAATTACTTTCATTTAATTTGTGTACTTAAAAACTTTGTAACGCTGGCAAGTAGTATTGCAAATTAATCATTGGCTAAAAGCTGGCTTAAGATCCAAACCAGATCTTAGCATCAAGCCCACTTAGGACAATAGCCAATGAAAGAATAAAAAATAAATTCTAGCAACCACTTGTTTTGAATAGAGTTGTTTTCATTAGATTTGTAGTCGTAGTTAAATGTCAAATAGAAATATTAATTCTATTTATTTTCATTGATTCTTTACAAATAGAATTATTCTCGTGTATAATTAAATAAGCTCTTTTAAAAATAGATACTAAATTATACGCAGAATAAAAACAAATCATTTAACGCACATAAATTAAGCAGGCGTTTGTCAAATTAAATGAAAATAAAACAAAGATTTATATCAATTTAACATTAATAATTATTGAAATAGATAATTACCAGGGTCATGAGTCATGTAGTGAACCCATCCTTTACTTTGTTGGACACCAAGCTCTCTCCATTCGTTTTCTGACATCAAGTGAGTTTTCGGAACTTTTTTTTCTAACTCTTTCGGCAGAACTACGTGTCTATAAAAAAAGAAAAAAAAGATAATAATAATTAGCGTAAGTTCCCATTGAAAATTTTTTACCTTTAAAATTAGTAGTGTTGCTTTTTATTTAAAAATAAATTTATGAATCACAACAAACCGGTTCTGACAGCAAGACAATAACATTCATTTTTATTACTTTTGTGCGAAGTTTGACACTAAAGACTAAGGTATTAAATTTAGCGTTTAATCAGCCCTTAAGACAAAGAAGCCGAATAATAACAAAGCACTTGCAACTGTGCGTAATGCGTGCAAATAAAAATAAGAGATACTATTACACGAAACGGAGTAATATTTATTATCTGTTTATTACAGATTTTTTTTCTGCATAAAAAATTACCAGAGCAATAATAAAATTTAAGTTATAAAATTAACACTCACCTGTACTCATATTCATCATCATAATACTTGTCTGAGTAATAAATTTGTGATGACATGTTTCGAGTTTATGGTAATTAACACTCGGCAGATAAAAAATAATTAAATGCTACTAATTTTTGTCACTTTCAGGTATAAGCACCCAACAAAGTGTGGTTAAACACTCTTTAAATTAACACACCAGTTACCAATTGGTTCTAATTGCATATGATATATATTAAAACAACTTGTTGAAGTAAGGATGTATGTACTATGTAGAGCGGCATATGGCGCTGCGTTATTCAAAAGTTAATATAACGGATACGGATTTTTTTTACGGGTGGGGATAACTGCGTCAGTCGATGACATTTTAATCTCAGACATCACTTTTAATTTCTCAAGAAACTAAGTTTATTATTTCTTCCTGAAAAAAATTAATATTTTATAATTATTGTTTATAAATAATTAATAATCCTGAGCGTTATTTTCTATTAAATTAATTACTTGTAATTAAATCTGACACTGACTTGCGTATTTTCTGATCAGCTGAAAGGATTGACATCAGCGCGGTGATTTTTGTTTGAATTAAAAAATTATCCTAGTTACCGACTGCAGAACTAAAAATTAAAAATTGACACTAGATGGCACTACTGATTGCTTCTGAAGTTTGGATGACGATAAAATCTCCGTCAGTCCGTCAGTGAGAGAGAAAGATAGAAAAAGTAACAGACACGGGTGTAACGTTATAATATAACCTAACCTGAAAATAAAAACTGAAAGTACCGCATTAAATATTGAGTAGTTGTATATTTATTAAATTAAATAAATAACAAAATGCCGCTCTCGTGTCGATTTTATAAACAAAAGTACCCGGAGGTGGAGGATGTGGTGATGGTGAATGTGAGGAGCATCGCCGAAATGGGTGCTTATGTCCACTTGTTGGAGTATAATAATATTGAAGGCATGATCCTGTTGTCTGAGTTATCCAGGAGACGTATCAGATCTATCAATAAACTTATTAGAGTGGGAAAAACTGAACCGGTTGTTGTTATTCGTGTCGACAAGGAAAAAGGTACTTTATTTAATTATTTTATTTTTTGGAGCTTGGATTAATTTATTTGATTTTTTTTTTTTTTTTTAAAGGTTACATCGACTTGAGTAAGCGACGAGTATCAACTGAAGATGTTGAAAAATGTACTGAACGTTACGCTAAAGCTAAGGCCGTCAACTCGATCCTGAGACATGTTGCTGAATTATTGCACTACGAGAACGATGAGCAGCTAGAAGAACTCTACCAGAAGACTGCTTGGTATTTTGAGGAAAAGTACAAGAAGCAAAAAGCTTCGGCTTATGATTTTTTTAAGCAAGCTGTATTGTAAGTTTATTTTTATTAAAATTAAAATTAAGTTAGCTGACGTCTAGAAATTTTTAGAATTTTTTTTAATAAAGAAATTATTTAAAAAAAAATTCAATTGTAAAAAATTAATAAAACTACACGTGCAATTTTTTTTAAATATTTTTTAGCTCTAATTAAATGATTAAAAAAAAATTAAAAAGGTCGGCTAACTTGAGTATTATTTCATTTTTAATTTTTTATGGTATTAAATGTTTATTATAATTAAATTATATTGAAAAAAATTCCAGAAGTAGAAATTTAAAATAATTGTAAGTGCAAATTTTTAAAAATATTTTTTTAATTCAAAAAATTGTCAGATGCTTGCTAATTTCAGTATTATTATTTAGTTATTTAAGTTAGCCGACATTTCACAATTTTTAGAATTTTTTTTAATAAATAAAAAATGTTCAGTAGTAAAAAATTTGAAAAACTACACGTGCAATTTTTTAGTTCCAATTAAATAATTAAAAAAAAATAAAAAAATTTGAAATGTCGGATAATTTTACGATTATTTTATTTTTAATTTTTTAAAGAATGAAATGTTTATAATAATTAAATTATGTTGAAAAAAATTAATCAAAAAAATTCCAGAAGTAGAAATTTAAAAAAATTATAAGTGCAAATTTTTTTTAATATTTTCTTTCAATTAAAAAAATCGTCAGATGCTTGCTAATTTCAGTATCATAATTTAATGAGTAATTATTTTCAGAGATCCATCAATTTTAGCTGAATGTGGATTGGATGAAAACACAAAATCTGTGTTGCTGAACAATATTAAACGTAAATTAACATCACAAGCTGTTAAAATTCGCGCTGACGTCGAGGTCGCGTGCTACGGATACGAAGGTATCGACGCTGTAAAAGCTGCACTAAAAGCTGGACTCGCGTTATCAACTGAAGAACTTCCTATTAAAATAAATTTGATCGCTCCACCCTTATACGTAATGACAACATCAACGCCTGAAAAATCTGACGGTTTAAAGGCGCTCAATGACGCGATTGAAGTTATCAAAGAGAAAATAATATCCATGGGAGGTGTATTCAATGTCCAGATGGCGGTAAGTTTTTTTATTTAACTGAATAAAAATTATTTATTTGATTATTAATTAAAAAAAAATATTATTTCAACAGCCTAAGGTCGTGACAGCAACGGATGAGGCAGAATTGATGCGACAAATGGAACGAGCTGAGATGGAGAACGCCGAAATTGCTGGAGATGACGACGAGGAAGACGTCGAAGGCATGGGAGACTTCAGTGGTGGTGAGGACGAAGGTGAAGATAACAAAGACCAAGAAGATTCTCAAGACGAAGATTGAGAATTGTGCTAAAGCCATTAATTACAACTTTCGTTATCCCTTTAAAATACCGAATTCTATACCACTAATTAATTATTAATTATCGATTGATAATTGCGAATAATTTTGTAAGGAGTTTTATTAATAAATCGTAATCAATTTATTTGATGGTTTTTTTTTATTTAAAACAATTATTTGTACAAATTGTTTAATCGTTGGCAATAGTGACCTCAACCTCTACACCAGGCTCGATGGAGATGCTCGTGATCTGCTTGACGATCTCGGACGGCGAGTAAAGGTCAATTACACGCTTGTGGATTCGCATTTGGAAGCGATCCCAGGTCTTGGAACCTTCTCCACAAGGTGTTTTACGGGTCGTAATTCTCAGAGTCTTCGTGGGCATACGGACCGGTCCCTTGACCTTCAACTTTTGCTTCTTAGCACCGCTGATCAATTCGGAACATACTGCAATACAAATTAATGACATTTAAATTACCAGTCATTTAACAATTTTTTATTTTTTAAAATTTTTACATGTCAATTTTTTTATCTAATTTTTTTTGCCATAATTTATTTAAAAAAAAAATTCTAAAAATTATTAAATATCTGTTAAATTGATTTTCATAAATTAATAATTAATAATGTTAACAAGTTTAATGCTTGTTTTTGTTAAAATAAGTACTAACCTTTTTCAAGAGAACGGACGTTCCTTGATGTCAAAGTAATACGAATACGGTGAACTGGAGCAACTTCCTGTCCCAGTTTTTCGGGGTTGTCGGTTTTCAAACTTGTTTGCTAAAAATATCATAAATCAATTATTGCAATAATTATTATTAATTTTAATGCTAAATAGTATATGATTGTTAGAAAAATGTCCGCGTGGTTAACCTAACCTAATCGCTTTTATTTTATCAATATTAAAAATAAAAATTTATATTAATAAATATCCTAAAATAATAAAAAACAAACAATTGGAATTAATTACCATTTTTGATTGTTAATTCTGGTCGAGTTAATCAATTTATATGATTAAAAACTGATCAGCGCTGAACCAGTCTCCTTTTGAACGCACGTGTCAACGTACAAGAGAGAAAGAGATTGCCGGAAGCTTTGTACATCAAAGCGAGGATCAAAGACACTACCCGAACCATTTAACTGTAGTTAAATTTACATTTCTCACCCGCCAATAATTAATTTTCTTCAATTCCGTCATTACTTTGCGGTAATTGAAAATTGAGTTGTAAAAAATTTTGAAAGTTTAATTTTTTTAACAATTAATTAATATATTTAATTAAAATAATGAATTATTTGAAATAAATAGTAAATGTTTTGACTAATGGCATGAAAAAGTCGGACGTCTATGTGGCAATTAATTATTTGAATAATTTTTGGTAAAAATAACTTTTTACATTCTTGACAGCTGTATCAACCAGGTAGTGAAAGAAAACTAAAATTAAAAAAAAATACTAATTAATAAAAAATAAAATTATAAATTATTCGCGGTAAATACTATCTCTTTGTTCTTTACTGTCCTAGTTGGTAAAATGATGCACCGCCAACTTCAGAGCGTAGAGTAATCACAGAGAGCTCGCGTCGTTGTTAAATTCACGGTTAACCGTTCATCATAATCATAAACCACAGATCTGTAGCTGGTTTTATAAAATAATAAGGAAAAATTTTTTAGCCGAACTGTAAGATGCTAAATTCATATAAAGTTTGGGCATTATCACAGCAAAGCCGTGTTGTTGATATATAAATGGCTAATTATTGTTAATAGTAAGTGACTTAAGTAAGTGATATAATAAAAGTAAAAAAAAAATAACTCGTGTTGTATACGACAGATTATATATTTGCTTTATATTGATACTTTTTTTCAACAAGAATCATAGACCGTGCGGTGTCTATGCATAACTTAAGGTACTAATATTATTTATATCTTATTTATAAATAATTAATTTCTGTTATTTGTCGTCAATGCCTTGAATTATTTATTTATATAAAGTCAAATTATTAATTTGTTTACGTTATAAGTTTGTATACGTGTGCGTAGTGAGACATAACCTCAAATACTTGGTTCAATGCTTTCAATTAAAATGTTACAGCGTTTTATTTTGTTTACTTTTTTAATTTATTCAAACAAAAACTAAAAAAAAAAAAAAACTGAATATTTTATTTTTATTTTCAGAATTTGGACGGTGTTCTAAATCACTAGTGGTCTTGATTAGATAATAATAAGGTAATAAACCAGCAGACACAATGTCAGAGATAGTTTATCCATCGGCTTGTAGGCCAGTTACTGAAGATTTAGGTGCTGATGAATTAATTAGGCGATTAAAGGTAGTAATTTTTATTTAAACATCAATTTAATAAAAAAAAATATAATTTAAATGACGTACGGTTTATTTTAGACACTTGCTCACACTCTACAAGCGATGGGCCAGGATGAGGGGGCGTACCAGCAGTACATTCCTCTGGCTCTTCACTTGGCCGACGAATACTTCCTTCAGCACCCGAGCAAAGACGTCCAATTGTTAATTGCATGCTGCATAGCTGACGTTCTGAGAGTTTACGCGCCAGAAGCGCCGTACAAAGATGCTGATCAAGTCAAGGGAATTTTCCTGTTCCTGATCAAGCAGCTAGCCGGTCTCAAGGACCCAAAAGATCCCGCGTTCAAGAGATACTTTTATTTGTTAGAAAATTTGGCGTACGTCAAATCTTTCAACATGTGCTTTGAGTTGGAGGACTGCCAGGAGATATTTTGCACGCTCTTCTCACTTATGTTTCGAATAGTGAAGTGAGTATAGTTTTTATTTATTTTTTTTTTTTTGTTAAATTTTATAAACTTTATTTTATTTTTTTTTTTTACGTTTGCAGTGATGAGCATTCTGGTAAAGTTAAGAGTTTCATGCTAGAAGTCCTTTGTCCATTGATCACCGAGTCTGACACCGTCAGCAATGAGCTACTGGATATTATTCTTATAAATGTTGTCGAGCCAAATAAAACACAGAAGAAAAATGCCTATTGTCTTGCTAAAGAATTGATTATTAAGTGTAGCGAGACATTAGAACCATATATACAAGCGGTAATAATTTATATTAATCTATATTATTAAGAGAATAAGAACAATTTTGTATCCAGGATAGTCATATGATAAAATCGATTTTTTTTAGTGAAATCTAGTGTCATTGCAAAGGTCTTGACTTGAATTTGTGCTTTCTCAAGGTTTCATATCATTCCCAGCGATAGTTAATTAAAATGATAAATATTGAGGCTGCATTCGAAAATGTTCTATCTCTAGATATATAGTTAAGAAATGACCTTGTATCTTGTGAACTATTGACAATTTTTAAGATATAAGCTCACCCCGACATTACACTTATCGAGACCTTACATTTGAGTACCCACATCAATTTTTCATATATTTTATATATTTATATATTTCACAAATACCATATATATAAAATATATGGAAAATGCCGTGTGGGTACTCAAATGAAAGCTCTTGATCCCGAGTGTATGCGTCGGGATGAGCTTATATCTTTAAAAATTTCAATAGTTAAGGAAGTATAGGTCATTTTTTAATTAAGCAAAATTTTATCTATTTATAGTTCACAATTCTCGGCAGTCACATAGTGACTGCAGGCTGCTAATAAATATATATTTTTTTTAAATGAACTTGTCAAAAATAATATGGAAATTAAGTTAGCCAACATCTAAAATTTTCATAATTTATTTTTATTAAAAAAATTAAAAATAAAATTTAATTTGTAAAAAACTATACCTAAGTGTAGTTTTTTAAAAATATTTTTTAGTTCTAATTACATAAATTAAGCAAAATCAAAAAATCAAAAATTTCGGCTAACTTTATTATTATAAAAATAATAATATATCTATAAATTTTTTCTGTTGTAGTTTTTCAACCATGTGTTAATCCTCGGCAAAGAAGAAAAAGAATTGCAGATATGTAAAAAAGTATACGACTTAATCTACGAGTTGAATCATATCTGTCCAGCAGTCTTGATCTCAGTTCTTCCACAACTTGAATGTAAATTAAAATCATCATCTGAAACAGAGCGTCTGAATGCAGTAGCACTTTTGGCGCGTATGTTCTCAGAAAAAGGTTCTCAATTAGCGTCTCAACACACGTCACTGTGGCGCGCGTTTTTGGGAAGATTTAATGACATAAGTGTTGCTATTAGAATAAAATGCGTCCAATACTCAATGCACTTTCTTCTAAATCACCCGGAGTTGCGTAAAGACATAACAGAGACTCTAAAACTTCGGCAGCACGATGCTGATGAAAATGTGAGGTACGAAGTGGTGATGGCGATTGTGTCAACAGCTAAACGAGATTTTGAAGTTGTTTCTGACAGCGAAGACCTGCTTGAGTTTGTAAAAGAAAGGACTTTGGACAAAAAGTTCAAGATCAGGAAAGAAGCGATGTCTGGACTTGCGATGATCTACCGAAAACATTTAAATGACGCTGACGTTCCTCAAGCTACTAAAAAAGCCGTCACTTGGATTAAGGATAAAATTTTACACGGCTACTACATGACTGGGATGGAGGACAGATTGTTAGTCGAAAGACTTTTAAACACTTGCCTTGTACCTTATCAGCTTCCTGCAGAAGAAAGGATGAAAAAGCTGTACCATCTTCTGGGTACAATTGACGACCACGCGTCCAAGGCATTTGTTGAGTTGCAAAAGCACCAGCTTGCCGTACGAAGAGCCGTCGGAGAGTGGCTGGAGATTGTGAAGAAAGCGGACGCGAGCAATGAATTGATGAGCAAAATCCTCCAGATATCCCGTTTTCTTCCAGACCCCATGAAAGCCATGGAGTTTTTACAAAAATTCAGTGCTCACATGAAGAAAGATCCGTTGCTTTTGCAAGGCATGGAGACTATTGTTCGACCCAACGTCTCTTGCAAAGAGTGCACTGAGACAATAACAACAGTTTTGAAGAAACTCGGACAGCCAGTGATGACGAATCTCTACTACAATACCATAAAAATGCTGTTGGAGCGTGTAAGCTCGGTTACTATTGATGAAGAGGCCATCAGAATACTTATCGGGTATGTCGAGGACTGTCTGAAAGGTGGCAATACCATCGAGGAGATCGGTTTGAATCCAAATAACGCTGGTGAAAAAGGCTTGAGACTTCTCATGATACTCTCTTTTGTATTTGGCCCTCATTTTCTGCACAACGACATTCTAAAGCAGCTTATTGACTTGCTTGCTCTGGAGGATGAAATGGTCGGGGCTCTGGTTTTATCAATTTTCACTTTTCTAGGAAAATACCGACCTCTCCATGAGGTAGCGCCGGATATTATGAACATAATGGTCCCGATGTGCAAAAATTTTGCACTGACTGGCACCCCGAAGCAAGCCAAACAGGCAATCCGCTGTTTGTTTGTAAACATGACAAATATTCATGACACAATATTCCCGGAAATAATTGAGAGAATTAAAACGACTCTTATACCGACTTCAGACCACTACAGAACGTCGATAGTTACTCTGGGACATATTGCGTACAATCTCCCGGAAAAATATCATGTACAAATAAAAAATATGGTCTCAAGGAAAATAGTTAAGGAGTTGTTGGTGAAGGAGAACAGCGAGTCGACTGCCAACTCTATTGAAGGTGACTGGTGTCCGGAAGATCAGCTACCAGAAGAGACGCGCTGTCGGTTAGAGGGATTGAAGTGCATGGCTCGTTGGCTGTTGGGCCTGAAAACCGACAATTTGTCAGCTCAAAAAACTTTTAGAATGTTAAATGCGTTTGTCGTTAATAAGGGTGATTTATTGCAGCAAGGACGACTGAGTCGCGCGGAGATGAGCTGGCTGAGACTCCAGGCTGGATGCTCGATGCTCAAAATCTGTGAACAAAAAGGTGTTGGTGATCAGTTTACAGCGGAGCAGTTTTATAATTTGTCTCAGCTGATGACGGACGATGTTAAGGAAGTAAGAGAAGCGTTTAGTGTGAAGCTGCACCGCGGTCTCGGCACGGGAATCCCCAACAAGTGTCTGCCGCTGGACTTTATGGGGTACTATGCGCTTGCTGGTAAAGAGCAGGACAAAAAGCTTAAATATCTGCTCAAGTCCCACATGCAGACGGACATCAGCCGTCGGAGGGACTACGTCAAGGCCTTGTCCATGGGGACTGGAGAACGCGCAATGGGACAGCTACCGCACATCCTCCCGGATTATATGCTGGTGTTTGCGGTCCCGGTGCTGGCTCACGACCCGGAATTCACTGACCACTTGGACGTCAGCCAGCTCAAGACCATCCAGTCGTGTCTCTGGTTCATCTTGGAGCCTCTCATCACCAAAAATGAGTACTACTGTTACGGGTTCTACAAGAACTTGATTGAACGTATGAAAGCTCACAAAGACGCGCTTAAACCTGAAGACCATTATATGAACTGCAAGCTCTGGACAGTCTGTGATCTTGCGATGAATGTTATTTATACCAAGACGACCAATTTTGATATGAAGGAGTTCCCCAGCGAGAGCCGCATCCCGACGATGTACTTCAAGAGGTCCGATGATCTTATGTCCAATGTCGCTGTCAGCTACTTGCCTTCCGAGATGCAAATTGATATGACAAGTCCCAAGGGGAAAAATACACTTCTTAATTTTGTTAATGACAAACCTGGCAGAAGAGCCAAGGGCAAACAGAAAGAAATTGGAATCGGACCTAATGAAACTGATGCTCGAGTAAGTTCTTTTTAAATATTTTAGTTTTTATTATTTAGCGTCGAGATTTTTCCCAAAAATTCAAAATACCTGTTTATAATTGATTCTTTTTTTAATTGTTTTAATCAAAAGCTTATTATTTTTTCAATCAAATTCAATGAAAATAAATTTTTTTTCAAAATCGTTAATTGCCTTGAATTCTTAACCAAATACACGGCTGGTTCAAATCTAATTATTTCATTAAATATCCCGGAAGCCTACTGTTTTTTAATTTTTTTTATTGATTATTAGGCTACGTAGATAAAATTCACAAATTTTCAAGAAGTTTTAAAAATTTTATTTCACGGAAAGAACAAGATGACACTGGATATCATCCCAGATTATACTCGGTGATATCTGTTGTAAAAAATTTCAAATAGCTAAAAAAAAAATCCAGATTATACTGCGTGATATCTGGATCATACTCATTGTAATCTTTATAATACTCATTGTAATTTGGATTATTCTAGTTTCATCTAAAATTTTTTTTTCACTCAGTATAATCTGGGATAATATCCAGTGTCATCTTGTTCTTTCCGTGTAGTTCGCGTGGATCTCTTTAATTTTATAAAAAAATGGTCTCTTATGGTTTTTTCCTTAGGATCAATAATTTCACGGTAATTTCTAATATAAGATTCATAATTATCAAAAAACTTAAAACTTTCATTATGAATCTCAATTTTTGAATTCCAGCAAAAATATTTGTTTTTTTTTTTTTTTTTTTTAAATCATAAATATTTTTTTCTATTAAATTAAATTTTGAACAACTTTTGTATCATAAATTTTTGTATAAAACCAATATTTTCGCCGTAATGTCAAAAATTTGAACCATTTATTTTAAAATTGCAACTTAAATTTTGTCCCTACTTATTATAATTGACAATTAATTGCTGATGGTGGGTTTAAATAATATTTTATCGAATGTAAGCTTGAAAATTTTTTAAATTATTACGAAATTAATTTTCAAGCTGCATATTGGAGAAATGGAATGTATTGATGCACAGGTAACAGTTAACAGTTAATAAAGTGATTTTTAATTATTTTTATTGTAACAGTAGATAGGTTGATTAACATTAAGGTTTTTTTTTTTAAATATGAAATTGATTTATTAATTTTATTATAGCCTGCTGAAGCGTCAGAAACTAGAATTCAACTGCCCGGTATGGAAGAAGAGGTAAAATAATTAATTTCAATTTTAATTGAGATTTTTATTGTGAAATTAATGAAATATTTTTTGATTACAGATCAGTGAACCACCAGCGAAAAGGGCAAGAGAATCAGATAAAAATAGTAAATAATTGTATGAAATGTTCATGAGGAGAAAAGAAGAAAAAACAATTGGATTATAATGGGGATTAATTACTGTGAAATATCGCAGACCTAAAAAAAAATAATAAGCACTTTATAAATTAGAAAACAGAATATTTTGGTTATGTACAACAATTAATATACCTAAGTCGTTCGCGTATTCTTAGATTGTAAGCTGTTGAGGATACATTCAATCTTGATCAATCGATTATATATCATAATATTATTTTTATTATTTGTCTTGTATTTTTTTTTATTGTTTATATTAAAGTTTGATCATAGATAAGATTGACATTTGCTGGCTAATTTGATGAGTGATTGCGATTATGGTTTTATTAATTAAGTAAATATTTAAAATAAAAAATATAACAAAGTAAAAACTACTGTCGCTGTCGCTTAAGAAAAAAAATACATTTTCATTCATTATATCATAAAATAATAAGTAGTTTTAACGTACCCTTGATTTTCTACTGTCTGTCAATGTTAAGAGAACTCTAGTATATTCATTTTATTTTGTCATTTTATATATTTAAGTAAAAAAAAAATATTTTTGAATTTATTTCATCACATTACTATTGATTTTGTAATAATTATTATAAAAAAAAAGTATATATAAATATAAATGTCAAATTAATATTTATCTTGATGATAAATTTTATTTAATGATTTGTTTTTTTGAAGAAATATTATGGGTAATTTTTAAATTGCGTATTTTTTTTATTACGTCAATTCTCTCTTGTCTAAAATGTTATTTTTTTTATTACATATTAAATTAATTTAGCGATTCATTTATTGTACGTTATTAATTTCTCTATTTAAAAAAAAAAAATTAGTTCTATGTAAAAAAAAAAAAAATATTTCTGACCAAAATTGATTCAAGTTAAGATTTTTTAAAAAGAAACAATTTTATTTTATTTATAAAAAAAAAAATAAAAACGTCTTTTTAAATATAAAATAGGTATTGTATGCATATACATATAAATATATATATATATATATGTATGAATATGAATTATTGAATTGATGAGAATTTGATAACTGTGTGAATGGACTTGACGATTGACTTTTAGTCGTCGTATAATAAAACTTAATAAATGAAATAAAACAATAACAAACAGTAAAAAAAAAATTTTTAATTACGAATATAAAGACATTATATTTATCTTGATAATTAAATTTTAATTTACATTCAATTGGTATTTTATCTATTCTATCGTTTCGATTTTGGTCCCTTTCCAGGACTTTTTTTATTAAAAGCTGGTTTCTTCCCACCCATTGGTTTCTTTCCTGGCATTGGTTTTTTTCCTGGCATTGGTTTCTTCCCACCAGCTGATTTTCCTCTAACTTTTCCAAATGATTCTCTCTGTACCTTGTTCGCTCTGTAATTAAAAATTTTCTCAATAATTTTATTCCAAACTTAATAAAATAAATTATTCAACTTACTCATAACGTAGCCGTTTAACACCTTTCTTACTCGTATCCGTGAGATCAGTAGTAAACGAAGACCTTGATCGTTTTTTAGCTCCTGCAATTATAAAAATTAATAAAAAAAATTAGAAAATCGGTTGACCCTAAAGGCCATCTTTGCAACTTTCCGATAATTTCATACTTGAGCGCTCAAAATTGTACTTATTCTGTTTTTGAACTCTTCGAGCTCAAAAATATAATTTTCATGTCATTTTAAGCTCGCCGAGCTCAAAAATCTGAGAAAAGTTTAATAAAACACTATTTTTTTGATTTTCAAACCGTAATAACTTTTGAATGAATAAACCGATTTTTACGCGGTTGGCGACATTCGATGCAGTTTTTTAAGCCTCATAAAGAATCTTTAAGTTTTAATTGATCGAATCAGAAATTTCGAGGTACAGTCGACTCTTCATAATTTGAAACTCAAGGGACCAGAGATAAATTTCAAATTATCAAGAGTTAAAAATAACAAGTGTTTAAACAATAAATATTTTTTGCAAGGGACCAGAAAAAATTTTCTGAAAAACACGTTTTCTTTCAACAACGATAACTCACGAACGAATCAACCGATTTTGACCGAGCTGGCGGTGATCGACGTGAATTTTTGATGTTAAGAGCTGATTAGTTTTTGGAATCGATAGGTAGAGCCGTTTAAAAGTTATTCCAAAAAAACCACATTTGAAAATAATTTTTTTTTGCAGTCTATTTGAGATTTCTCAAAATCTACCGGTTGGAATCGATCCAAATTGCATTTAAAATCTAAGTTTGGTCAAGCCCATTCGAATGACACCAACCGCGATGAAATTGGTCGAGCCGTTCAAAAGTTATGAGAGGTTTACATACGGCCACACACAAAATTTTAAATTTTCTTAGCGAAAAGTTAAAAAAACTCAAAATAATTAATCAAAACAAAAATCCAATAATTACCCTGCTTATTTGGAGCATTCTCACTATGACCATCATGAACGGTCCGTATCTTCTTCAACTTGCCACTCTTCTTAGCCAGACGAGCTTGAAAAGCGGCAACTTTCTCCAATTCTTTCATAGCCCTAGCTTCAGCAGGATCCAACTCTGGCTCTTTAGCCTTCTTCTTCTTGGGTTTATTATTCGCGACTAAATTGCTAGGCCCTTCTTTCTTCTCCTTCTGCTTGTTGACCTTCTCAGTCAACTTTAACTTGTCTTTCTCAAGCTTCCTCTCTTTGGTAGTCTGGAACCAGTTTCTCTTCGGCCCATCGTCCTCTTCTTTGAGCAACTTTTCCACCCTATTGGCCTGATTCTCAATCTTCGCGATTTCCTTTTCCGTCCTCTGCATCTCAAGAATCTTTTCCACATCTGGCTCGAGAGACTCCAATTTTTTATTGTACTTCTCAACAATATCAGGCGCAATGATTCGATTTTTAACAGGATTCTTGGCGTTTTTAATGATTTTTTTAACCAACGTTCGCTCTTCCTCTCCAGCAAGCGACACCGAGACTCCCACACGGCCAGCTCGAGCAGTTCTGCCCACCCGGTGAATATAGTGCTCCAACGTCGCAGGCATCACAAAGTTAATTACTGTTTTAATACCACTAATATCCAGACCTCTCGCAGCGACATCAGTAGCAACCAAGACGTCAACTTCAGCGTCCTTGAACTTCCTCAGATTCTCCAAACGTTGAGGCTGGGTGATGTTTCCATGCAACTCCCCAACCTGGATGCCCAGCAAGCCCAATAAAATGTGCAGTCTATGAGCTTGCTTTTTGGTCTGGACAAAAATTATCGTGTGGTCTCTGAAGGTCCTGCAGACCAGCGCAGCCAAGATAGCTTCGCGATCTTTCTCGCGTCCAGCACGAATTCTGATAAACTCTTGCCTCAAATTAAAAGCTACGTCGATGTTGCTGTCGACGAATACCTTGACAGGTCTGTTCAACGAAACAGCAGCCAGATCTTTGACCTTCTCCGTCATGGTAGCTGAGAAGAGCATCGTCTGGCGACTCCTTGAGCATTCTTTGACGATGCATCCCAACTGAGTCTCAAAATCTTCATTGAACATTCTGTCAGCTTCATCAATGATCAGCACTTCAATGCTGTTTAATGTGAAATTGGGCGTGTTTTGAATGTGATCAATAAGACGACCAGGTGAAGCGATAATAATATCGGGATTCTTCCTCAACGCTGCTTCCTGGGCTTTGATATCAAGACCTCCTACCGCAAGACCTGCTTCTACGTTTGTAAACTGACAAAGTTGCTTGGTGACTTGGTACACTTGGACACCCAGTTCTCTAGTTGGTACCAGGACAACTACTCGAGTGATTGCTGGACCATCTGCGGGTTTGTACAGCAATCTTTCTAGAGTAGGCAGCATGTAAGCTGCTGTCTTACCGGTACCCGTAGCAGCACACCCACAAATATCACGACCCATCAGCGCCACGGGGATGGTCGCAGCTTGAATTGGAGTCGGCTGGACGTAATTCATTGTGGTGATTGCTTTTAATAATGGACGAGATAAGTTCATCTGGTAAAAGGTCGCAGAATTGTCAGCGGTTGCTGTTTCTTCAAAGTCCATTATGTCGGCTTTTTCATTCTTCTTTTTTCCCTTGTGCTCTTTAGTTCTGAAAGTGTCTTTTTTTAATTCATCATCGGATAAATAAATGTCTCCGTTAGTGTGATTGTCATTGTCGTTATCGGCTTCGACGTCGCTGTCATCGTCGACTTTGATTGGCTTTTCTTCTATATTCTGTTCACGGCGAACACGTTTTATTTTGTCGTCCAGCTTGGACTTGGGTTTGCGCTTGATATATTTGCTCAGGTCGTTCCAGGTGTCTTTGTTGTACTCTGCGGCGTCACTTATGAACTGGAATTCGGTGTCAAAGTCTTTTTTCTTTTCGTCTACTACTTTTTCTCTGTGAGGTTGGACCTGTTTGTTATTAAATAAATTAAAATTAATTTAGCATATATTTTTTAAAATTTTATAAAAAATTTTTGGAACAAATTTTTTTGTTCAATAAAATTGAATAATTGTAAAGCGAAAAGTTTAAAATTATTTTATAACTAACTACTAAATAATTTTATGCAAAATAAAAATTTTAACTGGTCAAAATATGAATGATAGTTTCAAGTAAAGAAATTATAATTAAATTACTCACGTCATCATCACCAAATTCTGAATTATCTGAAAAATCTTCTACTTCCTGATCGTCGGAAATAGATTTTATCAAATCATACTTTTCCTTCACCATGGTGTATTATTTTATTTTTTTTATTTACAAATTTATTATATTGTTTATCTAAAATAAATAAAATTAGGTTACTTTAAAACACGTGTTTGGAGCAGCACATTATAAATACAATCAACCTAATCAACCTATACACACCACTGCAGACTATAACTATAGTAAATTTCAGTATATAATTATGGCCGACAGGTGGAGCTGTTAATCCGCAAAATTGCAAAATTATTTTTCATTTATAAATTAAATCAAACTTAATTAAAAATAAAAAGAAAAAATATTGATAAAAAGACAAGAAAATTTTATACGTTGTAAAAGCCTTAAAAATTGTTTTTAAATCTATAATTTATATTTATTAAAAATTTAGAGGTAAATTTTTTTGATTACTCTCATAATTAGCAATGTTTATTATGAAAATGAATTTAGCAGATATGTAATAATTAAAAAAATTTTTTTTCTTAAATAAATTATGGCAAAAAAAAATTGACATGTAAAAATTTTAAAAAATAAAAAATGCAATTTTTTAAAAGTAATTTTTTTTTTAACAAATTTGTTTTTTCAAAAAAATTAAAAAATTCTCTAATCACTGCTAACTTTAATGTTATTAACAATTAAATTGGCCGACATTGGAAAATTTTTATAATTATTTTATTGAAAAAAAATAAAAAATTTGACCTGTAGGAAATTTTTTTATTTATTCAAAAAATCAAAAATTGTTTGTCTGCTAATTTTAGTAACATATAATGTTAATTATTTTTTTGAATTCATGTCGATAAAGAATTAAGGAATAAAAGAAAAATAACTAAACACTCAGTGACATCTAGCCTGTAAAATACTCAATAGTTTTTAGTTAACCAATTGAAATAACCCACATGATTAATAATGATGTGTATGTGGTGATCAAAACATATTTGGCGAACGTCGATGGTGAACATTCAATACTAAAACAAACTTATCATATATCATTTGTCTGGTGTAATAAAGTGTCGACAATAAGTAATAAAATTAATATCAAGCATGCGACATACCACTCGACTAACAGCAGTAGACTCAGGATTGGAAATAGAAACGAGCTGTCAACAATGTTGTCCAATTGTTCAAACGATTGTTACATGTTGTTCACTAAAAAATCAGCATACGTGAACAATGAAAAAGGACCACCACCAGCTACAACCATTAAAAAATTTAAATTATTTATAATAATATCCAGTGGAATACTTCTAGCTTTTATAACAGCAGTATTATCATCGTACTTTACAATTTATTTTAATTTTACTTACATTTCAGGTAAAGTATTTTTAAATGAACATTAATTTAGCAGATATATAATAATTTTTAGAAATTTTTTTAACAAACAAATTATGGCAAAAAAAAATTGACATGTAGAAATTTTAAAAAATTATAAATGCAATTTTTTAAAATTAATTTTTCAGAAAAAATTTATTTATTAATTAAAATTAAAAAATTATCAAGTGACTGTTAACTTTAATGTCATTATTTTTAAATGTCCCACTTCCGCTCAAATGTTTTCAGGCAAGTAAGTTAAGAATAATTAAATTTTTATTTTTAATTATAGAAAGAGAGGTGAGACGTTCATTTGCACCATTGCCTTCCGAAAATGTCCTGAATGTGCACGACGAAAGTAGTAATCTAGGCCTTCCAATTCTCTCACCTGGAGAGCTTCAAGAATCATCATCGAATTCCAACGATGTGGCGGACGAATTTGAGGCAATTGCATCTCTGCAATTAGCTCTGGACATGAAATTGTCTGGCAAACGTCGGAAAGCCATAAAATTGTTCCAACATGCTGTAGCGCTGGCTCCTCAGCACCCGGACGTGTTGAATCACTACGGAGAATTCCTCGAGCAAATTCAAAATGACATAATTCGCGCGGATGAATTCTACGTAAAAGCGCTCACCTACGAGCCGAATCACGAGGGAGCTTTGACGAATCGCCAGCGGACTGCGAGAGTCGTCGAGGAGTTGGACAAGAGAACTCTCAGCAGGATTGACGAGAAGCGAGACGCGTTGTCGGCGATTCCCGAAAATAATGCTGCGCTGATAAGGGCCAAGAAGGAGGCCTACTTTCAGCATATCTATCATACCGTGGGGATCGAGGGTAACACGATGAATCTTGCGCAAACCAGAGCGATTGTGGAGACCAGAACTGCGGTGGTAGGCAAGAGCATCGATGAGCACAATGAAATTTTGGGACTCGATGCTGCGATGAAGTATATCAACGCTACGCTGATCAACAGAGTCGGCTCTATTACGATTAAAGATTTATTGGAGATTCATAGGAGGGTCCTAGGCCATGTGGATCCTATTGAGGGTGGACATTTCAGGCGAACTCAGGTTTATGTTGGTGGACATATTCCTCCAGGACCTGGAGATATTCATTATTTGATGCAGGAGTTTGCTGATTGGCTTAATAGTGAACAAGCTATTAGGATGCATCCTGTTAGGTAAATATTTATTTATTTGTCTATTTAAGGTAAAAAAACCCGGTTATTGACACTTGCAATTTTATATTAATTGAAAAAAAAATTAATTAATAAATTCGTAAATACTAGCAAACTTGCAGTCACTATGTGACTGCCGTGACTTTTGAACTATAAATAAATAAAATTTTGCTTTATTAAATTATTACTTTTGTTAAATTGCACTGTACTTTCTTAAATATTGACGTTTTTAAAGATATAAGCTCATCCCGATGTTACACTTATCAAGAACTTTTTCATTTGAGTACCCACATGCATTTTGATATATATATATATATATATGAAAAATTAATGTGGGTACTCAAAGAAAAAGTCTTAATGAGTGTAACATCGGGATGTGCTTATATCTTTAAAAATGTCAATAGTTCACGAGATACGAGGTCATTTCTTAATTATTGACATTTTTTAAGATATAAACTCATTTCGATATTACATCTCATCGAGACCTTTCATTTCAAGTACCCACATATTCAAATGAAAAGTCTCGATGATTGTAACATCGGGATGTGCTTATATCTTTAAAAATGTCAATAGTTCACGAGATACGAGGTCATTTCTTAATTATTGACATTTTTTAAGATATAAACTCATTTCGATATTACACTCATCGAGACCTTTCATTTCAGTACCCACATGGCATTTTTCATATATTTTATATATTTATATATTTCACAAATACCATATATATATAAAATATATGAAAAATGCCATGTGGGTACTCAAATGAAAGATCTCGATGAATGTAACATCGAAATGAGTTTATATCTTAAAAAATTTCAATAGTTCACAAGATACAAGGTCATTCCTTAATTATGTATTTAGAGATAGATCATTTTCGAATGCAGCCTAAATACTTATCATCATAAATTGACTATCGGTGAGAATGACATGAAGAAACCTTGAAAAGGCATAAATTCAAGTCAAGACCTTTGAAATGACACTAAATTTTACTAAAAAAAAAAAACCGATTTTATCATATGACTATCCTGGAGATAAAATTTTTCTTATTCTTCTAATAATAAAGATAATTTTTTAGTTATATATTTTAAGATAATTGATTTTTTGAGAAAATTTTATTTTTTTAATTAGAATAAAATTGCAAGTGTCAATAACTGGGTCTTTCACCTTAAATAATTAAAAATTAACAAGAGTTTTTTTTTAAATTAATTAAAATTATTTTTAGGTACGCAGCATTAGCACACTATAAATTAGTCCATATTCATCCATTCACTGACGGAAACGGCAGGACATCTCGACTCCTAATGAACACTATTTTAATGCAAGCTGGCTACCCGCCCGTAATTATCCACAAGCAGTATCGTCACAAGTACTACGAGTATCTCCAGATCGCCAACAGCGGAGACGTGAGACCTTTTGTGAGATTCATCGCAGAGTGTACCGAGCAAACGCTGGATCTCTTCCTCTGGGCTACCACCGAGTTCTCGAAACAAGTCCCGGCGCTGAGCCAAGAATCTCTGATGAGGGACCGGGACCGGACGATAATTCTCGATGATGAAGGTAGCGGTGACTTTCTAGACGACTTGACGAAGCTTTAATAAACTAGCGTTTTATTGAATGAAATGCTGCGAATATAAATTATTTATGTACATAAAAATGTTATTTATATTTATATTTATAAAATTGAGTTTATTTTAAGTGAGGTAATTATTTATAAAATTGTGAGAGGTTTGATTTATATACTTGCTGGTCGAGTTATTGATGCTTTTATTTTATTATTATCATCTGGACTCATTGATTGTAACAAATAAAATTTTATACTGAAATTGATATTTTTCTTCTCTTTAAATACAATAAAAATTTATTACTAAATAGTTTTTATTATTAAAGGCCACTAATTCAATAGTCGAGGACAACAAAGTTATTTAAAATAAAACATCAGGAGTTAACCGGTTACATAAACTCTACTTAAGATGTTATGAAAATTAGTGAACGCAGTTGGGTTACAGTATTTTTTATCATTTGTTACATTTATCATCATTTAATAACTTATTTAAAAAAAAAAAAATACTTAAGGCGATTTAAAAATGTTTTTTAATGTAAAATCTAAATAACTCTCGTCAGTCGTTATTTGGCTTTACTTGTTTCATTTGCTCATTCATTTTTAATTCAATCAAAGCTAGGTGCCAGGAACCTGATGCACGAAAATAAAAATAAAAATAATAATTAAAATAAAATACAATACAATACAATACAAAAAAAAATTATTTTATCGGTACCAAGTCCCCGGTGAGTAAAAAAAAATTCAGTATCATTATCATTACACTTTTATAATAATAGAAATTATTTTAAAATCTTCGACTGTAAATTCTTTAAATTACTTAACAAGCTTCCATGCATTCATACACACTCATAATAATTTTTCCTGTCCTAATTAATGATCCATTAACAATTACTCTCATAAAAGCGGTGATAACATGTTAAATTTTTTACATCTCAATATTTATTAAACATCCCGCGTAACATATTGATATTTCTCTTTTTTAAAAGTTGTATTAATAATAATGATAGATAATAATAATAATAATAATAATAATAATAATAATAATAATAATAATAATATCAATAATTAATATTATTTCTCACTATGTTTAATAAATACAAGAACTCTTAAGCATTTTTAAATGATAAATTATTATAGGCCTACTCGAATTATTTGATATCAGTTTTTTTATATCGAAAAAATACATCAAGATTTTTTATTTTATTTTTTATTTATAGGTAATTGTAAGATCGAGATAAAAACGTTAACTGCAGGCTCAAAAAAAAAAAAAATAACAATGTACCTAATTTGTAAAATGTACTTTATAAATAAATTTGAATTAGTAATTTTAAAAAATAATAATCAGAAGTTTAACGCTTTGATATGAGTAATTTTATTATAAATTTAAAAATAATTTTATCGTAACAATCTGGTTGCGCATTCACCTGACAATCGCTAGATAATTAATCATTTTTGATCAATGCTCTTGATCAAAGTGATAAATATATAATTTCATTTGTAACCTTGGCCGTAGATCTAAATAGTTTTACGCGATAGTCAAATGCATGTTCACGATGCTGATAGTGATTTTAAAAAGTAATAACTGAAGTAATGCTTTTTAAATCGCTTACAGAAATAATAGCTGATATTTAAAATTTTTTTTTTTTTATTATTTACTTAAATTGTTCAGTTTTAAACGATGAGTTAGTTGTATCGCGTGTTACGCACTCGAGTCATCTCTTGACTGATACGCTCTTCCTGGACGAGCTGACTCCGGAATTGACTGACTTGGTCCAGCGCAGCGTTGATAGTGTCTCGCTGCTGCAGCAACAGTTCTTCCCATTTTTTGGCGTACGCTGAAACACACAATTTTTATTCCGTAATCCTAAATGGTGCCCGCTTTTAGACCAATGATAAGCTTCAATTATGATTTCATGTATTAAAAATTTTTTATGTTGATAATATAATTATACTTTACATTTATTTTTTTATTTTATGTCAACAATTCACATTCTAAGCAATACTAACATTTAAGCGTTTAAATATGATGCTGAAATTAATAAAAATTAAGTTTGCCGACATCTAAAAATTTTTAGAATTTTTTTTATTGAAAAAATTATTAAAAAAAATTTCATTTGTAAAAAATTTGAAATACTATAAGTGCAATTATTTAATTATAATTTAATAATTTAAAAAAATTAAAAATTAAAAACGTCGACTAACTTTAGTATTATTAAACAATTTTTTATTTTTTTACACAATTAAATTACAAGTAAAAAAATTTCACTTAAAATTTTTTCTGCAAGTGAAAATTATTTTAAACAATTTTTTCAATAAAGAAAAATTTTCAAATGTCGGCTAATTTAATCATCACATTTAAATGCGATTAGTACAAAAAGTGCATATATATATATTATAATATTAAAGAGCATTAGTGTATGGCACGCTTTATTTAAAACAAAAACAAAATAAAATTTATTTAACAAAATTCTTGTACAAAAATGGAAGCCTGAGGTAGTTTGTAGTTTAATGAAAGCGTCAGTGAATTTATTAATTTTTTTTTTTTTTTTTTTTTCGTAATTTATGCACCAGGACCTTATTGATGTACGAAAAAGAAAAAAGTTAAACCTTTTTATTAATTACACTTTTTCTTCTTCACAATCAACGAAATTTAAAAAATGACATGACTTTTATGATTTTCCCAATATTAGTACTTAAATAAAAAAAAATTGTGGACATTAAATGACAAAGCAATTAATTTATTGATTTGTAAATTGGCTGATATAAAAATATATCGTACCATCGGAAAATTGAATTCTTTCAACGAGACGTCTAGACAATGAAAACCTCCTCATCATGCTCGGTGACTCAAACTTTGTTCTTTTCCGTCTTAAATCTGCGAAGGTTTGCTGGCGTTACATTTTTTTTAAGTATCAAAGTACATAAATATACTTATAAAGAAAATTTTCAATTTTTAATTATAACATCAATAAAAATAATAAATATAATTATTCAGATTAGAGTAAATATATGTATATATTTTTTATTCATTAATTATGGCGTTGTTTTTGAAACAATAGTAACATTTTATAAATTTTTAAACATTATTAGATAATGCAAATCATGCGATCATGCTTAAAAAATCACTCAATAATTTTTAATATATAAATTTAAATATATGGCTTTTAATTATGCTTCTGGACAATATAATATTTAGCACAACCTATTAAGGTAATATAAAATAATTAAACTGATTTTTTTAGTAAATATATAATAATAATAATAAATGCATATAGATAAATTTATGAAAATGCATTAATACAAAAATGCTTATTCATCTTTTATATAAACGAAGATAATAATATAAGCTACTGGAAGTATAAGAAGAAATACAATATTTAAAAATAGAGTCATCATGAACCTCATAAATCTTCGGCACAATGATAACTTATTTTTAGTCACAACCTCATTAGATTTATTATCACAATTATCATCAAATTTATAATCATTATTAATGTACGGATGGAATGATTTATCACTGAGATAGTTATTGTCAACAAACTCAGCCTGTGAATTAACAGCATACAGACTTTTTCGTACATTATAATTAGAGAATCTGTGTTTATTGGCAAGAGACTTTCTCCCGAGGTAATTAATCGGTGATTTATAATCACAAATATTAGCTTTAACATCAGTACGTGATTTATTCTCATTAGCATCATCAGTCTCGGAGTTTTTTTGGACATTATCAAAGCACTGAAAAGAATTGCTGCGAGTAACTCTAATCTTGGAAGCAGCGAGTCCAAAAACCTTGGCACGAATATCAGGATCGTTGCTGTAAAACAAATCAGCATCCGCGGGGCTCGGGCTTCTGGTAATTGAACCCAATCCAGATTCAGACCTATCCTCGTTAGCTAATGAGCTGGAACTATTTGTATTGAAATTGTAAGTAGATCGCTTGGCGCGATGATCGATTACTTTCCCGGTCCAACTCCACTTGCTGTTTTTTCTGCCAGTAGTCAGCCATGGCTTGGCGCTGGAGATCCTATTGATATTCTGCATTTTCTGAACCGTCGAAGATTTAATGGTGCAATTTTTGTCCATTATTATTTTCTTGGTGGTCACGCAGACTCGTGACCCGGATTTTTTCTTCATAGACGAAAGCGGCTTCAGAGGCTTGTTAGACCCGCAGGAGTTCAGGCTAGAGTTGGAGCTGGAGGTGGACCTACCACGCTCGTATTTCCACGGAGAATTTTTAGAAGTGTCATCCTGGGTGCCAACACGCTCGTCGTCGTCGGAACTACTGAAGTCTTCCATGAATCCCATGTTAACTGTTGATCCACTGGATGATTTCTGGTCATTGTCTTCTTCCCAGCCATCAGCATCAGTTAATGAGAAGATCGTGTTAGCCTTAGGGTTAGCGCGAGAATCTGTCATGAAACGCGAGGTTGTGATTGTGATGTTGACATGTCGCTTGATTGTTGGGGCGTCATTTTTTTTTTTTTTTTTTTTTATTTAAAATTTTGTTTAATTACATTTGACTCGAGACCTAGAGGCTTCCGAGTTTTTAAATTGTACAAGGACTCATGCGACTATTTTTGAATTAAAAGCGATAGATTTTGAAAATTTTCATCTATGCTACTAAATGTGTCAAAAAATAAAATTTGTATGTCCTACTAGCAAAACAGTGCTTCAAAATGCCAAATATGTATATTGCAAATAATTCTTTTTTTTTTTGTAAAAATATAAACTCACCTTCTTGGTCGTAATCCACTTCATGGGTTGCACTGAATACTTCGTGTGCATCGTTCAAAAATTTGTTTGAATTGTCAATCACTGCTTTGTGCGTGTCTAATACTTCCTCTTCCATCAGTTGAAGAGCTGAAACTGCTTCGTGGAAGGTGTACAGATCTTGAGACAATTCTCCTTCCTGAAATTAAATTATATCAGTAAAATAAATTATATTATTAAAATTCACGTCCATAGTAAATTACAATAATATTAATATTAACAGGAAATTGGACAAAATTGAAAAAAAATTATTTACATATGTAAATTATAATTTTGTAAATTATTTACAAAAATTGGAAAAAAATTATTTACATATACAAGTTATCTGCTAGCTGTTCTTATTTATTTAATTAATAAAATAAACGAATTTTGTTAATTATATTGAGTGAGCTGAAAGATGGATTATAATAAGTTTTATATTGTTACGCGTATGAATTGAGGTATATTTATATTGCCTAATTATATGAACTTGTTATATTGACTGTTTTTGGTTATTGTACAATCGCTGATATTTTTAAGTATGTTTAGACGCCCGAAGAAGGCCAAATAAAATGGCTAAAACGTCGCGGAATCAATAATCTGCGTTTTTTTTTCAATTATGTCCAATTTCCTGTTAATATTAATATTATAAATTATATTTAAATAAAATAATTTAAAAAAAAATTTACGAACATTTAATGATCTAAGTTGCGCTAAATCACTTTCAGAAAGAGCGCTATCATTGGCTTGTTCCTCTATTTTGAATAACTGATCGTCGTCAGTAGGCGATGCTTTTAATTCAGTGGGATCTGTCGCTGCTAATTCCTTCACTCGATCAGCGTATCGCAAAGTATTTAACGAGTGTTCACACGAACTCATTCCTGGGCTTATCATAGCAATCTATTAAATAAAAATTTTTATTTATTTAATAAATAATTTTTCACGAGCTTTTGATAATTTAAAAAAAAAAAAAAAAAAAAACTTACCATACACGTTTTAGATTTTTCACCAATAAAACTGTCCCTGAGTACTTGAGTTAATTTACTAGCCCTGAAAGGTAAATGAGTTCCTTTCCGGCCCAAAGCACGTATACACTCTTTGAGAGCAAGTAATGACTTATTAATTTCCGCACCTTCCATCCCTATAAATCAAAATAAAACAAAGGTTAAAGATAGATCATTAAGCGGAAGATTCAAGACATAAAAAAAAATAACTTACTCGTCTGTCTGTTGGCAGAAGAAGTGTCTGCGCCTCGTTCATTACCCGCAAGATCAATAAGCGAGAATTTACCATGAACCTTATGAGTACCAGGCGTCCGTGCAATTATCTGAAAGACGGCATGTGATCTCGAAGAGTTGGAGTTAGCGCTGGTCTGACCACTGGTCCTGGCACTGTTACCATGCTGAATGAGCTTAAGAACTTCATCAACACTCTCGACGACCTTCTCAGTGAGCCCGACGATCTGGACTTGCTGTTTTCCGTCTTCCAGTACCCTGAGCTTCTCCTTGTCAGCCAGCAAATCAAAGACTTTGCCCGAGTAAATCTCAAAGAAACTCGCAGATATCACCAGGTTCATCACGCGGTACTTTGGGGACTTTAGATACTTGAAAACGTCCTTGGCGACCATCGCGTAGACTCCCTTCTTGCAGTCCTGAGTCTTTCCGTTGAAGTCTCCACCCATGGTGTGGGTTTTTCCACTGCCAGTCTGTCCGTAAGCAAAGCACGTAGCCATACCGCCCTCAAAAATAGTCTGGACCAGCGGCTTTGCTGTGTACTTGTAGACTATTTCGTTGTTACAAGTCTCGTCGAAGGCGTAGTCAAATCTGAAGTGCTGGTTCTCGAGATACTTTGTCAAGTCGACCTTGAGCTTCGGCTCGTGGACAACCATCTGGTCTTTGCTGGGCACACTGATCACGTCGACTTCTTTTCTGGTGAGCTCTTTGCGATTCAAAGGTCGCTTCCTCACACAGACGGTTATCTGGTGGTCCTCGACCGAGTCGGACTCGCGCAGAGGTCTGAAGTCGATGTTGCTTTGATAATCTCGAATCATGGCCAAGAACTCCCAGTTGGGATTACCAGGATCCATGTTCATCAGGGCTTCCTTTTCTTCTTTCAACTCAGCTTGCCTCTGTCTCCGCTCTTCACGGTTCTTCTTCAGCTTCTCGACTTCCTTGACTACGTTTGAACGTCTTCCTCGTCCGTTCTCCACTGTTGTCTGTTGCTGCTGCTGTTGTTGTTGTTGTTGTTGTTGTTGTTGCTGCTGCTGCTGTGAAGTCTGGATTTTGGATTTATTTAGTGACATAGAACTGACGTTAGCGAATGCTGGAGTGGTGGGTGTTGGTGGAATATTTTCTACCTCGCGGCGACTCGTAAGACCTGGAACTGGATCTCCGTGGCCATTTGACAGTACCGGGGGCATTATATTTGTTGGACGTCCTGTTTGATTTCTCGGTTGCTTGTTTGATGTTGCTGAAAATAAAAAAATAGATTTATAAAATATTGTATGATTTAAAATATAAAAATAAATTTAAAAACCTCTGGTTATTTTTTCACTGATAGTCGGCGCAGAAATAGCAATCACAGCGGATTTTTCATCAACTATTTGATTTCTGCGTTTAAAAAAATGAGCCCACGGAATAAATTTCATTTTAAAATAAAAATTTTGAGTGTTTTTAAATATTTGAATTTTATAAATTTTATAAAAATTTATGACCAGCCCGCGGCGGTGTACACGCTGTACTGTGCTACCAGGGGTCCTTGCCCTTGTGCGGCAGCTATAGCCTAGACACCAACCTGGGCTGGTATATTGTACATATAGTGATGAATATCGATAGCCACACAACGTCCAACACTACATACAAGGCTTATTCCGCTGATGGTCGTAGACCCCAGACCGCTCGGGCGATAATTCACCCCCTTGTCATGACAGGCTAATTCCGACTACTAACACACATTGCTTTAATATATGTTTTTAAATTTATTTACCAACAACCCAACTTTGCGTCAATACTCTTATCTGATTACATCTTTTGCTTGTTAAATTTTTGAAATTTTCTCAGAAAATTAAATAATCCAGAGGTGTTAAATAAATTTCATTCATTTCTTCTTGAAGAAATTTAACCTATTAAATTTTTAGAAAATAAGAATAATTTTTACCTTTGACTGGAATAGATGGCCTCATGGAATGCTGCAAAATAAAAATATAAAAATGAAATATTTTTAAAATAAAAAATAGTACAATGATAATACGACAGTGCAATTAAGCTAAGGATTAAATTAATAAAAAGTGGTTTAAGAATTAAAAATAAATAAATACTATTATTAATATAACATTAATGTAAAGCGATTTTAAAATATACAGCATCAAAGTTGGGTAAAAAATAAAGATGTGCTCCTAATGTTGAGTAGTTATTATGCTGGAAATTATTGTTGAATGTTCCGGATTCCTCATGACTGTTTTTTTTTTATTTCCCAAGGCTACATACGTGTCTCTTTAATCTTCGTGAAGAGTATCATCTACTCCAGTGCATATAATAATATTATACCATGAGATAATGCCACACATAAATTACAGTAAATTAAATTAAAATTAATCCAAGATGTATTAACAATTATTTTAATTTTTTTTTTTTTTAACTATTGACAATGACACTACTGGTTAATAATACCTCCCGATTTGTCTCTATTAGTACCGTGAGGGTTCCAAAGAATTGTATGTATGATAAATAACAACTGATAATTAAAAATGACAGTGATTGTGATAATGAGGGAAAAAATGTTGCTAGGGAGTGCGCGTTACCAAATTACGAGTGATTCGTACAGATAGTGTTGCTGAAGCTAGGCCGTTTCTTGGTGGCGGTACGCCGTGTCGGCCAAAAGATCCGTCCTCCTGGTCCAGATCGTCGGCTCCGTCCTCGTCCTCGTCAGACGAATCCTGATCCATCGCACATTTAAATAACGTAACAGGATTGATGGAGAAATAAAATATTTGTATTTAGATTTTTTGTGGGATTCAGCAAAAATAAATATAAATAAATAAATGGAGTAAGTGGGGAAGGAAATAAATGTCCATGGTTGACAAATAAATGATCCAAAATTCCAGGAGCGAGCCGTTGACAGTTGAAGAGCAGCGTCCATAGAGGAAAAATACGTTACCACATTAGTTGATCATTTGTCAATTTAAAACTTGACTAGATTCGATTAGATCCTTGGGGTTCGGTTTAGATGGTTAGACAGGGTCAAGTAAACTCTCGCGGTCTTTTTAAGTCTCAAAGACACTACTGACCAACATGGACTTCTAAAGTGCTCCGGTTGCTCTAAGGTCAATCTAATTGAGACTCGATTACATCGCGGTCACGGTTATTTTTATTTATTATTTTATAAACAATCGACTCTATTAATTTATTCTTTTTATCAATTTAATTTTAATTAAATAAATTTTAAAAACTTGTGACACTTATATATGGGTGATTTTCTCTGTAAGGATGTCTCAAATCTGTACAAAATTGTCCGACCAAATTATTTTTGATTTTATTAAAAAAAAAAAATTACCAAAGGCTGCAAAACTATCAGCTTAATGATAATTAATACACAGCCAATTCAATAGCTACCAGGGGACTGAGTATCTTGTGGCCCAGACACATGTTTCCAGCACAAACGATGTTTTGACACTAAATAAAATGATAAAAAGCACTAACAGTCCTACGGTTATTAACTCAAGGCTAATTAGGTCCTTATAAACCCTACAGATCATAAAATAGCACGCTGGATTTTTTTTTTTTTGCTTTGAATTTCCGGGAGGGGACTATTCTTGAAACGCTGAGGACAAACTTTGGTTTAATGAATTTAATGAAACAAATCGACGGTCTAATTAACAATTGATCTAACTCTTTATTTTTTAGAGGGTGATTTTTTAACATTTTGATGTAGCAATAGTCTAATTATAAATTATTTTAATGATCCAAACTAAAATATTATACCTCTATTAGATATTAATGATATTAAATTGTTTTTTAAAGTGATGATAAATTTTAAACTAATTGTTTTTTTCGTACAAATTGAAAATTCTCTAAAATAGAGTTAGACAATTTGCTAATTAGAACGTCGAAATGAATTTTCAGTACTTTTTATTGAAGAAAATTGTTAGTTAACTAATTAAGTTTATAAAAGAAATGGACAAAATTATATATTGTAGACGAATAACTTGAAATTTAATCTTAAAGTTTCAATTTGGGGAAAAGAACAGTCCAGGGACTATTTCGGTGGTTTACGAATTCATAGCAAAAAAACTAAAATTTATTTCATTTTAGTTTTCAATCCTCCAAATAAAAATATTTTTTTACTTTCGTAATAAATTTTTTTTAGTCACAAAATAACAATTTTTTTTATTAAAAAAAATTCCCGGGACAGCAAAAAACATCCTTACAAAGAATCTCACCCATATACTCAAACTTTTACACCAATAGTGATTAAAATTTTTATACCAAACCATTAATTAAATTAACAACACTGTGAATTTCTGTAATTTTTACAGTGTTTTTTAAGCTCAACAACTTTACCTGGAAGACAATCATGTATTGAAACATTTTAGTATAAATAGACGCACTGGTATCAGACCGGCACATTATTTGCTGGTATCGGAACAGGTTATAGAAAAATGCATGGTAGTCCCAGCAACGCGTCAACAAATTTCGATCTTTCTAGTCGATAAATATTATTAGCTCGTGCTTCTGCGCTACCTAGAACTAAACTCTTTTTAAGAAACTAGTATAAATTATTTACGCGGTACACGCCATTACCAATGAGTAATAAGAATCAGTAACAATAAATTAATTTAAATACCGGGCGAGTGTATTAGAGTGATTGATCTTCATGACGTCTTCATGGTGCTTGCTGTAAGTTTTGTGTTTAAATAAAAATAAAAAACAAACTTATTTACCTTAGATCTATTTACAGACGAATTTATCTGTGGCGGAGGCATAGACTGTGGAGTGAGCTCGGGATTTAATGCGATGATAGCGTCCATCTCCACCTGTAATAAAATAATCGTTACTAATGAGCTTTAAAACGTTTTCATTCTTATAAATTATTAACAGAAAATAGAATTATTTATTTTTTCATTATATTGATAACCTTGCGACGAGGTATGAAGCTTTGGGGCATTTTTATCAGAATTATTTAATGCAAATAAATGAATAAATAAATGCACCGGGTTTTTTTTTATCACAATAATATAAATGAAAGTAGTAAAGCCTCCGACAAACAGCCCAGCAGGCTTGTCGGAAATAGACTAGCGTTCTCAATAGTTTTTCGCAGGTTGCTCGGTTGGTTGCATAATCTCTGGTGAAAATAGCTCAGTAACCATGACCTACGGGCGTTAATCTTCGAGATGAACAAGCTCCAGAATTAACAAGAGCGTCTAGTTATAATTCATAAGTTGAAACTATAAAAGTGTATTCGTGCAAGAAGAGAAATATTTTATTCAAGATTATCGTTTAATAATTCACGGATTTACCTCTTTTCCCTTGGTTTCGCCGCGCTCGAACCATTCTACTGTGACACTCTGTTGCTCCCAGTTGACACCAGATACTATTGCCGAGTGGATGCGACCTGGAATAAAAAAAAAATTATTAATAATTAATAAAGACAAATGTAGAAGGTAGCGATTCATGTGTTAACGGATTCCAGTGAATAACGCGAGCATGTAGCCAGTTATTTTTTACAGACAGACATTACATGGTGAAATAAATTACGGGGACACTGTTACTGGTATGACTGACAGACCAGAGGTAATAGAACGTCAACAAAATACTCTGCTATTATATTAGCCGCTTTCGTGTACGAAATTACAAGATAATTTTAGTGAGGGTATCACTGAATTTGCTGTCGGCCTGCTGAAGAATACTCCTTTCAAAGCCACGGTTTTATTTATTGTCACACATAACTGTCTCATTTTTTTTTTTTTTTTTTTCATAACTCAAGGACAAATATAAATTTTTTACACAAAAATTTATAAAATAAAATAATAATACTTGTTATAAGAAAAATACCATTTTGTTTAATATGTGGACTAGAAACAGAACTATTCCGATGTTTGGACGGTATGGGAATGGACGAACTTATTTTTTTATTTTTATTATTCTTAATCCTCGTTTGATGCTTTTTACGCTTGGGATCGTCGGCTATTGGCACAATAAAACTGCAGGAATTTGAACTGAAGCGGAAGTCATTTTCGCTAGTGGACTTAACGACTTCAGTCTGCCCGAACAACTTATTCTGAAGCGGGTTGTCTTTCTCACAATCTTGGACAAACATCTGATTGCTACTGCGGCTGAACTGATGCAAAGACTTAGACATAGACATTGACTGCTCTTTTTGGAGAGTCTCCACCGGAGAGGTGTCTGACAGTGAGTCATAGAACTGAGGTTCACGCTCTCCGATGTCGATTGCAGAAAACTCATCGTCATTCAATAAAACTGGTTTATTTTTATCAACGCAGTTCACTTGTCGATCTACTCCATTAATCTGTGTTACTTCCTTTTGACGACAATCCTCAAGGTCGGTTGTTACACGATCGCTTTTAGCTTCTTCTTTGCGACCACGATCTTCGTTGACGCGTGACAAACTAACAGTGTTGTTATTTTTTATGACTTCATCATCAACATTAACATCACTCCTATCATTATCATTATCATCTATTACATAAACATCAATTTTATCATTATTTTTCTTGGCATGTTTTTTCTTTTTCTTCTTCTGCTTCTTAGCCTCCTTGGAGCCACAAACGCACTTGCTGAGCCAATCCATCATTCCCAGAAAATTCTCTCAAAAATATAAATGAGTTGTAGGCCAAGTTCAGTTCTATCCAGAACCAAGTGGCTGGATAATCTTCTGCCAAATCCTACACGTGCCAAAGCAATTTAATAGCAATAATTTAAACTCGCTCCCATGGTGTATTTGATACCGTTAGCTGGAATATATTAACATTAATGGTGAGTACAGTGCTTCAGTATTGTATTAAATTATGTAGATGCAGCTTTGAGTAAATAAAACTGATTCGTGATCACACGATCGAACGCATATTGACATCGATATATAAGCTCGAACAGTGTAACCCTAGACGATCAAGTTTTAATACGTGTCGGAGTCAATCACTTTAGTCTGGTTGGCTGGTAAACGAGAACTTGTTCTTAATCATCCGTTTACACAATTTAAAAAAATTACATTCAATTCAATTTGTACAGTAAAAAAAATTTCTGGTTTCAGTCTGGTGTATAATAACATATTTACAAAAATAAAAAACTATTAATTTAAACCATTAATGTAATTAATTGGCAACCATTTTCACATATTTGATTTTTCACATTGTATTATATAATTAAACAAAACAAATGAATGAAACTTTAATAAATAATGTGTTGGTAATGATCACAGTGAGTGAGTCTCTAAACGACTGAAGCATTGTTTCCGAGTTAATATAGTCCTTTCTTATTTTATTGCTTTGCCAACCCAGCACAGATGTATTATTTTTCATTGGGGGGAATTTCCAGACTGACGAAAAGAAAGATTAAGTCAACACGTGCTAACAGTGCTACACTTGTTTTTTTAAATTCACGCGCATTTTATTCTCGCGAGACTGCTACGCCACATAGGTCAAGGTCGTGAGCATTGACGGAAAATGTGGAATATCATTTGGATTGTAGAGTTATATTTTTTGTATCGTTTCTTGATGTTACTCGATTACGACACGATGGACGACTGACAGGACTGGCTTCGGCACTGATTCATAAACCCATTTGTAACATCCAGAACCAAGAGACCAAGTGTAATTTAATATATTATATGGTAATAATAATAAAGTGGTTGTTGGTGCGGGTGTGTACACGATAATATCCGAGCGTAGTCGACGGGTTCGATCAGCCGTCAAGTGTAATCTCCATCACTGCGACACACTTTAATCCACATCAATGTTGTAAATAAAAAAACTTGTTTAAAATATATTTTCGCCAGTTTTAGAATTTCGTGCTCTGCTCGGAGGATATCAAGGATGCCTGGATGTAGGTTGCGTCAACATTTTTGCTGTCTGCGTTGCCTACTGCTCGTTGAATCGATATTTTTTGCATTGTCACAACACACAGTACTCTTTAATAATTCTTTAGTGTCTGAAAATTATTTACAATGTTATTAATATTTATTTATTTATTTGTTTATTATTTTCCAGTGAAAATAAAAATTATGAGGCATGTTTTAAGGCGAGACTCGAGATGGAGACTGAAAGAAAACCTACGCTCCATCATTTCCAGACTCATTCAAGTTAGATAACTCTTGCTAATAGCAAAAAATTATCAGCACTCGGCCAAAGTAATTGAAGCGTGAAACAAAAAATAGAGGACAGTAGCATAAGCTTACTTTGTTTTATTTATTTATTTATTTATTTATTTTTTTTTTTTAATTCGCCTTTTCGTCGCGAATTATTTGTGAACTGAAATTAGTTCCGGTTGTATCAATTCAGCTGCAGGGGTCACAATCTATTGAACAGTAAATTTAAGCGACCGCATCCTGTCTCAGCAGTCTCGTTGCTAGGTTTTATTACAAATCACAAATTGTAAATAATATTGTTTAAAGTAAACATATGTTAGTTGTCTTGTTCTACCACAAATTGCCCTTGAATCTCCCGATATTGAGATTTTATTTTTCCTTATTGAGATAACAAGTACGGGTGTCATTACTCGCAAGTACATGACCCTGCAATTAAAATTAATTGATCTATTTATTGTAACAAATAATTGCCGTGAAATAAATTTTCTACGGTCAGTTTTTGAGAATTTGTTAAATAATCTTTTACCAGTGGGCAGCTAAATGTCTCGCCTACTGTTATTGTTATTGTTATTTTTATAATTATAGTTACTTATAGTTATTAGTTTTATTATAGTGCATAGTTAGTTCTTGAAACATTCAACCAGGGCGCCAGTTATCGGGTATGCGCTTTACCGACGTTTTCATTACATCAATTTTATCTGATTTAGTTAATAAAAATTTATTTTAATTTATTGCTAAGCTCTTCCGTGTTTATTTTTAAATTCAAAGTGATTCTTTTATTTAATTCCGCATTTTTAAATATTGTTTCACTTAATTAATTTTTTAAGCACTTAATTGAACATAGTGAAAACATATGTTGAGGTACATAAATACTTATAATAAATATTATGTAAAGTAGTCTAAAATATATAAATATTTGTCTTGAAATGACGAAAAAGGTCAGTAAACTAAAGTACAACTTTCGCTTTTTTTAGAAATTAATAACAGTGTAGGTCGATATGTTTACGAGACTTTCTGCTTCGTAAGATTTATAAATATTCTCGAATTGAGATTTACACTCTTGACTCGTAATTGCTGGATACCAATTTAGCAATTCGTTTCAATTCTGTAATTCGATTTAGCTTTTGTCAATTGCCTGGTAATTTGTTCTGCTCTTTAAACTCATTTTTATATTACTGATATTTAACAAAATTATTTATTAAAAATTATTAATTTATAGTACAATTCATCTATCGGTATTTTTAATTCAAGGTTATTGCAATTTTTTTTCTATTTTTGGTTTAGAATCGCAGAAATTTTTTTTAAATATTTCAAATTTTTCTAAACAAAATTTATAGACAGAAAAAAAAATCAACTTAAATCAAGTGAAAAATTCTTGAACCAAGAAAATAATTTTGATAAGTTTCGTTGTCTTGAATCAAGTAAAATTTACTTGAACCAAAAAAAAATTTTTAGTTTAAAAATTTTTCTACTTAAATTAAGAAGATGAAGTTCTATAAAATTATTTACTTGATTCAAGTAAATTTTTTTTCTGTGTATTAATCAAATAATAAATTTAAAAAATGATTAAAATTTCTATCGATTAGAATGTCTGAAAAAGTTTAGTCCACCTCATTGCACGCGAGTGCATTCTAACTTTTACACGGATTTCACCGCCTAGACATTAACCAAGAAAATAAAGGCTTGTATCGAGTGTTCGTACAATATGCTAAGGATTAAACAACAGCTCTAGGAAGAGTCGTCCTCATCGTGGGCGACATCCGATAAAAAGTTCACCCAGCGAGTAACTGGACCATGCCTTTCTCGAGCATGCCTCCAAGACAATGCCACTATACAGGAAATAAAAATTCTCCACGCTATAATCTTGATTTTTAAAAAACAATTTAACTGTTGATAAATGTTGTATGCTGTGCTTATGCTTATGAATATGATTCTAAGCACTCGAAGAACAGATAATTAAATATGCTTTTGATAAAGTTTCTTTATAAGAATGATGTCCATGAATAAAGTGAGATAAGTCATAACACAAGCGTCCTTATAAGGTTCCAGCGCCCACACAACCACTTGTGATTTGCTTTTCGACAAGGACTACACGTCATCTTGTTTTTTATTTTCGAGCTTCGTTTTAAGAATATCTTTAATCTCAATCTTGATAGACTCTAAGTGATTTTACACGTCGATACAATTAGTTAATGTACCTTAAATAAAATATAAAAATAAAATTAATATTATTAACATATTTTAGAATAATTTACAGCCAAAATAATGTATATATCAAATAAAAACAAATATTATGATAACCTTATCGTTGAAGTATTTATCTTAAAATATATCGATGGCATCTTTATTGAAACAGAAGAGAGAGTGCATGACACCCAGATCCGCGAAAAGTATTTGCATAAGTCTATTATTAGGCAAGAGCTATCTGTCTTAAAAGATCTAGATACTGGATGCTTAAATAGCCGTTCTTCACACAAATAGATCCTACCGAGGGAATGCCCTGTCGCGGTGGATCTAAATCCACAGCAGAATAAAATAAAACATAAAGTAACACTTGTGTTTATATCAATAATTCAAGTCACGCATACGACAAATGGTTTAGAACACTCAGCTGTCACCATTTTATGTATTGCTTTTTTATTTTACGAGACATTTTCTGTCACGATAAATACGTATCGATTTCGTTCTGCACCAGACAAGTTTAACTCCCCAAGGTCATGGCAAACCGAGAAACATCATTATTACATTACTTTATTTATTCATTTTTTTTTTATTGTATTAGTGAGTTTAACTGAGCAAACTGCGTATCCGGCGTAGTTTTTATTCGGACAACATAATTGCTTGAATTAGCAATCTAGTGAATTTACATCACCGCTCAAAGCCATCGAAAACACCCACGGGTGTATTTTTTTTTTTTTTTAAATTATTAAATGCAATCGCGGTTAGTTAAAATTACTTTTAATTCAATTTAAAGCTCTCGACAATGTCAGAGTATTTATACACATTGATGTAACAATAACTCTATTGAGGTACTTTTTATTTTTAATTCACAGTATATATTTCTCATATGTATATCTATGAAATGTTAGAATTTATAAATAGAAATGATTAGTCAATTTTAACATCCCACGTTTAGAATATCGACAGTTTGACCCTAGTTCGCGATAGCAATACTTCTGGTCTGACAACTTTCCCTTTCTTAATTTCTAGTTCTTCGAGATTTTTAGCCTCCATATAATATTGTATTTTATATAATATAATCAATAGATACGGATGTATGCAATTACTCTGAGATTATGTTACGTATAAAAATAAAAAATAAAAAAAAAATAATTGGAACTAGTTGATCAATTTCAGTGACATGGACAAATTTACTCCCAACTATTAGGTTTTTACAGAGAAAGAAGCCGTACCCACGCGATTGGTTTTGGTACACGTGCGTTGTTAGGCACTGAGATGGACACAATACGCCGAAGCATGAATATATGTATTATGTACGTATAATTGTAGCATAGGTGTGAGAGAGTACGGCTAAAAGGGGCCGTTAGGAAACCCGCTCCTTTCTTGGCGAATGTTCTGACTCACTCCTCGAGCAGCCAGTAAATAAACTCATGATTATCTTACAAAATTGGATTTTATTTTTCGGGCAAGCTGACCTGTGGTAATAAATAAAATTTATTGAGTTAGTAAAAAAAAAAAAAAAAAAAAAAGACTACAGTAGTTTTAATACCGATACCTTGGAAAAATAATTACCTTGGTTTAATATTAAAGTCAATGTTAGCTCAACCGTCTATCCGCGGTTTACAATAATTATTTTTTTTTTCGATACTTGCCGTGTTAAGTATATAATATATAAATATATCGACTAGACGTTAAACACGAAGAGTTATTGCAGTTCACGTAATATTGATCGAGTCGTTTTTACTAAGTGACCCGTTTCACTTGCATCCTTCTGTAGGTCAGCTAAATTACTCACTTATTATATTAAAAGTATATCCATTTATTTGACTCCTTTTTTAGAAATAATAATAATATTAATAATTGTTATTAATATTATTTTTTTTTTATTAGATGGTTGTTTTTGATAAAAGTCATTTGACTTTTAACACTGACGGAAAATTATTGACTAGGATTTTACTTGCATTGCGTAAGTCCGTCATTGTACTTAATGCCAGACAATACCTGTTAATTTATTGAAGGCTTATTATTTATAAAATACTCGATAGGTATTTTTACAAGTACATTAAAAATGATAAGAGAGAATTAAAAATTGCCCATTTCCTCTTATTTAAAAATCAAGGAAATGTTTAATTAATTTTCTCTGGTGTAATTTATATTGACAGGTATAATAATTATTTATCATAAAAACCAGTAGATAATGTAAGATTGTGAGAATGTAATTGTTGTTTCATTAACTCCAGTCGCAGCAGCTGATTCAGATTGAACGAGTAACGGGATTTAACATTAGAACCATCACCGCTCTAGATTATAACTAGCATACATATATATTGGTCTTAAACACGCAAATATCTAATTTATTTAATAGTATATACTCGGAAAATTTTATTTCACTCAAATGTCTGTTTTTAAAATTTTAATCCATAATTTTTCAATTAAAATAATAAATTATAGTATTGCACTGTAATTATTTTATATTGAATATTAACAGCTTGCTTTTATCAATTTAAATAAAATTGTCAAATGATAGAGTCTAAATTAAACCCATAAAAGTCATCATCAGACTCTAAGTTAAACAACATGAGCATGAGAATGAGTTTGATTGCAATGCAAAAAATGTAGAGGGAGATTCCCCGAATATGGGAATGTCAGTGGTAAATCTCATGGATAACCGGTTGATACCGATGATGGTGTTCAATAGCTCGCTTCTACCCGAATTCGCTAGTCACTAAACCCAGGTGAGACTTTCATAGGTAAAATTTTCCAATGAGTAAAAATAATCAACGCTGATCAAGATAACGTGATTTTTTACTCCACTCTAGTTACACAGGTGTAATGTCTGTCTACCAAAGTGTATATTAAATAAAATAAAAAAACAGTTACTTAAATTTATATAAATAAAATAAATTCAGGGATTTGTCTGATAATTTGAGTATCATATAAAATGAAAATTAAGTCAGCCGAAAAATTTTTGTAATTTTTTTTAATGAAAAAATTATTACAAAAAAATTTTCATTTGTGAAAAAATATGTCATTAAAGTTAGCTGACACTTGACAAATTTTTAATTTTATTTAATAATTAAATTGACTCTAAAAAAATAATTTGAAAAAATTGCATTTTTAAATTTCTAAATGTCAATTTTTTTTCTTATTTTTTTTACCATAATTTATTTGTTAAAAAAATTCTAAAAATTATTAAATATCTGCTAACTTTATTATCATAAAAATATAAGTGTAATTTTTTAAAAATATTTTGTTAAAAAAAAATTAAACACGTCGGCTAACTTTAGTATTATTTGTATAAAAATAAATAAAATGACAATTAAATAAATATAAAAATAAAATAAAGTGTTGGCGGGCAAAACTCACCATCGGTTCGCTTGATGTTTATGCTGGTGCCAGTGGCGATATTGCAAACGCTGCGATCCATGGTCATTTAATGATCAGTTACTTGCCGTAGACACGGACGACATAAAAACCAGTGGAGATTGTCCTGAAGACAATGCCAATAACTCAATGTGTGTTTATTTACTGACGTCCTGAGCTGAGGTAGGCTGATTGGAGATTCTGGTGGTCGATGCTGAGGACAGACCAGTGGTTGTAATTCAACTAACAAAAACCGGTGGATTAACATTGAATTAAATATAATGAATAAAAAAAATAATAATAGTAATAGTAGTGTTTATTGACAGTTACCGAGGCATTAAAAATCTCATGTGAGCCGATGTGATGAGTGATGTGAAGGTATGGACATGTATATATAATCACACAAGCAACTATTGTGTACGGGAAAAAGGACTCAAAGGCACGCCCGCACTAATGCCAATAAACTCGATGAAACTATTTTATTAAGTTAGTCACTTTAGACAATAGTTTAGCCACTGTTGTTGTTGTTGTCGTTATCGGACACGAGGATCTAATCAAGAATTTACTTTTGTCACACTTAATTAGTTAATGATATTTTAGTATTCGGTGATTATTGGCGACGAGATACGAGCTCGGTCTGTTGTGTGTGTATCCAAACGTTTTATGTGCCGGGGTACTCTATACTCTACCAGTGTCCGTTATTGACAACGGAAAGACTACCAGCGCTAGCTCACGGTTAACAACTACGTCTCTGCCATCTTTGCCTTCTTCTCGGTACTGTCAAACAGTCGTTACGAATTTGAATTTTGCAATGCGAGCCAGCGCTTATTTACTGCTGCGGATGAACTGATAACTAATTTTTAGATTAATTTTACCGGGAAAATTTAAAAAAGTAAACATTAGTATTTAAATAATTTTATTTTTTTTATTTTTTTATAAATAAACTATTATTTACTATGAAAAATTATGATATTAAATTTAGCTGTCATTTGACAATTTAAAAATTTTTTTCAACAAATAAATTTGTTCCAAAGAATTATTTTTAAAAAATTGCATTTTTAGTTTTTTAAAATTTCTAAATGTCAATTTTTTTTGTCACAATTTATTTGTTAGAAAAATTCTTAAAATTATCAACTATCTGCTAAATTAATTTTTATTAAAAAATTATGACATTAAAAATAGCAGTTATTTGACTATTTTTTAATTTTTATTAACAAACAAATTTCTTCCAAAAAATTATTTTCAAAAAATTGCATTTTTTATTTTTTTAAATTTCTATACATTAATTTTTTTTGCTCTAATTTATTTGTTAAAAAAATTATCAAATATCTGCTAAATTAATTTTCATTGAAAAATTAATTTATAAAATATATATGACATTTAATTTAGCTGTAACTTCACAATTTTTTAATTTTCGTTAACAAAAAAATTATTTAAAAAAAATTGCATTATTAATTTTTTAAAATTTCTGCATGTCAATTTTTCTTCCCATAATTAATTTGTTAAAATAATAATAAAATATCTGCTAAATTAATTTTTATAAATATGTACAATTATTTTAATAATTTTTTCATGTGACATTTGAATTTTCTTCTGTTTACATTATATTTATTAATTGTCTTCTTTATTAACAGTGTATTACATAATGATAAAAATATTAAAAAAGTATTTTCTTGTAAAATTTATCTGCGTTTGATGGCTTGCAAAATCCATTGCTTGAATTCTTGCATATCAATTTTAAATTTTTGTTCATTGGCCAGCTCAGCAATGTGCTTAACTCTGAAAAATGAAAAAAAAACTTATAAGAAAAAAATTTTTGTGATTATAAATTTTAATTTTAAAAAATAGCCTACACATTTGAGCGATCTTCTTCAGGACAACAAGGTGGTAATTTATTTTGTTTTATGCTCTTGAAAGTTTTAATTGCATCCAGAACAATGTTTTCTGCAAGACCAGCACTAATTGCTGTTGCATGAGCAAAACTACAAGTTACATTACCGGATATTAGTTCGTAAAGAAATACTACCGTATTATTTTCGTCAAGCTGATAATCAAAAGTCTGCAATAATAATAATAATTATAAATAAGTTTAATGTTTATCTATTTTAAATATTTTTATTCCAAGCTAGTTATATTTTTCCTTTAATATATTTTTTTCAAAAGAAGAAATATGATAATACTGAATTTAGCAGACATCTAAAAATTTTTCAGATTTATAAAAATATTTTTTTTTAATGAAAATTAATTTAACAGATATTTGATCATTTTAAAAATGTTTCTAACAAATAAATTACATATGGCACAAAAAATTAGAAAAAAAATTGATATGTAGAAATTTAAAAAAGTGTAATTTTTTAAAAATAATTTTTTGGAACAAATTCGTTAAAAAAATTAAAAAGTTACAAGTGAAAATTTATAATAATATTTTTTTTTTTATAATAATTAATCTGTTATAAAAAAAATTTCAAAGATTATCGGCCACTTTCAGTATCATGAAATTAGTCTAATTTAGAATAAAAATATTTATCTAAATTATCATTATTTAATAAATTAAAGTATAAAGTTAAATATAAGAACCATCGCTTCAAGAAGAGGTGTCTTAGGTAAAAGTTCAATGACACGATGAACATGAGTAGCGCAAAGAATATGTGGACAATAGTTTCCTCTTTGAATAAAATTTTTCAAAATACTAGTAAGCAATGCCAGCGAGTCTATTTCAGAAGTTCCTTTGCCGAGCTCGTCCATCAGAATCAAAGAATTAGGCGTAGAAGAGTACAAAATATTGTTCATCTGACGGAGGTCTATGAGAAACGCGCTTGCATTCTGAGCGATACTCTCCATCGTGGGCATCTGGGTCAAAATATGAGTAACAACGCCTATTTTGGCTGACTCTGCAGGCACGTAACACCCGATATGTGCCATGTAGACGATAAGCGCAACTTGTTTCAAGTAGACAGTTTTTCCACAAGCATTCGGTCCAGTAAATATTTTAACCAAGCTACTTCCGCCTCCAGATTGCGTGTCGTTAGCTATGAAATCTTTCTTCAGTTCACTCAGAGGATGACGTCCTTTTTTTATGCTCAGTACGTGGGACTTTACTATTTCTGGCTTTACGTAATTGTGAGATGACGCTACCGATGCAAAAGATAAAAGTCTGAAATAATAGATAAATAAATTAATTAATTTACTAGCAACCTGTAGTTACTATGTGACTGCCGAGAATTGCGAACTACAATAATTAAAATTTTGCTTAATTATATTATGACTTTTGTTAAAGTGTACTGTACTTTCTAAACTATTGACATTTATAAAGATATAAGCTCATCCCGACGTTACACTCATCAAGAGCTTTCATTTGATTACCCACATGCATTTTAATATACTTTTCATATATACATATATATAAATAAATGAAATATATGAAAAATTGATGTGAGTACTCAAATGAAAGGTCTCGATGAGTGTAATATCGGGATGAGTTTATATCTTTAAAAATATCATTATTTGACAAGATACAATGTAATTTCTTAATTATTGATATTTTTTAAGATATAAACTCATTTTGATGTTACACTCATCGATACCTTTCATTTAAGTACCCACATGGCATTTTTCATATATTTTATATATATGGTATTTATGAAATATATAAATATATAAATTATATGAAAAATTGATGTGGGTACTCAAATGAAAGGTCTCAATGAGAGTAATGTCGGGATGAGCTTATATCTTTAAACACGTCAATAGTTAAAAAAAGTACAGTGCAATTTAACAAATATCTTGTGAAATATTGACATTTTTAAAGATATAAGCTCATCCCGATATTGCATTCATCAAGACCTTTCATTTGAGTACCCACATCAATTTTTCATATATTTATATATATTATATATATATAATATATGAAAAATATATCAAAATGCATGTGGGTAATTATATCTTTAAAAATGTCAATAGTTCACAAGATACAAGGTCATTTCTTAATTATGTATCTAGAGATAGAGCATTTTTGAATGCAGCCTAAATACTTATCATCAGAAATTGACTATCAGTGAGAATGATATGAAATCTTGAAAAGGCATAAATCCAAGTCAAGACCTTTGCAATGACACTAAATTTCACTAAAAAAACAGATTTTATCATGTGACTATCCCGAAGATAAAATTTTTCTTATTCTATTCATAATATAGATTAATTGTAGAAAAATTAATCAGTGACTTACACGTCTAATTCTGCGCAATATTCAACTGCATTGAGGACTGGACCAATGTATGTTTTTACGTAATTAACGAGTCGCAGCATTATTTGACTCTGTCTTCTTGTTATCTTCAGCAATACATCACCTATTGTTTCGTCTAATTCTGAAAAAATAAATAAAAACATCAGGATAAAATTAATAAAGCTAAGAAAAACTAATTCTACCTCTTGCTCCTTTGCTTTTGTAATACCGAATATTGTTAAGAGAAAACTTAAACTCTAGACCAGGAATCATTTCATCATCAGGAGGAGGAGGTCCGTTCCATTCAGTGATTGCTAAGCAGTGCTGGATGTCAGGAATGTAAACCATTATGCATTTCTCGACGTACGGCGGCAAATTTTCCAATTCTTCAGCCGCTTTTTCCGTCAAACGACTAGGTAGAGTCTGTCTTAAATCATTTACTAAAAAAATAAATTTATGTCAAGTAATATATTACTAAATAATTCTATTAGTTGATAAATAACCAGCAAGTACATTGGTCAAGTTCAGGATCAACATTTCTTTTGACGATAAATTTTCTTTGCTGCTTGCTCATCTCAAAGTCAATTATATATTCGATGAAATAATGGCAATTGTGAATCCCGGGTGTTATGGAGTCTGCTATTTTAGCGAATATCGACACTGAGTCTCGATATTGTTGGCATAGTTGGCCGATTGTTAATAAATTAACCAGGGTCTAAAAAATAATTAAATAGTTAGTTTAAAAATTATTAAATAAATAATTACAATTATAAAAAATACTACAGTGGCAAATCTTCCCCAATCAGATGGGTTGGCTTGTGCGGTTGAATATTTAATCAGTACAGTCGGGGTAAGACGGTGAACGTGGCTCAAGCATGATTTTAAATTATGAACTACATGTTGGTTGTCTACATTCAGGAAAAATTCAATCGCTTGCGTTCGTTCTTGAAGAATTTTAATGTTTCTCGTCGGGTGCTTCATAATTTTCCTAAAAAATAAAATTTAAATAAATAAAAATAAAAAAAAATTTAATTTAAAAAATAAAACAAAAATTTTAATAAATAAAATTTAGATAAAAAAAAATTACTAAAATTTAGATAAATGAAAATAAATCAAATTTTTTTAAATAAAAATTAAAAAAATTTTTTTAAATAAAAATAAAAAATATTTTAATAAATAAAATTTAAATAAAGAAAAATAAATAAAACTTAGATACATATATAGAAATAAATAAAATTTAAATAAATAAATAAATAATAATAATAATAATTAAAAAAAAAAAATTACCAGAGATGATGAGACCCAGGACGTGATTGACAACGATTTAAAAAAGTAAATAAATCAGCTCTTTGATTCTGATTCTTTCCAAATTGAAAACTACTGTTGAACCTAGATTGAATGATGTTGAGAGACTTGTAGGTATCATCTTCAATCATAACTAAATCTTGGAGTATGACATAATTAATATTGACGTAACGGGCCTGACCCGATGGAGTCAGGGACAATTTGTTCCAGCTTTCGTCTAAGTATTTCAGGAGCAAGCCCAGAGCGTGGATCATGGCAAGGGATTTGAAATTCAACAGGGAGTTGAGGAATATAACCCGGTCTGCATTACTGGCATCCTCAGGCTCGCAGTCTAGCTTCAGACAACGGACCCGGTGGTAACAATTGTCAAAGGCGTTTTCGTTTTTTGACAGGATTTTCAAAGATGGCTGGCAGACCCGGTTGATGCCTGTTGATGTCGACGGAAAAGACTCCTCGTTTTGAGCAGTCAGGTCTCCAGCGATCAACTTTTTTACTGATGTTGTAAAAGACTCCGGAGCTCCGCTTAAAATTATCACACACATTGGATTACATTGACGGTACAATGATTTTGTTACCTGATAACTGAAATCATCTTCCATGACATCTTCCATCACGAATAGTTGAGATGTCGTTAGATTGTAGTACGCAGCTCCAAACCCATTTTTCTTCCATACCAATGATAAAATTATCTAAAAGTTTATTATTAATTAATTCTTAATAAAATTTTAAAAATTACATTAAAATTAGCAGTCACTTAACAATTTTTTAATTTTATTTAATAAAAAAATTTGTTCCAAAAAATTATTTTTAAAAAATTGCACTTTTTATTCTTTTTTTTTAATTTCTAAATTTCAATTTTTTCCGCCATAATTTATTTGTTATAAAATTATTAAATGTATGCTAATTAAATTTTCATTTAAAAAATTCTATCTAAAAAATTGCATTTTGTATTTTTTTAAATTTCTAAATGTCAATTTTCTTTTTCTATTTTTTTTTGTCATAATTTATTTGTTATAAAATTAATAAAAAATTATTTTTTACGTGATCATTTTCTTCAGATATTTTTTGTGATTTTATTTCCGAGTGTTCTGAAGTATTCACTGGGATGGTATCAGATTCATTGTTTTCTTTTTCTTCTTCTTCTTCTTCTTCTTCTTCTTCTTCTTCTTCTTCTTCTTCTTCTTCTTCTTCTTCTTCTTCTTCTTCTTCTTCTTCTTCTTCTTCTTCTTCTTCTTCTTCTTCTTCTTCTTCTTCTTCTTCTTCTTCTTCTTCTTCTTCTTCTTCTTCTTCTTCTTCTTCTTCTTCTTCTTCTTCTTCTTCTTCTTCTTCTTCTTCTTCTTCTTCTTCTTCTTCTTCTTCTTCTTCTTCTTCTTCTTCTTCTTCTTAAGAAGTATCTAGTAATTTATCAAATTTGAACTTTCGACCATCTCTAATTAAAATTTATAATAATTAGTAATTTATTTATCTATTAAAAACATAAATATTAATACGTACTCGAAAGACAATTGTTCCTGAGACATGTTGCCGCTTTGAGAAACCTCTGTGATATGAAATTTTCAAAAAATCCCCGACAATGCAGCCAATATTAAAATTTATAAAAAAGCGGGAAATTTGAAATAACAAAAATATTATTTTTAATAAATTTATTTTTAACAAAGTTATTTATTTGATTACATTAGATGAGCAAATTTCGAGTTTGTTATCTGTACATAATTACAATGTATTTTCCCTAAACCTTTTTTATTTATTATTTATATAAAATATATGCTATTGATTTATAAACCGATAGTGAAAAATTAGTGTTAATTTTTTATCGATGTAAATACATTATTATTAATATTTAATTTTTATTATAAGTATTTTTAATATTAATATTAATTATTATCATTATTATTGATTTATCCGACTAAAAATCTTTGATTGGACAATTTGTTAGAACTTATTAACAATAACTTAATCTATTTTATTAGAAAAAATTATTACGGAACACATTTGGTTAGAAATTATTAAAATACTAGGCATTAATAATAAAATTAATAATTATTTTAAAAGTTAATGTACAATTTCAATATTTAATAATTAAATAAAATAATTCGATTCAAGTATTGCAAGAATGCTGTTGTAGAAAAAATTTCTACCAAACAGTTTTTAAATAATTTATAATTTGGCATCTTGATTCATTCGTAGAGTAGAAAAAAAATAATGCATTTCCAAATGAGAAAATAATAACAGAAAAGAAGGAAAAAAATACTGAGTGATCTTTTGGTCGTTATGCAACATAATAATTGCTTTTTAAATACACTGTAAAATATTTTTTTATATTAATAATTACCTCAAAAATTATTGAAAATTTGAATGAATAATTTTTAAAAACTAGTTCTTCATAACGACCATTTTTTTTTGTTCATAATTGTAACAAAAAAAAATTCCTGAGTAAAAAATAAAATTCGATAATCCGAATAATTATTTTTCCTTTAGTATTATTAAATATAATTCGCTTTAAATATTTACAATTATATTCAATTTTTTTCTTCTGTTTCCATCTCTATTAAACTCTCGATTAAATAATTACTTCAATTAAAATTGATTAATATAAAACAGTATCTAAATTATTTCTTAAAAATAAATTACAAAAAATATTGATATTAAAATTACAATGTTAATTACATAATTCGTTGACTTATTAGTTTTTTAGCGAAAAGTTAACAATAAAAATTGATAAACAAAAATATCTAATAGAAGATAAAATTAAGTTGGAATCGGCGGCGGTGGTTGAGGATTAAAAGCTATCGGTCGATAATTTTTTTCTCTAACAAACGGCTGAACGGCATTAATAATAAACCCATTGGCAGTGACATTGATAGATGAATTCCGCTGGTGATTTACTGGTTCCACAGGTGTCTCTTCTTCAGAACTGGCTATCTCAGAACTTCTCGCCGGACTTGCTGACCTGGTCAACGTCGCAATTGTTCCGCTGACTTTGCCCTCTTGATCTTTCGTCGTTGGTTCGTCCCTATTTATTTGGGTTTTAGTTGGAACCATTATTCATTTACTATCAACCCAGTTTTTCTCCATATCCAGTAAACCATCAATTTAAAAAACAATTTCATGATAAAAATTTCAAGGAATTACACAACAACAATTTTTTCACCCAATTCGGTTATTTGACCCGATAAACATTAAATAAAAGCGCTTAATTATTCCACTTATTTAAACCTTACAATTTTGTTTTTTTTTTTTTTTTTTTTTGTAATTGGTTTTGTTTTTTTTTTAATGAAGCGTTGTTAGATGACTAGAGGTGTTAGGACTACTTACTTAAACGGCAATCATTCAAAACCTGCCGAAATAAAAAATACAAGCAAAGAATTAGCGGATTTTATTGCAGGATTTTATTAAAAAGGTTGTTTGTAAAAAGTCTGTCAAAAATCTGTTGTATAAAAACTATCTGCTAAAATTTCGTAATGTATGTAAATTTATTTTTTTAAATACCAATTTTTATTTCACAATCCATGTCCAGTAAATATTTAATTTATTACTGTAAAAATAATAGTCGATAAGAGGTAAAAAAAATGAGGTAACGTCAGTGTCATTACTGGTAAGTATGAATAAAATAAAAAGTTTTTAAAAAACCAGTGTGTCGAGGAGTTGGTATTTCGATGGGAAAGTCATTGGGTCATGCAACATGCTACAGCTGAATTACTATCTGAATAATCCAAAGTGGGTCGTTAGCAAGACAAGATACAAGTATTATCTTAATCTCTATTTTTATATTTCATAATAGATCTCTTTTTAAAGCACAAAAGATGTCATCAACATAAATACTTGATGGATTAATTAATAATCAAATGCTAACAGCATCATTTTACTTGTATCCTATCTCAATGTCTAATCTTTACGTCATTAAAATTCAAATTAGAGGTCATAGGGACGAAGCAAAGTATCAATTTAAATTTAATAAATAAATAATAAGGTATTAAGATTTATTTTATAAATTACCTAGTACGAACAGGTTTGCTATTTTTATTATTGCCATTTTGTCGTGAATGCGGTCGGGTATTTGGTTGTGATAATTCACTATCGCTGCTGGCTAGAGACGATCTTGCAGCTACCGCTCCATGTGCGAAATCTTTCCTGTTATTTTAAAATAATATCCATCATCAGTCATTGTCATAATTGTTGCTTATTATTATCAATTATCAATTACAGGTAGGTATATAAAATAAAAAGAAATAAAAAAAAAACAAACCTGTAGTTATCTGAACGTGGCGTTGAATTTAAATTGGCGTGTTTTCCCGTATGAATATTCGCATCTACGAATACATGAGAGCTTTTAGGAATGTCACACACAATCTTAGGATGTACCGTAGTCTGCTTGACCTCAAGGTGCGAGGATGACTCGTTGTTGGGTGCCCAGTCGTAGTATTTCGGCCGATAGTCCTTGTACTCTCGGGGTTCCTGTTTCTGGTTTTGCTGCTGAACTCGGCACTCTTTTTTACGATGATACTCGTCGCTGCTCACGCTGCCCTTGCGATTGTTCACAAGCTTTCCGGGTGGTGCTGAAGTTGGCGAGGAAGCCGACGAGGACGGCGCTCCGTCTGGGTCTGCTCGAGATAGGTGAGAGCTATCCGACGCCGGAGGTAAACTACTGAAAATTTTTGTCATGCCTTAAGTAATAAATTTTAACTAAATCCTTCAAATTTTTTATATTACAGCGAAAATATTGGTCTGATAAAAAAATATATTAAGGGGAGAAATACGTGTAGAAGGACGTTTTCATGCTGATTTTTTATTAATTTTTGTAAGGTATAAAAAATTAATATTATTTATTAATACGATCAGGTTATTCTATAGATATATTTATATTCTTTCATATTTTACAACAATATAACTTAAAAAGTAGCGGAGATATCAGCTGATACACATCGTAGGTTGTCATCCGACTTAGCAGTTGGTGTGTAGTATGGAAGCCACAATTTTTATCTGAAATCAATGGCACAGAAAAATTACTTTTTTTTATACAATTACGCTGAATATGAACCTCAATTACAAGCAATCTTTTTATTTAAATTATTTTTTTTTTTTTTTTAATAAACAATATATGAAAAAATGGTAAAAAATGACGATTTTGTTCACAACCCTCTAAAAAATGCAAATTTTTACTTTTTTTTTTTTTTTGGATTGAGGTTCATATAGAAGTTACACATATAAAAAAAGTAATTTCTCTGTGCCATTGGTTTCAGATAAAAATTGTGGCTTTCATATTGCACACCAACTGCTAAGTCGGATGACAACCTACGATGTGTATCAGCTATCTCCGCTATTTGTTAAGTTATATTGTTGTTTAATACGAAAAAATACTCATAAATATATCTATAAAATAACCTGATGTATTAATAAATAATATTAATTTTTTATTCCTTAAAAAAATTAATGAAAATCAGCATGAAAACGGTCTTTTACACGTATTTCCCCCCTTAAACAAAAGTTGTTTAAAATTTAATTTTATTAAAAAAATGTTTCTTATGATTTTTTTTTAAATTAAATTATAAAAATTAAATTAAAAAAAAAAAAAAAAAAATTTCATTTGTAAAAAACTTGAAAAACTTCAAGTGCAATTTTTAAAAAATATTTTTTTTTGTGCTAGTTTTATAAATAAAAAAAATAAAATAATTAAAAACGTCGGCTAATTTTAGTGTTATAAATTATTGATCCTTAAAAAAAGCATAAAAGACGGTCGTATTTTTTCATTTGTTACTTTTATAATTCAAAGTAATTATTTTACCAAATGTATTAGTAGTTTACAATAATAAATCAATTATTAATAAGATCAAGTGTGCATTATATATGATGTTTATTAAGTACTACGTGTTGAGATGTCTGATGAAGGCCAAATATATAACCGAAACGTCGCAATGAATTGACAATTAGTATTCTGATTAACATCATATGTCCACTTTCCTACGAACTGTGTTAATTATTTATAAAGAATGGACGCAATGACATAAGTATTACAAAAGACAATTTTTTTATAAAATTAAATTTTGAACTTTTGTTTAAAAAAAATTTTTATAGAACCAATATTTTAGCCATAATATCAAAAATTTGAATAATTAATTATGAATTGTTATTTAGAATGATAAATAAAAAAATAAAAATTTACCTAGAGTTTTCATCCATACTGTACAACCTAAGCTGCTGTCTAATATTAGCCTTCTCCTTAGCTCTTTTCCTTTGAAACTCCTCTTCTACTTTGCGCATCGCCTCCAACTCACTTTTCCTCTGTCGTTCTTTAGCCTCGGCTTCACGTGACAGCTTTTCCGCCAATCTTCGCCGCTCGATTTGCCTCACCGTCGATTGAAATGTGAATCTCTTGCTCTTCGGACTCGGCTTAATCGATATTTTTGTACAATTATTATTATTCATTTCATTATTAACATTAATAATCTTCTTATTCTGAAGACTTTCAGGACTGCCGTTGACCGGGGAGTAGCTTCGCTGCTTCATCTCCGAAATATTCTCGCAAGACTTTGAGAAGTTAGGATATTTTCGATTTTTGTTTCCCAAATCCGTAAAGGACCTTTCGCGATGCAATCCCAGTTCTTTAGACTTGTCATACGCCAATTTGCTGATGAATCCATTGCTGATTCCGTTGGTAAACCCATTAGCAAATCCGTTGATAAAACCATTTTTATTACAAATTTTAACAGGCTCATTTGATTTTAAATTCTTCGAGCTAATATTAATATTATTATTGATATTATTGTTCATTTTTACACTAATTTCTCCGACAGAATTTCTGTAATTGAGACTCTGGGTTCGATGCTCGGTGTCGTTAGAAGCCGGTAAATACATGACATGTCCCCCAGAAGCGAGGTACGAAAAGGAAGGCGGCTTCATCACCACTGGGAAGTTTGCCTTCTCGTCAATCTCATCTAGAGCCTCGTCTTCAAAGTCTTCAGCCGCGTAATTGCCGTCCCAACCGGAACCATTAATTCCTCCGTTGACTTCTCTAATTTGATTCGCCTGGCTGTGCTGCAAAGAAGTAGGAGCACTGGTAGACAGCAGCCAATTGTCATCAAGCGTTTCCCCAGGGTGTTTCTTATCGAATTCGCCAGCTCCGAGACCAAACGACCGCTTTATCTTCTGCAGAGAATTAAAAGAGGGGTCCTTGGTCTTCTCCGCTGTATAAACGCAGTGCCGATTGTCATCTCGCGGCAAAGAAAGCGAGAATACGTGAGCTCGAGGTGGAAATTTAGCACTGGGGGCCATGGGTGGTGGAGAATCAACACCAGCATCGCTGCTGGACTCTTCGCCTAAATCCTGCTGAGGAGTCCAAGTCGGGCGTGAGTTACCAGTTTGTGTTTTTAATCTACCGACAGTGACATCCAGGGAATCGTCATTGGGAACTCCAGCGTCGCACGAAACTCCAGAGTCTCCAGACTTGTCGTGAGAACTTCTCGGTCCCATGGCAATTAAAGGTCGCGGTGGTCTCGCGAGCCGCTCAATTCGCTCCTCGTACATCACCGGAATCTCCTCGCTGGCGGTGCTCATATTCGGGCCTGGTGTCTCTTGAGCAGATAACAATCTCCAGGCAGCTGATGGGGAGAATCGCGGTATCTCCAGCTGTTTTTTCGGCAAAGTCGGCCGTAATTTTAGCGCAATATCTTCCCCTTGGTTGTCAGTCATCTGTTGCTGGTGAAGCTGTTGGTGGTGCGAAGAACCCGTGTAATCTTTATCTTGGGTATAAAAGGTCTTGGTAGTTGTGGTTGTCGTTGTTTGTTTAGACTTGGGTGACACGCCATTACTCAAATTCCAATGAGAAGTCTTCTCCACGACTTCCTTAGACTCTTTAACAATGCTCTTTTCACAATTTTTTATTTTTATTTTCTCTCTCTCCCGCTCGGTCTTAGCGGGATTACTCTCCGACCATCTTTTTTCGCAGTCTCTATAATTCATGTCCTTGACATCAGTTCTTTTTCTCCTGGGGTTCTCAGGAGCGACACCAGAGCCCGAGCCAGAGATGACCTTGTTCTCTTTGGCCCTTGGAGGTTCTGGCGTGCTCTCCCGACCGGATCCTTGACCCCTGACGCCTATTCTCAGCATCGCAGGACTCTCGGACCTGGTCCTCATGTGCTCCCCTGTCTCCTCGCTCTTCTTGGTGATCTTCGAGACCAGAATCTCAGTGGCTCTGTTGTTGGAATTCCTCCTGTCAAACTGAGACTCTTTCCGCCGGTCCTCGTGGTGAAAGTCCTCGAGCCTGCCATTGAGGATCTTCCTCTGGTTGGACTCATTGGTAGTGACCACGCTTTCCTCATAGGTCGTTGACTTTTCCAAGACCTTGCGTCTCCTGGGATTATTTTCCAAGCGCTCGTCGACGTGCTCGGTAGATTTTTCTCCATTAACAGCAGAACCGCCTGAATTATGGACTCCGCGAGGGCTATCCATTCTCCTTTCCTCGTAGGAGCGGGTTTCCTGACTCCTAATTACTCTATTCTCACCTCTAGAGCGCTGTTCCTGGAAGGTTCTTTCCTCGTAGAATCTTGAGCAAGTTCTAACCTCCTGACATTTATTATCAAACTGCTCCATACTTCTGCTTTTACGTCTATCAACTCGGGAGTCATTATTTACGCCGGCGTTCTCCTGCGCCTGGGACTGCTTGGATCTCGAGTATTTTTTGTCCCCGAGGTTGTTCTTGCGTGCATCAATAAATGTCGTCGACTTAGATAATTGGTTTTCATGCTTGAGCTCGTTGGGGGCGCCGACGGGACCCACGCGTCGATTATAGTTTAGTTTATTGCGAACCTTTTTCGCTACCTGCATCAGCTCTGCCTGGAACTCGGGACTGCTGAGACTTCTCTGAAGAGTATTCTTTCCGTCGAATTTCTTGGAGCTCCTCCGTTCATCCCTCGTCCATTGACCGTGGTCATCTTGTTCGTGGTACTCTCTCCAGGGTCTGCCATTTTCCTTGCCATTAGAAAGGGAAGATAAATGCTGGTGAGATTGATGCTGCTGGTGTCTGTCATTAACCCACCGTCTTTCTCTTTCACTTTCAATAATATTGTCCGGGCAGTCTTGCTGGGCGGATGGATTCCAGCTGCTTTGTTGACGCTTAGTCTCGGCACGAGTTTTAAACAGCCGGGATTTACGAGGCGGCGGCTTTATACCTCTTGAGCTGGGCTCCTCTTCCTGCCGGCAGCAGTTGTCACGCTCTGGGGAGATAACTTCCCATTTGTAGGAGTCTGGCGAAGACCCGTCGGCGTTCATCGGAGGCGGTGCTGGGGCTTTGTACTTCTTTTTTCCGCGGTATCTGCTCTCCCGTTCTCTGGACTCACGCTCAGGATAATGGTAGCCCGAGTGACGGTCCATCGGCGGGTGTCGCGATTCCGGAGAGTACCGGAGGTCTGGCTCGCTTCCAAATCTCTTTATTTCTATCATTTCATTTTCACGGCAGGTACCGTCGCAAGGACGGTAATGACCAGCGCAGCAGTGCTGGGTTCCCAAGTCATTGCGCGGTCGAGGTTCGCCCAAGTGTGAGGTTGAAGTGCTTCTACTCCTGTATATTCCTTGCTGGAAAATAAATCAGTAATATTTTTAGTTGGAAAAAAATAATGAGAAAAAATTTATTTTACCAAAAATAAAATATAAATTATTATTATTATTATTATTATTATTATTACCTTATTAAGATCATGGGGAAGAGTAAACGCCGAGGGTCTTCGACCACTAATAGTCCCACCATTATGAATAATATTTCCATTGTTAGTCGTCCTGAGCCGCTGATTCGGCGGTTCGGGTAAAACTTTGTGTCCAGGAGCCTGGGAATGATGATGATGCCTGGTGAGCTCTCTCGGAAAGGACTGGGTCCATCCGCGACCCATTTCCTGAGCCACCGCTGCAGTGTGATGTGAACTACTGTTTCCCATTTTTCAGCAAACTGGTAGCTTCTTCTTCTTCTACGGAGTAAATTATGGGCTCGTAGGATCCTCAGACATTTTTCTGCACCTGAAAGTAAAAAAGAGATTCAATATAAGGCAACAAGTCTGCTGGCTCGCCAGAGATTCTCAATGAAGATAAATTTGGGACAAGTTGATTGAAGAAACACACACGTGTGATATGTATGTAGGCACAACAAGTGCACCGACTCTCGGAAGAGCAAATAAACTGCAGAAGACTCGAAGAGGCAAGAGGGAGGAGAGTAAAAAAAGACGGACAGAGGATGAGAATACAGGCAAAGCCTCGTCTACGTCTGGCCGATCCGGACAAGCGAGTTATCTTACAGTTAGACACGGATTAACCTCTTGTCTCGGCGCTCCCCGCGGAGCGTATCTGATGCACCTTCTTCGAAAGTAAGCCCACCCGTCCCTGCCGTTCCACACCTCTCTTCGCGTTGTTCTTTCCATTGAAGAGCCACTACGCCATACACCATATACCATACGAGATACCAGTATACAGAGTATAGAGGTCCCAGCACACCTGCCCAACCTGCACCGAGGAGACTCCAAGTACCGCTAGTCGATGAGTGGCCCCGACCGGGAGGCCGGACTCGTGACCACCGACACGCCGGGAAAAATAATAAGAAAAGTCGTGTTGGCGGGCAACCAACTTCCCGATACCAACTTATGGGTTTATATTTATATATATGTACCGAGTCAAATAAAAAATTAAATTATCGTGCATTGAGTCTGGCTCTAAAATTCTATCTAAATATTCACAGCCAAACTCTGAAGAAATTTTTGTATAAATTCTATTTAAAATTTACTTCTTAAATTTAATAAATATTTACTCCACCTCTTTAGCAATCGTTGCTTAGCTACTGCGCCTAGCCACGCCCCCCTAGAAACCCTAGAAACGGTTGCTTAGCAACTCGTACTTAGTCACGCCCCCTAGCAACTGTTGCTTAGAAACCCCGGTAACACCTCTTAGCAACATTTTTTATTTAAAGTTAAAGACATCAGAATAAGTTTCTTTAAGTAATTCTATTTGCATTAAAATTAAAACTAAGTACTTTAATTAATTAATTAAATAATGAATGTATGTATGTATAAGTGTTTATGGAAAAGATAAATGGATGAAGAAGCAAAAGAAAATATTTACAAGCTATATATCCATAGCCAAACTCTGAAGGTATTTTTTTCTAAATTCTATTCAAAATTTACTTCTTAAATTTAATAATAAATATTTACTCCTCCCCTTTAGCAATCGTTGCTTAGCTACTGCGTCTAGCCACGCTTTCCTAGCAACGGTTGCTTAGCAGCTGATACATAGTCACGCCCCCTAACAACTGTTGCTTAGCAACCCTGGTAACGCCCCTTAGCAACAAGGCTTTTTATTTAGAGATTAAGACATCAGAATAAGTTATTTAAGTAATTCTATTTACATTAAAATTAAAACTAAGTACTATAATTAATTAATTAATTAAATAATGAATGTATGTATGTGTATTTATGGAAAAGATAGATGGACGAAGAAGCAAAAGAGAAATATAAGATATAATTTAATCTTGGAGTTACGGCTGAATGACTATGGTAGTTTTCGCGCGATCTGTAGTCTGTAGGTTCCAAGTTCCAAGCAGATTCCAACATCCGGCTGTAAGCTTACCGCTTAGTAGAAGTAGATACAGTTGATGAAGCGTGGCAAGGCCGGCTAAGTGACATTGCATCGCAACAAGACTACACTCTACTGAAGCTGGTACCAGCTCGCAATAGTTGTACTTGCTGGTTGGTGGTAGTTAAACTCGACTCGAGAGCTATTGGCTTCGGCAGATAGTTGGAAAAGATTAGCACGTCGGGAACAGCTCCCTGGGGTATCGATCAGGTGTTTCTATCTTTAATTTATTTCATTTCGAACTCGTTAGAGCCGAGCCGGTATACTTGACCGGTGAAAGTGTTTTTACCCACCACACCACACATTTAATTATCGATTAAAATGCATTGAAATGTTCCGTGGTTTTGCTTTTAGTATTGCCGGGATTTATTTTCATTTTTTATCCGGATCTAAATTACTTTTAGATTTTATAGCATTCAGCTGTTGGATCAGTTACAGGTTGCTGATTCTTCATAGATAGTTGCTTATGCACTTGTACTTGGTACTGGATAATGATGATAATCCAATCAATAATTTACAGTGTCAATCAACTTGTCTAAAATTATAAGAGTTTATTATTTATTTCTGGTGAGGTCTAGCATGACAGCGGCACACTGAGAATGATAAATGTTTGCTCAAGAGAAAATTACTCGTGTAGCAGATGTTTGAGGCACTCGTGCGCAATTCCATCCGGTGGAAAATGATGCCAGACTTCAGATTACTAAAGATATTAATGCTAAAAAAATTTAGTGCAACAAAGGTTTCACTTTTTATTTCGTAAGCCCTCAGATTTTAAGTAACGGTTCTCCAAAATCGTTTTAAGTCGGAAAAGAAAAAGAAGCAAGTCTTAAAACTTTTTTTTACATTTAATTCAATACACCGAAGTAAAAATTGTTCTTGAAATTCTATTCTTGGTGAAAGTCATTTTTTCTTAATTCAAAGTCAAGAACTAAACTTTTTGCAGCAAGAGGCTGAATTTTTTCAAAACAAGAAAATTTTCTTGACTTAAATAAATTTTGTTGGATCAAGATACGTATTTTTTAAAGCAAGAGAATTAATTTTGTTGGAATAAGTGAAATTTCTTGTGCCAAAAAAAAAAAATTTTTTTTTCGCTCAAGAAAATAATTAAGAAGAAAAAAATTTTCTCGCCTAAATTTTGAATTGTAGAAAAAATTGGACTGTAATTTAATTGATTAATAGTACGAATTAAATAAGCAAAATATGACCGTGGATTTCCTGAGTTTAACGTCTGAGAATCAGGGACAAAAAATAACCGAGCCAGCAGCTTAGCAAATCCAACAATGCGGTTTTTATCTCGGAAAAGTAAAAAACGAACCTGGAAAAAGCAACGATAGATCGGGAAGCTAACGGAAATGCGTGACGTAAGTGGTTGTGTCTTGCAGGCTTGGAGATATAGAGTTGCGCGGAGGTAGAGGTCAGTAAAGCGTTTTCTGCAATGCGGCGAAGGTACAGCTGGATGCCCTGGTACTCTGCCCCGGCAATCTGCAATAAGGCATAAGAGTGTCTTGTGCTACCCAAGAACAAAAAGAACCAAACTGGAAAAATAAGCCAAGAGAAGGAGGAGTAGAATGTGTCCTATGTGTCTGGCTGGTCTTTTATTTGTTTTTCCAATCTGGATCTCTTTCTTACTCGCACGTCAGACACACCAGTCGGAAGAGATCAGACTCGTGCCCCTCAGTCTCATGGAGTATCAGGTAGTACTGTTCGAGCGACTTGGAACAACCAACGACCAACAACCCGTACGACACATTTCCCCCTTTCCTCTGTGCTACACACTGTCTCTATGTGAGGACTCTTATACTGATCGAGTATAGCAGCAGCACGTTGGTACAGTACAGACTGCTCTTAAGCAGTTACAGAATTACTGTAACATCCTCATGCTCTCTCGTCCTCTGGGGAATCAATTCAATGTTATTTCTGCTAAATGTTCTGTATTGTGTTGAACCTCGCTGTCATTTTGCAATAACATTTTTTTTATCATTGCATTAATCTGGTTTGCTATTATGTTGCTTCGCTGCATGGTCATTGACTTTGGTTTAGTCTTTTTCAAATTAATCTTTGATATTTTGGTAACCGGTCAGAAAATCCAAGGCAATAGTGTCCAATATAATAATTATCAAAATTTTATTAAATCTATTTAATACTATTATATTAATTGGACATTAAAATATTATTAATAAATAATTTTTGATTGGATATATTTACATTGGATTTTTTTACTACACCTAAAGAAAAATTTCTTGACTGCACTGAGAAAAAAAAATACTTTTATTAAGAAAATTTTCAAGAATGTATATTCTTAGCTCAAGAAATTGTTAAATTGATTGAAATAATTTTTACTTAATTTAAATCAAGCTATTCTTTTGTTTATCTATTATCCAAAGATAAATATTGATGTTCTTCTCTTCAGAAATTAATAATTAATAATAATAGAATATTTGATTGTCAGCGAGTTTCTTAATAAGCCAAGAAATTGTTAATTGAGCAAAAGTATTTTTTTTTCTCAGTGTACTGTTAAATAAACATATTTTTGAATTATTTTTACAGATGAAGATTCTGAGCAATGGCACGATGGTCTAAGGTATTGTCAGGAATATTTTTGGCATTGTCCATGGTATTGTCACTGGGTAAACTTTTAATGTTAGCAGCTGGAAATACCAATAATGGAGATTTAACGGAAGCTGATCAGTGGTTAGTTGAAAATGGATTGTCACTATATCGCCAACTTTTTAAACAAAAAGGTATGAATTTTCCTCAAGAAAATAATTAGGAAGAAAACTATTTTCTTGACTCAAGTGAGCCTTTTTCTCTGTGTAGATATTTTTCCCATTGGATATAATTTACTGGATATTTTTCCTTTGGATTTTATTACAATGAATATAATGACTTAAAACCGAAGTTTTAATTTTTGAAGACTTTTTCTGTACCAGAATATGTTCGAGAATCAATTGGTTTAATCCTCATGACTTGTGACAATTACGTATGCTAAACCGATCCGTCCTTGTTCCCGTCACTCCGGGTGTATAGGAACTACAAGTTGTTCTGGAAATAATCTAATAAAATAAAGCTAAACTATCGGTTAGGTCTTCTAGGTATCCAGACACACTTACACACGTGATACTGATTTACTACACACATTATATTATATTATGTTATATTATATTATATTGCGGGGTTCGATGACTTCTCGACAGGATCCGGAAACTTGAGTTATTATAACCATGCAACATATCGCCTTGGCACTTTGTGTTCGTCACGTCAACTAAAGAACGCCCGCAGTTATCTTTAAGGTTTATCAAACAGAAACTCTGCTGAGAAAATGACCCGTGTGCTTCGTTTTTGGTTCGATACACTGTACTGAGTCAAGTCACTCACACAGATTCTGATATGTCAATTGCTAATTTCAAACTGTAAATTGTAAATATTATCAATCTGGTCATTAATATGTATTTATGGAAATACCTAACCTTTTATGAGCTCCTGTTTTCCTTCCCACTCATCCTTTTTTTTTTTATTTATTTATTATTATGACATTGATTACGTATCTGAAGAAGTGTAATAGCAATTAAGTAAATTCATGATTTATTAGTCAGGTGTATATTTATATTAAATATTATCTGATTTAATTGAAAGGAAATAGGTTGTTCAATATTTCTTCAAGGTTTATTTTTTATTTCGACTTTCAATCCTTCATTTTATTTTTTATTTGTTGACAAGATTCAAGAATTTTTATTTCAACTTCCTGATTGATATTCAACCAATTGATTCAAAACCTTACATACACTTTTTTGCTTAAAAAGATATAAAAAGCTGCGTCGAATGCCATCAAAAAAATCAAAATCAAACCACGCGTTCAAAAGATATCACAATTTAAAGATTTCCAAAAAGTCTTTTCTGCACCAATTTTTGAATGTCTTCAATTTTTCTCAAAGTTTCTGCAGAAAAAAAATTCAAATAATTTTTTTTCTTCATTGCTAAAAAAAATGAGGTTGTATGTTGCAAAATCCATCCTTTTATCAATGAACAAACTCGGTCTGGCGATGTAGCAGCAGCCCAGTTAATTTTATCAATAAATGGACGATCCAGTTTGTTTATAATGGTGATGATGTGTGGTGTGATTTAATGATAAAGTTTAAACGACGGTGGATGGTGGATTGTGGTGTATATTCTATACTAGGTCGGCGATGGCGCCATCCTCGATATCTGACGCCTACTCGTATTCCCTCTGGCATTACTCAGACATCACCGTAGCTATTCAGCGTGGGTTTAAGCCTCTCCAGTGTTGGTCTTAGTCTTGAGCACGTGGTTGATCGTCAATCGCGGATCAAGGATAGAATATGTATTATGGCACACAACTATAAGAGGAGAGTTTGTTCTAGTCGATTCTTTGGATCTCGGATGGGAGCTTAGGCTCTGATTGGATCTACAGCAACAACTTCCAAGACTGCTGAATTTTTCTCTTAACGCTCGAGGGATTCTGGTGGAATCTCCTTGAGGCATAGAGCAGGGAGCATGGAGTATAGAGTTTAGAGCAAGGAGCATCAGCCTCCAGCCAAACCAGAAGTATACGATCCAGTCTTGTTCTATCTATCTTATTCCGGGTGGACTCTCAAGACTTAACTCGAGTCTTGAGCAAGGCAATTCTATCCTAGCCTATCCTGAGCAAAGTGTGAGTGGATATGGAGCCGCGTATCTGAACTAGCCGACAGCGTGTCTAATGTGGTGCGTTAAATCGCTCCCAGCTGCGGATTTCTCTCCCGTATTCTGTATTCTTTTGCTCTCACGCTTCCAGCATCCAGCTCATCTTGATACTCCTCAGCCGCCATTCCATTTGCTCGATCCCCGGCACGAAAATTCGCTCTGTACGAGCATACGAGCAGAGTGCGTGACAAATAATTGCTGTAACCACCTTACATACTTCCATGACCACCACACACGTTAATTCCTATCTGGACTCACACCGACCGCGACTCCGGAGTCCAACAGCCAATGGTATATGGTATATAGTGTGAATGACGAGTCTTTTAATATTTTAAAATCAATTGAAACCGGTTTATTTAACTTCCTCTTTAAGGATATTTTTTTGGAATTGTTATTTTATTACTGTTGTTGTTATACTTTTTTTTTTAAGTATTTCATTTATTTCGCCTCTACATTCTTTTATGTTATATGTTATTATTCAGGTGATTCAGCTCGACAAACATGCTTTGTTTTTGTTTAGGAATTGTGTAGTTTTATTTTTATTAAAATTTTTTAATTTTGTTTAAAAAAATTTTTAAATTTTTACAAAAATAATCTATGATTTTTTTTTGTCCATAGAAAGAAAAATTTCTTGACTGGAGAACAAGATTCTTGGCTCAAGAAAATTTTCGGTAATAAATACTTTATACAATAAATTTTTGTATTTGATTAAGATTTTTAGATAATTTAGGGAAGTAGCGCCACCTACTTCTTCTCACCTTGAGAAAATTTTTCTCTTGAATATTTGATACCCATTTTATATAATTTTAGCGTGCAATTATACACATTGAATGAAAAAAAATGATTCAATATTATTTGATCTTTCCATTTGACATTCTAATCAATAAAAATATCAATGAAAATTTTCTTCTATCAAGATATTTAATTTTTTGGAGCAAAAGGCTGAATTTTCTCAAAACAACAAGATTTTCTTGGCTTAAATAAATTTTGTTGGATCAAGATACGTATTTTTTAAAGCAAGAGAATTAATTTAGTTGGAATAAGTGAAATATCATGTGTCAAAAAAAAATTTTTTTTTCGCTCAAGAAAATAATTAGGAAGAAAAATATTTTCCTGTGTCTAGTATAATATTTGATTAAAAATTAAAATTTGACAATTTTAATTTAGATTCTTCTCAATTTTTGCATTAAAATTTATTATGATTTCTAAATTAACATTTTTTTTTAACAAATTAAAGTTAAAAAATAATATATAATTTTTAAATAATATTTACTCAAAATAAAAATTCCAAATTTTTCCTCCTTGGAAAAAATGATAAAAAAATTACATAATAAAAAAAAATGGGATTCTCTCTTTGAAATAAAGCCCATGAGAGTAAATAAATGAAAAATATGTATCTGGTCTGAATAAGTACCCGATTAATATCATCATTGATAGTTTAATATCAGGTATGTATGTAATACAGTATTTAACCTCGGATATAGAATAAATAGTGGGATATGCATATAATAATCAATTGCGGTATAGGCATCTTGTCGTTGGGCTAACAGGTACTGAGCATGCGAGATTATGCATAGCAATGATGGGTGATAATGACACTTGCTTAACGGGTTTAGTGACCTTACCCCTTACCACACCACAGCTCAATAATTAAATGCTTTAATTTATAAATAAAAGTACTTTCCTATCCAGTCGAATCGAATCCTACCCGTGTAGTCGAGATAAAACCGATAAATAAACCCAACTCTATGAGAACGGAAGTGAATTGAGCAAGATTTAGTTGTTTAATGTTAAATCGTATCGGTCTGCCTTTACTTCTACCTTCTACAAGTACGAGTACTCATACTCATGAAAGTTGATTCTGAACTGAAGGCTCTTCAGTGAATGAATCCAGGAAGGTAACTTGATGCAGTGTAAATGCTCTCTTCTATCCTGCAATTCTTGCATCGTTCCTTTGGCTTGCATTTCAGTCCTTTTTAACTTTACTTCTTTCATACTTCTTGCTCTGCTCTTCACTATTTACTCGCTCATATTATACACTCGGTTGTAGTTGCTTTTTAACCAATCTCTCGGTTGCTATGTATCTCTGCATCGCAATGACAAATACTCCCGGAAATTTCGTTCACGCGGAACGACTCTCCAAGATTTTATTTCATTCAAAAATCTAGATGATATATTATGTTTTATTTAATATTTTATATTTTTACGGATTAGGGAATTTTATCTCTCGCTTATCTGTGTTAATAAAAATTATCTTTCTAGTTTTTGCAAATAGTTTGCTCAAGACAAATTTAATCACCGATGACTCATGCGATTTTAGATTTGATAGAAAAAATTTACAGTTGAGATAAATTATTTGTTTTTAGTTAAGTTTTAGATTAACGGATTAATTTTCAGATTTCTTTTTTATATTGAAACTTTTAATTAAATATTATTTCAATAAATTGCCGGTATAAAAAAAAATTTATTAAAAATAAATAAATAAAACATAAACTTTTTTTTTTTAATAACTTACTGTTGGCCAATTTTCGTAAATATTATTTATATTTTAACTTAAAATTTTTAACCATAATTAAAATATATTTTGAACAATATGATATTTTTAATAACTAGATCTGTTATATAGCTTGAAATAAATTAAAAAAAAATTTTTATACACTTCAAAATTTATTTTTAATATTAATTATTTTCATGGGGGTAAAAAATTTGTATCCTTAATTTTGTAATTAAAATATACACTATACAATCACTGCACAAACTAAAAATTAAAACCACCTAGCTGAAGTAACTCCGAAGATAGTTACTCGAAAACTAACGGCCCGAAAATTTTTTTAGCAAGAATTCCAGTGATTCACCTGTCTCAAATACCTTTTCCATTGCTCACAGCAATTTTCCCCATTGTCTGACTTTCCGGCAGATTTATTGCCGTTCAATAAGAACGGTCCTTTCAAATCCGGCAGGTCTACAAAAGAAGACTCAGAGAGGCTCGAGACTTAGATCTATAGAGGCCCGAAAGTAAGAGTGATGAGAGAATTGAGCCATCGTGAAAATAGTCATAGACCACAACCC